TTCTATCGAGACCACCGTTACTGCTCCATTCACTTCTGGTGCTACTGTGATTACTGTCACTGACATAGTTCCACCTAAGAGTACTGAGACTGTTACTATCACCTCTACTTGGACTGGTACTTTTGAGACCACCGTCACTGCTCCATTCACTTCTGGTGCTACTGTGATCACTGTCACTGATTTGGTTCCATCTGGTTCTACTAAGACTGTTACCGTTACTTCCACTGGGACTGGTTCTATCGAGACCACTGTCACTGCTCCATTCACTTCTGGTGCTACTGTGATTACTGTCACCGACATAGTTCCACCTAAGAGTACTGAGACTGTTACTATCACCTCTACTTGGACTGGTACTGTCGAGACCACCGTCACTGCTCCATTCACTTCTGGTGCTACTGTGATTACCGTCACTGACTTGGTTCCATCTAAGACTACTGAGACTGTTACTGTTACTTCCACTGGGACTGGTTCTATCGAGACCACCGTCACTGCTCCATTCACTTCTGGTGCTACTGTGATCACTGTCACTGACATAGTTCCAGGTCCAACTACTGTTTTCACTACTATTACGTCCACCTGGACTGGTACGGCAGCTACTACCACTACTGTACCTTTCTCCTCTGGTGCCACTGTTATCACCGTTGTTGTTAACCCTATTGTTTCCCAGGAAACTTCCTCTCAGGGTATTGTTCAGTTCGCTACTGTTGGTGCTTTTTAGGGCTTCTCCCTGAGTAATCCCTCAGCACTCTATATTTCTTTCTTTTTTATTTCTTCCACATTCGTACGGTTAAACCCTTTTTTTCGTTCTCTTTCCGCGATGGCTTGTGAAAACCGCGCGGTTACGGAGTCGCTCCTTAGAGAGCAGCCAAGGAATCGATTTCCTTGTTTCTATGTATGCTCATAGATCAATAATACCTTTTTAATATTTAAACGAGTTTTTATGAAACCGAGCTTTATGCTAATACCACTGCGATCATGTGATGAATAGGGATTGTCCGGTTTTGGGATAGTTACCCTTCTGCGGGGTTTAGGGGGCTTGGAAAGAGCAGCCGGTGCCAGAGTGTAGGACGCCCACAAATGACCAGCATTGCGAGAATATTTGCGTGCGCGTGTACACCAAGGTATACACATAACCTTCATAGGTTTGATGTCTTAAGTACACGGTAAACACCACCGGCGCTGGCCACCTTTATCTATGGTTAAACCTCCACGGCTAGTTCATCCGGCGTACCGACCGAGGGCTGCCGCGCTTGCCGCGGCTATATTTGCAAGGTCCGGCACGCCGGTACATATGCAAGGTGTTATCTTGCCAGGCCCCTGTAGGTAGAGATAAGAGCTAAACACCGATATGATAGATATGAAGCACTGTTCACTGAACCGTATAATACACTATCCTAACCAGAGATGCGCGGCAATAGGTATAAATAGGGGAGCTTCACCCCGTTTTCAAAGGACTTAGACTCTATAAAGTCACACCCCAACCTACTATTGTCATGATTACAACCTTACAAATTACCCCCCTCGAGCATTCGTCGGGAATTGGTGCCCGTGTCACTCTTCCATCATACACGTCTGATCCTTCCAAGTTGAACGAAAAAGACTTTACCACCTTGTCTGAGGCCCTCCACCGGCATTTGGTGGTGGTTATTCCTGGCCAAAAAAATTTGCAGCCTTCTTCCCAGTACCACTTGACCGCAAGATTTGATCCATCTGTGACCATTGACGGCGCTACTAGCGCAAATTACGGTCACGGGAAGGAATTCAGACATGAAAAGTCGGTGTTGAAAAAGGATGGCAAGTCTGTACCTCATCAACCCCAGGTGCAGATCCTAGGACAGGGCAGTTTTGAGAACCACGAAGGCTTGGAATCCGTGGACTTAACCCATCCAGTCCACTCCAGTTTCCACAAAGACGTCTTATCTGAAGAAAGAGTGGCGGCCGGTGAGACAAGATTTTACAGGTGGCACATTGATTCGGCGTTGTACGGCTTGTCCCCACCCCTCTGTACTACGCTTTTGGGAATCCATGTTCCGAAGCACACCACCAAACAGCGCATTTTGTACGAAGACACCGGGGAAGAATTGGAGGTGGTTCAGGGTGCCACTGCTTTTGCTTCAGGTGCTACCGCTTTCAAGCTTCTTTCCTCAGAAGACCAGAAGCTTGCCTTGGGGACCACCGTGATCTATGCTCCACATCCGTACATTTTCATTTCCCCCGCTAGTGCAACCTCCGATGGGTTGACCATGGTCTCTGAGGACAAAGAGTGCTCAATGGAGGAGCTTCCTCCGTGGGAAGAATCTAAGGTAAAGAAATTGCCTCTTGTGTGGACAAACCTAGTCACCGGTGAACACCATTTACAGGCCCATGGTTGCTGTGTGTGGAAACTCCAGAGAGATGACGGTACGGTTTTGGAATTACTGGCAGCGAGGGAAGAGTTGCACCGGTTGATGAGGCCCGCTATCTCGCCTAGTAAGATCTATACCCACGCTTGGGAAGAAGGCGACTTGGCAATCTTTTTCAACCGAGGCGTGTGGCACTCAGTCACCGGCCAATTTAGCGAGGGCGAAAGAAGGTTAATGCACCAATGCAACATCGCTTCCGGGAGTGACCCTTCCTGCTTGAAGATTTAGTGGAAGCTATTCTCAACCCGCGCCAGAGAAAGCGAAATATGTCGCTTTAGCAAGTGTGCTTCATGTGCCAATAAAGTCTGGCATGTTCAACACTCGGAGAATATTTAGCTAGTAAAGTGATCAGCCACCCTACTGTACTATCCAGCGCAGTCTACCAGTCATAGGATCTACTCTTTGCAATATACTTAGCATCGTTTATTAGTATTCATATATTTACAAGATTACACGTACAGAGAATTGGAGCAGCGCTCACTCGTCCAGGACATCGATGTTTTTCAACGTCTTACCACGGGCATATACCTCATTCTTAACCTCTTCGTTTACACCCTGCAAGTAGTGAAGTCCGATTCTGGTATACTCTAGGAGAACCATAGCAGCGGACGACGCCATGCACATGAACGAGAACTCCAGGGGATTTAACATGTAACGATCCACAACACGACCTAATGAAAAAGAACCCTGCTCCTTGAAGTCATAACCCATAAAAATCGATATAGTGGCGACTGCGAGCGCCAATGTACGTCCCGTCATCGGGAAAAGAGATCTAGAGCATAATTCTCTGATCGAAACACCGGCCAAGTTGTTATCGATGACCCCGTGTGTAATCACAAGTTGGAATTCTCTTGTAAGCATCCCGAATAATGGAGCCAAGGTGACTGGGAAGAGTAGACTATGAAGCAACGCCGTTTGCCATGTGAGGTAGATGTATGCTGTCAGTAGCAGGCCAAACTTAAAGTAATGGTACGGCATGTTGGCAGAGTAGGTGTGTACGTAAATTGAAAGAAGAGTACCAAGTACACCACTGGCAAAGATGATAGAGACTAGCAAGACAAGCTTCAACATGTGTCTGGCAAGTGGGAATCGATCAATAAGAGCCCGGATGTCCGCTTCATCTGGAACAGCTTCCTCTAAAATCTCCATAGCCGGTTCTGCAACCTCCTGAAGCTGTTCGTGTTCATGCAGCTCCTCGTCCTGGAACTGGTCCTTAAAGTGGTACAATAACCAAACCTCAACAGCAATACCAATGGATACAGAGAGTAAATCGGCATTGGGCAGAAAGAGATCAGTTGGGCCAGAGAGAGCTAGCGCATGACCAGTAAACGACTGTGTGAGCAAAAAAAGTGCAATCACAATCGGGCGCCCACATATCAAAGCACCCGCGATAACACTGACGCATAAAAAGAATGCAAAGGCACAAAGGAAGGCCACCATCCCAAAAATTTTGAGTCCAAAGCGAGGTGGTTTGTATACAATCGAGTAGACGTTACTACCAGAATCAACTATTTCGTCGTCATCCTCATCCTCTTCCTCTTCCAGCCTCCTACTAGCAACTGCAGGTTTTGGCGCAGCTAGTAACTGGTCGCCCTTGGTCACCGTCACAAAAAGCTTTTTCAAGAAACGACGAGAGATAGCGTCGTTACCCGGAGCCCTGACCCAGTTACCATCCGGTACAAACACAGCCGTGACTTCTGGATCGGTTCTGAACGTTTCCAACGCAAGCTCGTACGACTGGGGGTTCGCGTAGTCCGGTTTCTGGGTGCCAATCAACCTGTAAAACAAGTTTCTGTAAACAACGTACCCTCTTTCAGTAGGGTGCGGGATGTCCAAGATAAACGAAGAGAGTCTCATCTTATGGCAGACAATGACAAACACACGCTTCCAGTAGACACGCATGCAGGTTTTGATCAATTCAGCATTCGAATGGACAACCTTCATGAAGACAAAGTTGGTCACCATCACAGACTTCGCATCGATGCCACCAACTGGGAAAAGGAAACCGGTCGGAGTGGCCAAGCGGAGTAACCAGGTAAACCCACCCACCCCAAAGACAATCAACCCCGAGTAGATGCTACCGCTCAAGGAAATTCGAGACAACTGCAAGCTTAACGGTCTCATAAGAGCATCGTGGATCAATCTCGCGTTAGGATCTTCCGGAGATCTGATGAAAAACAACACACCGGGACGCAAGATCATCGAACGGATCATTCCCACAAACAACGCAAACGTGAACATGTAGCCGGTCCCGGCAGCCCAGTAGTTAATGGTGCGGCAAAGGAAGTTGGTGAAAAACGGGTGTATGCAAGGGTTATCACGGGAGCTCAAAAGCATGTTGAGATGCAGTTCTGGAGAGAATACAGGCGACATGCAGAAGTCCAACAACCAGCCGCAGTACACCGGGAAGAAAATGAGCTCAATGTTAAAGATGAGGAAGACTTTGAGAGTAGAGACAATTTCAAACAAGAGCTTGTAAACCATGCGCGCAGATTTGCTTGAGAGTGGGTTGGTTTTGCTGTGATCGCCGCGCAAGTATGACATGTATGCATTAGTGGCCACGAGCAAGACTCCGTAGAAGAGCAATAAAGGAATAATACGCTCGGTAACAGTGGCTGGAACACGCGAGTTGAAGACGTTGCTCCAGGTAGTGTACACCGGCGTGGTTATATAGCTCTCGAGGTAGTCGATAATAACCGTTCGTTCACGAATAAAAGCAATCACGGTATTGGCCGGTGTCTTCTGGACGAGGTAGTGCACTCCAAAAAGGGCATAGGTCAAGCTGGCAAAAAGAAACTTGCCCATAATCGACGGAAGCAAGTAGAACACGAATAGGTATACGGTAATGATAGCATCGGCAATACCGGCCGCCTTTAACGGCATGGTAATATTCAATCCAATGTTGAGAATCAAATTCACGTTCTCCTCAGGCACATCCTCGTCTACGGGGGCTTCAGGGGCCGGCTCGGGATTTGGCTCGAGCATCTGGTTGCGGGCCGGAAATCTGTCGTTGTTTAAAATATCGGCCATTCTAACAGGCTGTGGAAGCATTGGGGGGGCATCTAAGTTTGGAAACGGCACAACGTCCCTTCTTCTGACGAAACGGCCGCGTTCCTCGTCCGAATCGGAGTCGTCGTCGGAGTTTTCTTCGAAATCCTCCATGTCACTCCACGTATCAGCATCCTGTTCGATCTCCTCCTCCTCCTCCTCTTGTTCTTGGCGCATAACTGGGGGGATAACTTGGTCGACAACGAATTCACGAATAGCCTCGTCTGCCCCGTCATGGTTCATATTTTCAAGCACGTTAAGGATGTTTTCGACGTTCTGCGGGTTATTTTGGCGGAGGTTACGGATCTGTTGCTCTAGTAGCTCCCTAAGTTGGCGCTTTGGTTCGTTCCCGATGCGTTTGGTCAAGAGCTTGAAGTACCCCTCGTCTCTGGTGACCCACTCATGGTCAATAAACAAGAACACGTGCACCAAGATGAAGATCACTATAGAGACAAGACCGCTGGAGTACGTGTAGTTGAGAATGTGCCAGAGAAACGCTAATCTGGGAACGGGGGCAGAGGCATCGATCAGAAAGGCCGTCCGGAGGTCCAGCTGGCCGAAAAGGAAGGACTGGACAATACTTGGCTGGGGTAACTGGCCATCCACAATCCAGGTATAGAGCCGGCCGACAAACTTCCACCACATAGGCACCTGGATAACCACAAATGTGGCGTAGAGCGCGATACTGGTGATGACAGTGGCGGATTTCATGACGGAGCTAGCAATCTTCGATACAATCAAGCCTAGCGGAACCATGCCCTTCGGGGTGTCGGGATCAAATAGCGTCTTGAATTTATAGGGCTCGTTACAGATGTCACACTGCTGGGTGCTCTTGTTAGCGTGCTTGAGCCAGTCCATCAAACAGTCCTGGTGGATATACTTGATGGACCCGCGGCACTTACAGGGAAAGAAGAGCGGATCCTCGGGAGTCCCCTCCCCACGGCAAATACGGCAACTGGCTTCCTCCATGATAGGTCGCAAGTAGAGGAAAGATGGATGGGTGCGTTTCTGCTTTGTATGTTTGCCAGACTCGCCGCTGGTTTATTCATGGCGTTTATACTTCTGAGGGCGGCTATTTCCGGCACGCAGCAATGCAACCACAATAGGGCTGAGTGCGGCACCACTCTGCAGTTTGTTATCGAGGAGATTATGGAGGTTCCACACAAAAGGGGCCATATATGTGGTACGGATCCTATCCCAATTTGAGTCGGTGTCTTATTACAATGAAAACGGTTAATAGATGTAGTGTGATGCTTAGCAAGAAAATAAAAAAAAAGAAACCAGCACCCCATCTTGTACATTAGCCGAATACAGGAAATACAGTTAGAGCCCCTTTGCTTGGAGTCCCTGGTGCCTGTCATGGTTACATGGGATTTTCAATGGTTTTTTACTTTCATTTGATATGTGTAATCCGTAACAGTTTTGTAATGGGATCAATCTAGCCCCAAAGATTTCCGCATCTAGTCACCGGCGCCCAGAAACATCCAATCCACAATGGAAGCTGAGGTTAGTGTTTTTACCTTATATGGCTATTTAAAGTATGTTTAGAGATAGCTAGAGGGCTGAGTAGGACTTTACAGACGGTAAAAAGCGGGAAAGTGTGCAGTCCACTATCGATCTAAGGCCAACTCTAATACTATGAGAAGATTATGACTGGTGGCAACTCTAACGGGCGCTTATAATAAATAAATAAAAAAAATATGACGTAGGAAATACTAAAGCTTACATCTCATAGGTGTTGTGAGCTCTTAAATCATTATGTTATCAACGGGGGTTGAACACTTTTCAAAAATTTATCCAACTTTACAAGTATCACCTACTCCTTCATGGTTTACGCTGGCAACATGGAGAATTGGTTTCCCACCCCCCCTCAGCTTTTTCACCTCCTCGGGGATGTCTAATACTAATAATTTAAAGAACTTCCACTGACCTTGAACAATCTGAGGTGTGACAATATTTGTCTCTATACGTTTATTCATTAATATTCTATGCCAAGCCACCTCGTATCTTCAAAGTTCATTTATGTCACGTGATACTAAACCACTGCTTCTATAAGCACGTCAGCAATTCGAGCTCCATCTATCTCCAATCGCCATTTCTCCACCATGTTGAGAAGGCCACCTACTACGATTAAGCTCACACCAGAGGATGTGTTAGCCTATGATGATGCCAAGTCTGCAGCGCGTGTCTCTACATCTTCTTCTTTTGGCTCCCAAAAGCCCAACACCGTCATTGACTACGACGAGTCGCCGCTCAGCAACGCTACCCAGGACCTCCTGCAAGAGCTCAATTACCCAAAGACCAAAGACGAGAGAATTGGAGTTTCCAGACCCTAAGTCCGGACAAGCGTGGCACAGAGTGCCGCCCCATGAAATAACGGGACAATTACCACTTTCTGTGCCTCATCGATCAATCTACGACAGAACTCAAACGCAGCTTACTAGTAGACACACCTTTTCTCTATAAATAAAGGGCAGTGCACCAGATAACTATGTTATACGCCGTGGAAAAGCACGCGCTTTAGTTCTAGAATCACCATGTAGGACCCTATCATCGATGAGGTGTTTAAAGATCTCTGTAGTTATTTTTACCCTAATCCGTATCCTTAAGCTCCTTCCACACCGTTTTGTAGAACCAAAAAGGCTGGAACGATTACGAGCTGCATGTTAGCAAAATCCCATAAGCATCTTAAACGCACCATAAACCATTTCACATTTCATCGCATTCACTCACCGAAAGCAACGAGTCCAGACCAATCTAATTTTGATAGCGGACCTGAGATTCATTTCTAGTTTTGGTCATATATGGCCCAGTCTCTGACGCCCCCTTGGCAATATCACGTGAAGCAATGCTCTTGTTTTTCTCGCTGGTTTTTCGCGACGCGTCTCTTGTTTTCGCCTCTGGCGCGTCTTCCTGCTTATTCTTTCAACCCCGTTTTGCTTACCCTTTTTACCATCTCCTTTTCACGCTTATCTTTACACCCTTCCTTTTCCGTTAACCCTCTCACCATATAATCAAATGACCGTCAGCAGAACACGCGCGCGAGAGGTCATCACGTACCACGAGTCGTCGGACTCCGAGGTCCCCAGCGATGACGAGCCCGAATTCCAGATCAAGACCGCCCCAAAGAGAAAAAACAGCGCCAAATCGGTCAACACGAAACGGGCGAAACGTGTGGAAGCTATTGAAGCGGATGACTTTGTGGAGAACCATCTCTACCAGGCGCTTTCCAGTCCGGAGAGCTCGGTTGTCGAGTTGGTACAAGATTGGTTAGATGACTACGCGGCTGGTGCGGACCGTGCGACACGCGACCTTCTCAACTTCTTGCTTCGCTGCTGTGGCTGCACGCACCAGCTCGAAGAGCATGATGTGCTGAACTTGGAGAGCGCGCAGGACACTGTGGGTGAGCTCCAGGCGATCTTTGCGCTCCAGGCGTACCACGAGTACCCGTTCGCGTCGCGGCGTACAGAGTTGCGCTTCTTTCGGCGGAACTGCTTGGACTTTATCAGCAGTGTAGTCGAGCTAGCCAACGAAAAGGGCTTGTTGGAGGATGAGGGCGACTTTATGGAAAAGTTGCTTACGTGGTTCTCTGCACTTTCCTCGTCAAACCTCCGCCCGTTGCGCCACGTGGCGACGCTCTTCTTGCTCAACATGGAGACAAAGCTCTGTGAAGTGGTTGTAAAAACCGCCAATCTTTTGGAAAAGAACCAGCGCCAGTTGGAGAACGAATCCGCCAAGCAGGCTGACATCAAAGAAAAGATCAAGACGAAGAAGCAGCGACTGAAGACAGAGAAGGAGGCGAAAAAGTTGGCCACAAGAGTCGAGACGGTCGAGAAGACCATCGCCTTGTACAGTGCCCAGAAGGTTACATTGGAGGACTACCTCAAGGACATCTCCAACACCACATTTGTGCATCGCTACCGCGACGTGGACCCCCAAATCCGCGTAGAATGCATGAAGCATCTTGGGCTCTGGATGGACATTTATCCAGAGCTTTTTTTCGAGTCGACCTACCTCCGCTATTTCGGCTGGCTCTTGAACGATGCGTCGCATCTCGTGCGCGTGGAGGTGGTGCGCGCGTTAACACGTTTGTACCGCAAGGGCATCATTGTGCCGGGGTTTAGACAGTTTACCGAGCGTTTCAAGGGCGTTCTTGTGACAATGTTGCTACACGACGCGGACTTTCAGGTTAGATCTGCCCTTGTGCACTTGTTGACGGAAGTCGCCAAGGTGGGCTTCTTAGAGCATGCTGAAACGGTCCAGATCGCCTCGTTGATCTTTCACCGCGAGGCTACGGAGGGGAATACTGCCAAGTTGCATGCCGAATTGGGCAAGTTTATCGAGCTCGCCGAAGCAGATCAGACAAGGAACTACCGTGAAAAGTTCCAGGTTGAGATCCTCAACATGGCGGGGGAGTTTCCAATCGATTTGGACGAAATGATCAAGTTTCGCGGGTTGGTTGAGCTTTTGTCACAAGCTCAGGCATATGAAACAGACTCCAAGGATGAATCCAACGATGATTCTGCTACCGATATCTTCTCCGTTGCCAGGTCGCTCTTTCACTTGCCTCGCTACAAGTCCTGGGAGTTCATGGTCACTTATCTCCTCCTCGACCTTTCCTCCGTGAAAGCCCTCGTGCCACTGTCTGAGTTCTGCAAGATCATCGAACTTCTGAAACCCCACCAGGTGGTTCTTTTCGACCTCATCGCCGGTGCCACGGCTTTGATCCTTTCAGACGACCCTCTGAAGAAAAAGGAGGCTGATTACATCGACCTTGTGGTCACCAAGACGGTCCAGTACCTTCCACTGTTGCTCACCGCGTTCCAGGCATCTCCGGCGTTGCTCAGCTGCTTTATTCGTTTCTTCGGGCTCTTTGATATCGCGCGCTTCCGCGACTTGCATCAAGAATGTGTCTACTTTGCAACGTGCAAACAGCTCCTCCGGTTGTTCCCGGGCAACATTGTTGAGGTTGCCTCTTCTGGCGCTAAGGCAGAGATGCGGACATTTTTCGCCAGCATTCTCCTCACAGACCAGTACGTTCAGCAGGAACTACAAGCGGAAGTCAACCAGATGACGTCGCTTTTGGCCTCCCAGCTCCGCGCGCATATTGCTGGTCTCAGCACCGCCGGCCAGGACTCCTTGGTCCAGATGGAGGAGACAGTAGAGAAGTTAGTCTTGGTGGGTTCCTTGCGTGAACCGATGGAAATGGCAGAGCTCTGTGAGGCTGTGCTCACCGATGTGATGACATACTTGCCGGATTTGGGCTTGGCCGAGGCAAGCAATCGCGTTTCGACTGCGGTGGAGGTCCTTTTCCAGCTTCTTTTGGCGTTCAGTGCGTCCAGGTTGGAAAGGATGATGAGGTGTGACTCTTATGAGGTGCAGAGCGCCCTTCCAGCGTTGCCAGACTACTTTTCCGAAGTTTTGGCCATCGTGAAGGCGTTCAGAGTGGTTTTCTGCGTGGAAAACGCCAAGAACTTCAGCGTGCAGTTGCGTGCCAGTGCCGCTGCTGCCTACATCGACATCATGACCGCGTTTAAGATTTTGTACGTAAAGTTCAAGGGCAGCCATAACTTTGAGCTGTTTGACCGCTTCTTCGAGGACGACTTGAATGAATTGGTGCTTGCCGCGTCGGACCAAGAAAGCCTCTTGAATGTATTCCTCTACCGCGAGGCTGCCTTGGCGGACGTCCTTGGTGTTGACTTGGACAGAGGCGAGGATGAAGGGGTCAATTACAGCACCGGTACTGAGGTGGAAAAAGCACAGGCCGAGAGTGACTTAGGGGTATACACCTTGAAGCTTCTCTCGTTGAAGCACGTCATGATGTTGGGGGAGTCAGTGGCACAGCGCTTAGGCTTGAACAAGCTGGTTTTGGGCGAGTTGTTTGCAGGTATTCTTGTTGAGAAATCTCACGCCCTGGTTGAAGCAGTCCCCGATCAGGTGGTGTCGCAGGCTGACCCGATCGAAGAAGAGCGCGACATTCTCTTGGACACAGTTTTGGAGATACAAAAGGTTGAGGACTGGGAGGAGGGTTTCAGTCAGGTAGTGCCGGTGGAAGACGAGCAGGAGGTGGATATCCACTCGAACGAGGTTATCGATTCCAGTGATGATTAGGCGTGTAGTGAATGTATTATGATTATGAAAAAAAGCCGTAGTTGGTATTTTAGATGGAGAGCATTGACCATAAGTGGCTGTGTTCGGAATACGCGTGTGATAGGTATTAATGCTTGAAAGGACTTTGGTTATTGCGGGCCAGGTCGATCCGTTAATGAGTTATTTTTACCACAATAATTTAATAGGAAGCCAAATCTCATAGCAATCAGAAAATCTATCTTTGTTACAGGTTTAAGATCCAGAAGGGACATTGTTAACATTGTCACATTCTGCGGTGGTATTCCCGAACCTACTTTCCATACTGGTGCAGTTATGGGTGCCTGGTGGTGTCTTTTATGACTCCCAGGGGTTAGATCACCACTATAATTCTCTCTTTACAATATAGTATCAAGTCTTGCTTTTTTTGCCGGTTGCGGCTCCATTGTGATATCCAGGTTGTCAATCTACCTCAATCTTCAGACATTAGCCATTCAACATCCGTGTCAGCGCACCATACGCTCTTTATCGCGAGTCTGTGTCATTCCTCAAGCATTTTATATTATTTTTTTTTTCCGTTGAAATTTTCCGTTTCTCCTTATTTTCTTTTATTAGTTTTCCAATACTTCAAGTTTGTCGTCAGCCGTTATGCTGCTTAGGCGCACACCCCGCGAAATCTTCTCCCTGCGCCGCTCATTGCCTCCGCAAATTCCCCTTCGCGAAATCCTCATGAATGGCCCCTTGATAAGCGCGATAACGTCTTCGTAGACTTAACGTACTTTCTCCCCCACACATGACATCCACATTACCGCAAATATCTAAAGAAATAGACTCATTGGCAAAAGTCTCTGGTGAGTCCATGCTGACGTGTCTCGACGAAACACAGTCGCTTCTGGACGTCCTCAGGGCGGCGCAGGCGGCGCTTATTGCTGACGACGATTCGGAACTTAACAAGCTCCCGGTCAGGGTGAATGCGTGGTCGAACGCTATGATAAAGAGCCTCAAGATGTATAATACGGGACTCACGCTGTTCAACGTGAAAGTGGTGGAGAGTGGCCGGACGTTCGAATTCCGACTTGACGACTTGTACAAGTATCCGCTTGGGGAGGGCACTAACGTCCAACGGATGGTCACAAAGAGCATCATCATGCATTTGGTGAGAAACAACACCGATGATGGTGCGTTGTTGCATTTGGTGCGGCGGTTAGAGCAGCAGTTCAACTTAGAAGTGTCGGCGGAGCTTGTGGATGGCTTTCGAGTACTAAACGACTTAGTCAGCGCGATTCTCGTGGACCACACCTTGCGGCCGGTGATTGATTGGTGTGAGGCAAACCATGAGGCGCTCATCCACGAGCTCAATTCGGACTTGGAGTTCCAGCTCCACAAGCTCCAGTTTCTTATTCACTACAATTCGGGTTCCACAGCCGACGCTATAGGCCCCGACGGGCTGAGCCGCTTCTTGGCGTACAAGTACGCGCGGGAGAACTTCCAAAAATTCGGCGTCAGCCATCTCCAGGTCGTCCTGAAACTCTTGAGCTCTTTGTTGTACGCGGCTGAAACCGAGACCAACCCGTACCGGTCTTTGGTGGATTTGCAGTCATCTGAGGACACACAATTAGTGATGCGCCAGAAGATTGTATCGCTCTTGGTATCGAACTTCTGTGCGCTTGTGTTGCGACTTTCGCCCCGATCGCTGTTGGAGGAGGTGTTGCTGGCGTCCTACCGTGCCCTACCGCAGTTCGTAAAGTTCCACAAGCTTCTGAAGGTGTCTGCAAATCTCGATTGGACAACCGAGAACGAGTTACCGTTCGAGACACCGTATGACTACGACGAGTTCCACCAGGTATTCATCTGTCCGGTGTCCAAGGAGCAGACCGTACACGGAGTGAATCCGCCAATGAGTTTACCGTGCCGGCACATTCTCAGCAAGGAGAGCATCTGGAAGTTGAGCCGGAACTTGACGACTAGTTTCAAGTGTCCGTACTGTCCGGAGATCTGCTCGCCGGAGAATACGTTTGAGGTGAAATTTGTTAATTTGTAAGTCTAGGGCAATTGCCGAGATGCGCAGACACTGGGGGCTTTAGACAGTTCACTTGTACGGTTTACCTATAAATAGTATATTAAGACTGTTGAGTCCATCAATGGTGATAGTATAACCAAATGCACAGAATAAATATCTAGAGTAATCTGTAGTCAAGGGTAAGGATCGTAGTTCCTTATATAGGACAGTTGGTCCCCCCCTAGGCCAGGTTGGGCCAACATGATATAATAGTGGGGATCAATACTCATGATAAATCAAAGTGTTGGTTTGCCTAAGCCACGTTACTGGTTATATCTTCTGGTTATTTCTAAGCTATGTGAAATTTGAATTTATAGGCCAATGGTTATTTCTTGGTACGTTCACTCTGTTTATCATAGCCAGGTTCAAAGGCGAAGCTGGCGTTGAATTTTTTTCCAACCTCTAGTTCATCTCCGTCTACTTAGGCCATCGTGTTACAATTACTTCAATCATTTGGTGATTATGGCTTCCCTTTACCGCCACCCAACTCATAAACAAATCTTGCGTCAACGATGAAGAATCGCTTATGGATTTTCCATCCTCTTACCACCGACAATTTTGATGCCAGTAAACCAGCAATTTACAAAGGGTATAAAACTAACCCACCGGCCCGTCCCCTCCGGAAACTGCTGTCTACATCCTTAATATCCCAAATGCTGTTATAGGATTCTAGTATGTACAGGTCATTATAGAGGTTAGGCAGAGTAGTAGGCCTTGCGCAAATCGACCACCTTCTTACCTCTGGCGACGGCCAACTCCTCCAAGGTCTTCTGCTTGGAGATGGCTTCGATGAACGCCTTGGCGACGTTCATGCTGTTTCTGGACTTGTACACTTTGCCCCCCAAGTCCTTGATCCCAGCACACTGGCAGATCTCGAAGATGTTGTGGTTGACCTTCAACCCGAAACCTGACGGCGCTGATCTCAAGAAGAGCTTGACCGCATGGAATCTGTGGTCGATGCTCCCCAAAATGGTTCTGTCCTCGTATCTCGGCACGTGGACCATGTTCTTGACGGCGTTCCAGTGGGCCTGCTTCAACGCGACCCTAGCGTTCTCTCTGGACTTACCCTCGCCCAAGCCAACCATTCCGTTTTTGTCACCGACAACAACCATGGCGTACATGGACTGAATCTTACCCTTCTTGGTCTGGTTAACAACCTTCTTCACAAGTAACGGCCTGACGGTCAATTTGGAGATGTAGGTTTCGGACAAGCCGGTCAATTTCGCCAACCCCTGTGCGATCTCACGTGTCCCAGCCCTGGCCCCACCGCTAACCTTGTCAGCCAATCTGAGACGGTCCTCCATGGAGAGCGGGTTCTTCATGGTTTCCTCCCACGGGAGCTTGGCGTAGGTGTTGTAGTTGATCAGGTCCGGCGCCCTGTGGTCGTAAATAACATGCTTGTTGGCCAAGTCATCATAGTATTTCAAAGACATGGCGTACTTGGAGTCAGATCTCTTCTTTTCATGGTAGTGCAATGGGTCCACGGCCCCTTCGGCAAGCTTGAGCGACTGCAACAACTTCGGGTCGTACCACTTGTTCAAGAACTGTTCGTGCTCCTTCGCTTGGTCCAGGGAGATTTGGCTCAACCCCGTGACGGAGGTTGAGAAAAATCTCTGGGACATTCTCAAACACGAGACCTGGCGAACGACAAGAGACATTGTATGGCGTTGAGGGTGTGGTTTGACAGCGGCTGATATCGAAGGAACGCTTATACCTGCGTTTTGAAAAATTCCATAGTGGATGAAAGTTACCCGGCGCCAAGCAAGAAGTTGGTGTGTGCACGACAAGCTCTTTAGCATAACCTTCAGAACTATGGGTCTTCGTGGCAGTATCCAGTCTCGACATGGATTATTACGACGATTTGGACGAATCAGACACGGAACTCCAGTACCGGCATGGGATTTCGCTCGCTGAAGAGGCCCTGCGGGTGTTTCCTGAGATCCTCGCCGCCTCTGTCTCCTTACAACGACAAATCACCACTGCGGCCGAAATATCCCCTGAGCTTCTTAAGAAAATTGCTCTGATTATTGATACCAATTTAGCTGCATTTTACGTGGCTCGCGATGGACCCCGCTGGATGGATCTGAAACTCGTAGAGATGAAAGAAGCGGGCCTTGTATACGTGTACTATACGCCACCCACCGATCCCGACCAAATTGCGTGTTTCCTCTCGTTTCTCATCACGTATGAATCGGGCGTCAAGGTCTTGTATCTCTACGAAGTTCATGTTTTGCAGCAATTTCAGGGGAAGAGGTTGGGCGCCCGGTTGCTCGCAGGGCTCCACCAATTGGCCACCGATCTCCAGCAAAACGGCGGAGCCTTGTACAATCCTGTAGGCACTGCCTTGACAGTATTCAGTGACAACACCAAAGCTTTTGCGTGGTACAAGAAGGAAAAATACATCTTGTCCCCCGGCTCTCCCCAGGATAAGAGGCTTCGCAGCGGAAAGCTCCGCAAGCCGGAGTACTATATCATGGTGCGCTTAAACCAAGCAAGGTTTACATAGCTGCTCTGGATATTGACGTAAAAATAACGACTTTATTGTATTAATTATGTGTAGCACGGGAGAGTGGCACTACACGGTTTAGCCAAATTAGGAATTGCCTATTTGGGAAGCTCTTAAGGCAGCCAATGTAAGCCAGGCGAAAACCAATTCGCTAACGCTCGGCTATATCAACCATACACTTCAAACAGTTCGTCCAGTCTAGACTTCCCTAACGATCATCTTATACATTCAAAATGGCAGGCCATCACGCTCCAGCATACATTCGTGGTACTAACCCGCTCCCAATCCCAAAGGTCCCAGTTGCCCACAGATTCTTGTCCAAGGCCTTGGGTGCCACCATGACCTTCTGGATGTTGTACAGAGCTAAGTCCGATTGGCCAATCTGGTGTGGCTTGAAGAAGCCATGGGAACTCCACTAGGCTGTTACTACAAGCTTGTGGTAGTACACATAGAAAACTGTGTACGGTAGCGGAAGGTCCGCCTGCAAGTTTTTAACCGGTTGTTTGGAGACCGTTAAGTTTTCATCTCTCGGTACGGCTAGTGCTAATGTTTTGGGCTATTTCGTTGTATATTGGGCTACGACTCATTCATTTTTCTCCTTATTTATTTACTTTCGCATCTTTTAATATAACATTCATATTTATCAAAGCGAGCGGTATTGTGGGGCCTCTACGCCGGTTGGCCTCAGCATGTATAATTCAGGATGAGACCCCAAAAACTATAGGAGTTTTAGATTTGCACTGGTACTGTCTGAAGTTAGATTCAACGGTCATCTGAATACATTCGAATTCTGTGATACTTTGGGATTGTTTACAAACACTTACTACAGGTATTTTGGTGTCTATGCGGTCACCGTCACTAGACTCTCACGTTTACTTTCACCTTTAGTCTACATATCGCCAGCCTCGTTAAAACCATGGGTTAAATATAAAAGCTACGGTGAATTATAAAAAGTATCTGAGCGCTGCAAAAAAAAAATGGCGATACGAAGAGTGAAAAAAGAAACAGGCCGCCATAAAAATAAAAGTTAGGTAGAAAAGGACTTAAAAAAACTTCGAATGGCGTCATTTATTCTGTGTCTCCAGAAGTTTCTGAAGCTGAGGCTTCCTCATCTCTTAGTGGGACCTCTTCATTGTCCTTTGGTGGCGGACCACGGTGATCCCCATGCGGGGGGTCATGTGGGTAGTCGTGGTCACCGTGGTGTGGCGGATGAGGGTGGTCACCGTGGTGTGGAGGGCGAGGATGGTCATCGTGGTGTGGAGGATGATCGCCGTGGTGTGGACGTCTGCGGTGCCTTGGCTTCCCACGATGAGGGCGATGAGTGCCATTGTGGTGCGACCTCACTTTGTCAAAGTCAAATCTGTCATCTCCGGGGAAACCATCCGAGACACCAAAGTTACCGTACCGGTCCAAAGCAATAGACCGCTCAAAACTGCGACCCAAGGAAAAGACAAAAGCAGTCATGACTATAGCACCCAAAATCATTAACATGCGGGAACGCCTGCGGCACTTGGCACAGTCCTTTTTAGGAGCGGCCTCAGCTTTGCCGGTGCTGACATTAACGTATGTTGGAAGAACTTCCTCGTTATTGCCCATGTCTGGTGTATGTAGAAAAATAGTTGTGCGACGGAGAGTTTAGGAGCAATAATTGGAAAAGGGGGGTATTTATATATCACCCAAAGAAAAACAGAAATAGACGACTGCTACGGTGTTTGCGGCTTTGGTCCTTCCTATCAGGGGGGGCCAATACTACGCATAAGCATGCAAAGCCATTCTGGGATCCCGGTGCGAGCTCAAGACTGCGCGACGTCGATTATTTTTTTCTCGCCCAAAAATTTTTATCAGGATCGCTTGGGTTATACTCAGATCTCTGTCACTCGTACTACGGTTTATCACTCCCTGTGCGCGTAATCGGTGCGTACCTATTGTTCCCAAGCTGGTTCCGGTATATGCCTGTCCGTCAATTTAGATAGTAAAGTCTTGGCATTCGGTGTTTGGATTGCTGGCGCTGGCTAATTTCCACAGTCGCCCACGTTTTTTGCACATAGTATGCCGGAGTGATTTCAGATACCGAAAAGAGCGATCTTATGCATACATGCATGATGACGACAGTGCTGGCTCAGAAGTCCATGTTGCATAGTAGCGTTAGCATTCCAAGTGATATATGCAACTGTCTGGTAACCGTCTGCCGAGAGGCTCGGTTCTTCTATGGTTTCTAAGCAGGCTAATGCAATCACTGGGAGGTATTCAATCGCAAAAAAACATACATGACCGTTTCGCCCCCTTAGACGGAGTGTTTCACCTAGGTGAAGCTGCAATTGTTATCGAAAATATTGCGTGTGGTTTTGACAACTAGTCAGCGTTACACTATATTCTGACACCCAGATTCCACCTGCCTACTGTAGATATTTAGGTGAACTAGGACCAAGAACCCATAGGCCGGGCATCTATTAGCCCTCAGAAACGGGGAATGACTCTATTTTTAATGGTTATTGGTTATATGAATCCTATAACGTCGGCACTAAGTCCGAGACATTGGTCCCAGCCGGTGTACCATATCCATTCTCGATCTAAGTGAAATGATGGGAGCTTAGCATTAGCGTCTGATAGTAACTAATTCAAGTCAAATATTCTGGAATATACAGCTGTCGTATCTCAGTAAATTAGCTATCACAATGAGATTAAATTTGTAAGAATTCGTTGGGCTCTAGAGATTAGCACGATGGTCTCAAGATTCAAGCTCCGCCTCACCATATGCATCCACTACATCAGAGGGCTATGATGACACAAAGTTTAAGAGTCAGCGTATCTGACTAGAAACCCGGTTGAGCTACAAACTAACCTCAACAAGAGCTTCAAAAATGCGATGCCTCATTGTCCCATTTGGAACAGCTCCATTCTTGTGCGGCCCTACTAGGCTCAGAGTCGTTTCAGATCCGCACGATACAGTCTCTCACATACCGTTAGTACCGAGACATACATCTCTCCAGTGTGATATCCAAACTCTAGCTATATGAGAACTTACCTCTATTAAACATGTTATAATAAATCGGTCATTGCAGATTACAATGGTATATAGTTCGAGTATTAATATGGATGCAGCATTAAGGTGTTAAAACGACAAAGTCTGCTGTGGTGAAGTTTCACCTCCCTAGATCTCTGCAATGGTGCAGTTTTTCCAAGTTCCAAGTTTCAGGCACTGTGGCCGAGTGGTTAAGGCGACGCCCTGCTATTATTCAATAACAGTTCAGGCGTTGGGTTTTACCTGCGCAAGTTCGAATCTTGTCTGTGTCGATATCTTTTTTTTTTTTGCCAAAAGAAAATTCCTTTTATATAACGCATAAATAAGCATTTCCCGTTTTCTTTTATTACCTTTGTACCTAACCATCCCCAATGGTCATAACACAGGTTTAAGACGTGGGTGCGTCTTCGCGAATAAAATCGTACGCAATAATGCGTCACGTGGCACGTTGCCTCTCCACCTTTAGCCTCGACATGAAAAATCACTCGGATCGTCTTTTTCGGCACTTGTCATCCAGCCAAGGGCTGAGACTTCATGTATTTCCAGTCATCTATTTTCATTTCGGGTTCCTCACACTTCTCTGATCTTATAAAATCCAAGTGCTAGGCTCCCTTGAAATGGACGTGATTAGCCGCCAACTTCAGAGATTTGAGTCTCTCTCGGTCTCCGATTTACACCACATCAAGAACACAGCCATCGATGACTTCCAAAACTTGAGATTCACCCCGCTCACCGTTACCATCTCCCTTACGGTCATCTCCACCATTCTCTTTTTTGCCTCTGGCAATCTCGGGTCGTCCAGCTCTGCCGGTGGAAAGAAGTCCAAGAAGAAGAAGAAGAAGAAGGTTACCCCAACAGAAAAATCCAACAGAGAAATTGCCGCTGTTTTGGCTCATTTTGAGGAATCTTTGATGCCAGATGTAGAGGATTATTTGGAGAACCACATGCAATTGAAGGACGAGGATATGCAGTACAAGTACAACTACTACGAGGAAATGATGCTAAAGGAATTGATGAAATTAGACGGCATCAACGTGTTGAACAATGACATCTTAAGAGACAATAGAAAGAAGGTCATCAGGCACATTCAGAGCTTCCAAAAGAGACTTGATGCTGTAAAGAAGGAGCAACAGTTTTAGTTAGAAAGTATATAACATGTTTATCCCCAGCTGTTACGCAAAACTGTAGAGGTGCGCTCGACTTATACCTTAAATCCCACTCAAGACGTATTTTTATTTGATGTACGGTACGATACTCTAATATTCATTGGTAGCTTGGCCTCAATTTCTAGACCTTGGGTGCAGACCGATACTTTGTATTCCGCCTTGCTCCCTGTTATCTATCTTTTTAGGAGGCTCTTCACCAGCCTACCTGTCTCATGGAAGATGACTTACATAAACCCCTGGAGAACTACGCCGGTATTTTTCAAGTTCCAGCCGGGGTCATGCTGAAACTTAAAGGCACTGACAAAATAGCTCCATGAAAACAAACGAACCTTGATGTGACACTGAACCCCTTGTACGTTCGCTGCATAGCTATCTGAAATTCGCACGTCAAACTTTCTTGAATCCCATATGCCGATGTCGGTGCCAGCCCCTTGGGCTCTATTGGCAAACGTACATACCTCCGACAGACATGGCACTCAATGCCACGCGATGAATCGGCGGTAACGGTCCCCTTGGAACGAATGTACTATAAGCACTCGTTCAAAGGTGCTTTACTGGTGTTGGCCCGATGTGCCAAGCATGTCAAATCTAATATCGGCACTGCACATGGAAAATCGAAATCCAGTTCGGGGTTTTTTAAGGCTAGTTTTAAGGCGGGTGTGCCTGGCACGTCCATGTGGCGCAGGGAGGACTTCTACAGAAGCAAAATATCGCGGCGTTCGGGATTGTGAAAGAGAAAACCAAATAGCGCGCATACACCAGACAAATAAATAACTCAAAGTAGAGATGCGATGCAGTCCCGCATGTGCACAGGGATCCCTTAAAAACACGTGAGATTCACAGGGGCCTACCAATTCAGCGCTAATCATCCCTTGGCTCTGAGCTATACCGCCTCCTTGGACGGTACATCCGTCATGGCGGAAATGTCTAGAAACTGTTGGTTGCATCTCTGCGCTGGAGGTACGCAAAATACGAGACCCGTGAGTAGAAGCACTACAAAAGATAGATACCCGTAGCGTATATGCCCTATCCTGGCTGTTCTGGGTGGGTATAAGACTACGGCCTTCGTTACTGAAGGATTTCGCCGGACGTCCGAAGTAACGTCCCTTCCCTCTCGCCGCACTATCTCATTGGAATCTGACTGCCTGCAGGATTTGTCATTATAAATCACGTGAATGCGGCCGCGCCAGTCCCGATGACAGGAGGTTAGGATTCGTGCGCCATGTATGCATGCGTCACATTTACCACTTTAACTTCTCAGCTCCCGTAATAGTGACCGCGGGCAATATTGCGGCGTACTTTCCAACGATGGCTCAACGTTAAAACCTCTTTCTTCCGGTCGTGGATGCACGTAGGCTCTAGAAGCTGCACAGGCGCAGATTCGTGGCTCAGAGACACCATAATAGGAGGAAAATCTTAGTTTTATCAGCAGATAGTGTTATCATCGAGATTCGATCTTTTAGCATTAGGTAAGACAGTGGCGATTGTAAGCCATCGTAAAGTTTGACCCAAGTGCGTATATAAACCTCTCTTCCCCCTTTATATGTTCTGAAATATTACATCCTTTCCGCAATTATACACGCCGTAACTAGAAACAGCTATCATTTTCTTCCCATGGCGTCTATCCACACTTTAGAGTCCGATCGTCCAGATAACTGTCTTGACAATCCTGAGCCTTTGGACTATATCGTCAACGACGATGCTCACTCTGAACTTTCCGATATCGGCTCCCAGCTCTCCAAATCTCAATCCTTGAAGTTGGTGAAAACCGAAACCAAAAAGTCGTTATTTGACATGGGTGTTTCCTCTCAGATCCCAATACCTGATACTGTGTATCCTCAAACCATCACCAACCCGCTCTTTCCAGAAGAGTACACTCTAGAAACTGCCACCGGTTTTGTCCCCGTTTCCTCTTTGCAAGGCTTGGGTAGAAGTGTCACCAGAACTACTACCCGCGGGAGACGCAACTCCAATTTTTCAAATATTTCTGGCGACTCCGGGGTGGGGGAGGGCGAGAAGCAAGATGGTAGTGAAGATGCTACCCCAAACGAGTACGACGAATTGGACCCTGGAATCGAACTCGTCACTTTTATGAAAAACGATCCCGAAAACCCCCACAACTGGCCGAACTGGGTTAAATGGTGCTATACCCTTTTGTTCTCCTGCGCCGTCATCATGGTGGCCTATGGCTCCTCTTGTGTTACCGGTGGTTTAGGCTTGATCAGCGAAAAGTACGGTGTTTCTGAAGAGGTTGCTATTTTATCCTGTTCGCTTATGGTTCTCGGTTTTGCTGTGGGTCCATTGTTATGGTCGCCGTTGTCTGAGCAAATCGGTAGAAGACCGGTATATTTCATCTCCTTTGGCCTTTACACCATCTTCAACATTCCGTGTGCCATCGGAAAGAATATCGGTACCCTTTTGGTGTGCAGATTCTTGTGTGGTGTCTTCAGCTCCTCCGGTTTGTGCTTGGTTGGTGGTTCGATCAGTGACATGTTTGACCGAGAAACCCGAGGCTTTGCCATTGCCTTTTTCGCCTTCGCCCCTTACTCGGGACCAGTTTTCGGGCCTCTCTGTAACGGTTTTGTCAATATCTCCACCGGGAGGTTCGACTTGATCATCTGGATTAACATGGCATTTGCGGGCGTTATGTGGATTGTGTGTTCCTGTATCCCAGAAACCTATGCTCCATCCATCTTGAAGAGGAGAGCTGCAAAACTCAGAAAGGAAATCGGGAACGATAAGATCATGACCGAACAAGAAGCCTTGGGTTTGTCTTTGAAGGAATTAGTGCAAACCTGTCTTATCAGGCCTTTGTATTTCTCCATCTCTGAGCCAGTTTTGGTCTTGGTTTGTGGTTATGTCTGTTTGATCTACTCCTTGTTGTATGCCTTCTTCTTTGCTTATCCGGTTGTCTTTGGTGATTTGTACGGCTTTAAGGATAACAAGATTGGCCTTATGTTCATCCCAATTTTGATTGGTGCGTTGTTTGCCTTGGTCACGACTCCGGTCTTGGAGCGCCGATACATGGCCTTGTGTAAACGCAGAGCCCCTACCCCTGAGGATCGTCTTATCGGTGCCATGGTTGGTTCCCCCTTCCCTGCCATCGCGTTGTTTATCTTGGGTGCCACCTCATATAAGCACGTTTTCTGGGTTGGTCCAGCTTCTTCTGGTATTGCCTTTGGCTACGGTATGGTGTTGATTTACTACTCTCTTAACAACTACATTATTGATACCTATGCCAAGTATGCCGCCTCCGCCTTGGCCACCAAGGTTTTTTTGAGATCCGCCGGTGGTGCCGCTTTCCCCTTGTTCACCACCCAAATGTACCACAAGTTGGGTTTGCAGTGGGCCAGCTGGTTATTGGCTTTCATTTCCCTGGTCATGGTTCTTATTCCGTTTGTATTTTACAGATACGGGGCTGTGTTAAGGGAGAAAATGTGTAAGGAAGACTACACTGGCTCTGCTTAAGGGCCACTATTTTCTGCCTTTCAATGTGGCACGCATATTCATTTCTATTCTGCGCATCTTTACCATCTCATTTAATTACATTTTTTACAAGTTCTCCCGTAAGTGACTTATCTTGGTGTATATAACCACAAACCTCTCGTACGGTTCCCATGCACTTATACCCTCAGCTCAGGCCGTTAGGCAAAGCTTCTCTTTGCTACACCGCTCAGACAATTGACAAGTATATTAGAGGGGTAAAAATAAAACCGATAACTACAATTATACAATGGATGGACACCTATATACAAGGTACAGACAAACAGGCTGAAACCTCACCAGACATTAATGACTGGCGGTGGCGGTGGCGGCCGTGACATCTGCTTTCTCGTCAAGCTCATCGATGCCCTTCTTCTTGTCCATGTTCTTCTTCTTGTCCATATTCTTCTTCTTGGCGGAGTCTCTGACCAACTGCTCGAAAACCTGTGCTTCTTCTTGCTCTAATTCGGTCCGGTGGATGCTCTTGAATACCTTCCCAACGATAACTAAGGCCTGGGCTCTCTCGACTCTCTTCTTGAAGTCCACTTCTTCGTTGTAGAGAACCAAGTTACAGACGGCTCTTAAGGATCCCTGGATCTCGAACTTGGTGCCATGCCAGGCAGCATTTAACACCTTGCCTGTAAGATACTGTTCCAACTCCGCAATCTCCTCCTGGGTGTAGAGACCGGTCTCGGTCCCGTCTTCGTTGGTCATATCATCCTGGATCTTAGACAACTTCTCCATGGTTGATTGAGCGTCTAACGCGGCGGTGACGGTGGAGAAGGTATCCTTCACAATTCTGCCCTTTTCCTTCATACTGGAGAAGAAACCGCCAAAACCAAAGAAGGTCTGCGATTTGATGAAAGTTTCACCCTTGGATTGGTAGATTACACCAATGGTGTGAAGAATATCCTCCCCGAAAGATTCCATCTTTAACAACTCGGCCTCGTATCTAATCTTTTCTTGGAACGAGTGCGTGACGTCTGCTCTCTTGTCCGTCTCGGTCCAGAGAGAAAGACGGTCTATAAGCTTGGCTGCCAACTCCTTCTGGGTCTCTTCGCGCTTGATGCGGCACTCTTCGTCGTACTTATCAAGCTCGGCCTGCTTCTCCTCCGCAATCTTCTTCTTTCTCTCCTCTTCCTTGGTGCTCGCCTCAGGAACCCCAACGTTGCTTTCGGACGAAACGTGCTCTTTGTTTTGCCAGGAACCCGATGATGAGTGTGAGTTATCACCGATGGTAAGCACAGGTTTCTTCTGCTGTGGCTCGTTTGGGGTGGCAACCTTTTCCGTTTGGGTGGTGCTGTCGGCGCTCTTGGACTCCTCCTCCGGCTTGGTTTCTTCGTCTTCTTTGGATAACTCGGCCGTTTTTGACAAATCTTTGAGGAGGGTCAACTCTCCGATGTAGTCTTTGAAGGCGTCACCGCCGAAAATCATGGAGAAGAATTCCGATGGATCTTCGAACCCTTCCTTGGGAATAGCGTTTTCCTTACCATACTGATCGTACCTCGCCCTAATGGACTTGTCGCTCAACACCTGGTAGGCTTCCCCGATTTCCTGGAACTTAGCAGCGGCGTTGGGGTCGTCCGGGTTCTTATCTGGATGGTGCTGGATGGCCTTCTTCCTGTAGGCCTTCTTGATATCTAGCTCTGTGGCTGTGATAGACACGCCCAATAAATCGTAATAAGTTGTATCGGCAACCATCTGTTGTATAGGTCTAAGTCTTGTAACTTGTTGCCATATCTAGGTACGTCTGTGTTCTCACATGTCAATTCTTTTTTGTACGTATCCGGTTTTTCCTCTTTCTTTCTTAGCAGCGCAGTGCCACCACAAGAGTCCATATTCTGTGTTATATAGTATATGCTATCTGTGCGCTCAAGTGTATCGGTGGCAGCCCTGACGACATAAGGTAAGCGAAGAACCCAAGGCCATGATGGTTAGTATGTGAAAACGACGCGAACGAAGCCAGTATCACGCCCACAGTATCACAAGTCCATTGCCGTGGGAGCAAAAACCGTTTCCGGTATGGAAATTTTATTCTCTCCAGAATCTACGATGCCGTCTTTGGAAATTACCACTGTTAGTCTGTTAGCTTATGGTATCCTTCAATAAAGTTAATCGCTTCATACAGAATCCTTATTAGAGGCTTTGACAAAAGTACAGTTTACACCCCGATCAGTCAGGAATACAATCAGCTCGCCCTCTTTGAGCTTATAGCCATCTAGCATGGTGAGCGCCGCACCTGAGGTGGCGCGGCGAATCTCGTGAAAACCCCAATTACGTAATCATGTTTATATTTCGATCTTTTTTACTTGGCCGAACCATAATAAACGCGCTACAACACTCATCAAAGCCTGCCCCTTCTCCTCCAGTAACTCCCCCCACTATCAAACCCTCCTCCCCTCCCCCCCTTCCGCCAGCTCTTTAAGTTCCTTCCCTAGCCATGAGAATTGAAGAGTTGATTATTGATGGGTTCAAATCCTATGCCACTAGAACGGTGATTTCAGGGTGGGATTCTTCCTTTAACGCCATTACTGGTTTGAACGGTTCCGGTAAGTCTAATATTTTGGACGCCATCTGCTTTGTGTTGGGTATCGCCTCCATGACGGTTGTACGAGCACAGAACTTGCAAGATTTGATCTACAAAAGAGGCCAAGCCGGTGTCACCAAGGCCAGTGTCACCATTGTCTTTGACAATAGCGAGGTGTCAAAGTCGCCAATCGGGTTTGAATCCAATACCAAGATCAGTGTCACCAGACAAATTGTGTTGGGTGGCACGTCCAAGTATTTAATCAACGGGCACAGGGCCCAGCAGCAAACCGTGCTACAGTTGTTCCAGTCGGTCCAGTTGAACATCAACAATCCCAATTTCCTTATCATGCAGGGTAAAATCACCAAAGTTTTAAACATGAAGCCAGCCGAAATCTTGTCCTTAATCGAGGAGGCAGCTGGTACGAGGATGTTTGAGGATAGAAGGGAAAAGGCCGAAAAGACTATGGCCAAGAAGGAAACCAAGTTACAGGAGATCAGAAGCTTGCTAGAGGAAGAGATTGAGCCCAAGTTGGAAAAGTTGCGTAACGAAAAGAGAACATTCTTGGAGTTCCAGCAGACCCAATCCGACTTGGAGAAGATGTCCAGGCTTGTTGCCGCCCACGACTTCTACAACTACAACGTCAAATTTGACAGCCATTCCAGGTCGTTCGACGAAAAGAGCGCTGAGTTGCAGCAGTTGACAGAAGCTAATAACCTCTTCACGGCCCAAATCCAAGCCTCAAAAGAAGAGCTCGCCATGAAGAAGGCCGAAAAGGAAGCTGTGTTGGGCAAGTCTGGTATTATTAAGGAGCTCGAGCAAGAAGATGGTGACCTCTCCAAAAGCATTGCTCGGTTGGTAACGTCGAAAGAATTGAATGCCGACTCCGCCAAGGACGAGAATCAGACTTTGCTAAAGACGAAGGAGAAGCTTCGGGATGTGGAGCATGGAAACGACAGCAGAAGCGATTTGTTCCAAAAGTTGGACGCGGAGTACAAAGAGGCCAAGAAGCATGCCGATGAGCTCAAGCTTGAGCACACTAAGAAGGATGATTTGTATTCAACCTTATCAACCGGTGTCTCTTCCAAAGGTTCGGCCGACGGTGGTTATTTGGCTCAGTTGCAGGAGGAAAAGGAAAACTTGAATCGGGCCGACGTTGTGATTCAGCAGTCCCATCTTAAGATCGACCATTTGACCCGAGAGGTCACTGCGGATGAACCAAAGTTGGCTAAGGCTCAACAAGACTCTAAGGGCTTGTTGAGGGACATTGAGGTGCATCAGCAAAAAGTTCAGGATATTCGCGCGAGGTTGCAAAAACTCGGCTTCGATCCCGAAAACTTCAAGAGGTTGAAAGAGGGTGATATAGGCCTACAGACAAAGTTACGCAAGCTCCACAACGACCTCGAGCACCAGAAGAGAAATGCGCATAATCTTGATTTCCCCTACACCAAACCCTCTGCTGACTTTGACCCCACCTCTGTCAAGGGTGTTGCGGCGACGTTATTCACGGTAGATGAGGCCAATGACGAAAAACTCTCCGCGTTGGAGGCCTGTGCTGGTGGTAAATTGTACAACGTGGTTGTCGATAATGAAAAGGTGGGCTCTCAATTATTGGAGAGGGGTAACTTGAAACGGAGAGTCACGATCATCCCGTTGAACAAAATTTCCGCCTACACCATTAACCAAAATGCCGTCAGCTTCGCCAAGCAATTGTGCCCTGGTAAAGTTGAGTTAGCGTCCGACTTGGTGGAATATGAGCCGGGCATCTCTCGAGCGATGGATTACATCTTTGGTGGGTCGTTGGTCTGTGAAGATTCCAAAACCGCCCAAGCCGTTACGTTCCATCCTAACGTCAGAGCAAAGTCAGTCACCTGGCAGGGTGATATCTATGACCCACACGGTACGGTTTCCGGTGGCTCCAAGAAGAGCAACACCTCTATTTTGCTGAATATCCGGGGTATCCAGAAGATTGAAAAGGAAATCGGAGCCTTGGAGGCGGAGCTGCGGAGCTTGCTGAAGCAGTTGGACGCTGAGTCTCAGTTGAACGAGAGAACCAAATCGGTCCAGAAGGAGCTTAGTATGGCCGAGCACCAGCTTACGCTTCTCCAGAGGCAGTTGGAAAGTAATCCCTCCTCCTCCATCTTGCAGAGGAATCAGTCCAAGCAACAAGAGATCTTGACCTTGAAAGAGGTTATTGAAGACAACACCAAGGCCGCTGCCAAGATCAAGAGTAACATTGCCAGGATCGAGGCAGACATCAAAGACTTCAACAGTAACAAGGGAGGCAACTTGAAGAAGCTTGCATCCGAAATCAAGGCGTTGGCTGAAGAATTGCGCAAGGCCCAGTCGGCAGTTACAGAGAAGAAAACTGCCTTTGAGAGTTATCAACTTAGTTCGGAGGATATTGCCACCCAGTTGAAGGATTTGAAAGAAATATTGAGAACTTCCGAAGCCGCCCTCCAAGACTACCGGACCGAGGCCGACTCCTTGCAAACAAAACATGATGAGCTCTTACTGAGGTCCAAGGTCGTGAAGGAGAGGCTTACGGCTGAGAGAGGCAAGCTTTTTTCGATTGATGGCGAATTGAAACTGATGAGCAAGCATTTAATCATGATGGAGAAACAATACGACGAGAACAACTTGGTTCTGAAACGACTTGGCCACGAGATTGAGAAATCGGCTAGTATCACTAGCAATTTGAAGAAGCATCTCCAAGCGTTGATGGAAGAGCACACCTGGGTTAACGATTCCAACTTGGTTGAGAAGGAAATTAGACAAAACCCAAATATCAACTTGGAAGACTGTCGCCACAGAATTGACCAGTTGCAAGAAAGGTTCCAGGGCATGAAGCGCAAGGTGAACGCCAATATTATGAGTATGATTGACAACGTGGAAAAGAAGGAAACCGAGTTGAAGACGATGATCAAAACTATTGAGAAGGACAAGGCCAAGATTGAGGAAACCATCAAGACCTTGAATGCGTACAAGAAGAAAACCCTTGTCAAGACCTGGAAGAAGGTTTCGGAGGATTTCGGACAAGTCTTTGGTGACTTGTTGCCAGGTTCGTTTGCCAAGTTGGTTATTCCTGAAGGGAAGGACGTGACTGACGGCTTGGAGGTTAAGGTTATGCTTGGTAAGGTGTGGAAAGAAAGCTTGGTGGAGCTCTCGGGTGGCCAGCGGTCGTTGATTGCGTTGTCGTTGATCATGGCATTGTTACAGTTCAAGCCAGCGCCGATGTATATCTTGGATGAGGTTGATGCTGCTTTGGATTTATCCCATACGCAGAACATCGGTCACTTGATTAAGACAAGATTTAAGGGGTCTCAATTTATCGTTGTGTCTTTGAAGGAGGGGATGTTCACTAACGCGAACAGGATTTTCCGCACGAGATTCCAAGATGGTACCTCCGTGGTCAGCATCATGTAACGAGATGGTTAGCACGCTGTTGGGCTTATATCAAAGTTTACTGCATGGACGTGTAGCTTGTGTTGGAAAATCAGTAGATGCCAATGTTTCCGTGAGGTCATCTAGGATATCATTTAGTTTTAATTTTAACTCTAGGTTTAAAAGCATGGGCTATGATATGCAATGGGAAATTTTTTGATGTTTCTGACGGGCTTTCTGGCTGTTGTCATCCTTATTCGGGCTTTGGAGAAGTTGTGTTTCTGTGCTGGGGACTAACTAAGTAGTGCACGTACCACTGGTCCTGCAAATATCTCTGAAATTAACGATTTTGGTGACAAATTCCCGACGTGCTTGATGAAAAACGAGAATCCATATGATTGGCACTAGAACGATACCGTCGAACTGCCCCTTTTTTACAGCACAAAAATGGCTATCGGTAACCTTGCTAATAGATTCGGTATCCCAGTCCTTATTCCGGGTGGCAGATTCAATGCCCGTATGCTCCGTGACCATTTCAAGAGGCAGCAGTCCGCCGAGCACGAAGTCACCGTCAACGCTTTGAGATACATCTCCAGAAACACAACCTTGCCACCAAGAGCTAGAATCGAGGCCCAGTTGCAAATGGCAGCTATGCCAAACTACACCAAAATTATGAGCACCAAAAACAGATGTACCCTTTCTGGCCGCGGTCGCGCCGTTTTCCGTGCCTTCAGGTTGAACAGAGTGAGTATTTGCACGACAATACCCTTCCCCCTTCGAATGTATTTACTAACATCCATAGTTCACTTTCAGACAGTTGGCCAGAGCCGGTAAGCTTTCCGGTGTTATCAGAGCTATGTGGTAGACCGCCCAGCTTTACAGGTTGGATCACCACACATTTCCCCATGTTATCTCAGCCTGGCTATATAGCTTTGGCTAGCTGCGATCGGTCTGTGAAGAGATACTGCCATCGCTTGGGCGTTACATCTATTCTCCCTTTCCGCTCCCTTTGATGACACCCGTCAAATTTGTACATATTTAGGACATATCCGTATCTATGGGTATTAATCACATCTGCTTATACTAGAAACACACACGCATTGTATGAAACAGACACGATTTAGGTAATGGATGCTAAAAACATAACCGTAGCTCTGTTCCTAGAACCAACTCCCGGGATGAGCTGAAAAACTTCCCTCAGCCGAAGTTGATCTATGCGCAGGATCTCTTGCAATTTACCGACAGTTTTCCACTTATCGAAGTATCTGCCATCTATCCATCTAGCTTAGCTACGTTACTGCCATAATGGAAAAATTCACTACCTGGAGAGATAAGGCTACGGGGATCGCACCGTTTTTGCCAGTCCCTGAAGCCAGAGCCGAGTCCAGCCTCGTCTACCTCTCCTCCGTTGCTTTCAAAACGGGCTTGTTTGTTCTCAAGCTTCCCATCTTCGTTGTGGCTTATGCCTTGTTTGTGGCGATCCCATTTGTGCCAGCTGTTAGCAAGTTTTTGGCCAGGCTTATCCTTATCTTGTTTGGCTTCTACACCGTGGATATCTCCGTTGACGGAGTGAAGAGGACAAACAGAGACCTCATTAGAGCCAATCACCCGAACGATAACGAGATCATCGTGGTTAATTTCACCTCGCCATTGGATGTGATCATCTTGTCGTCTATCACGTCCAACCCTGTTTTTGCCATCCCCGATCACGCTGGTGTGTTGCACGAATTCTCCGTCACCGGCATAATCAAGTACGCTCTCTCGAAGCCGTCGTTAACCGATCCTTTGCCCCAAAACAAAATTGATTTCACCAGGTTGAAGAACAAAACGGTATATATTTTTGCTGAGGGCGCCACTTCTAACAACAAGGCTGTGTTGCCATTCCCAGCCAACTTGCAGCCGCTACCAAAGACCCACAAGTTGAAGTCGTTTGTCTTAAGGATCTCCCCAACATTCTTGACTACTCCCGTCCCCGTCAGCTCCCTAGTATACTTGTACAGAGCGTTGACCAACGTGTCTGGAGTTGTTAAGGGCAGGGTTGTGTTGTTGGATATTGACATCAACTGGATTGGTATCAGAGACTCGTTTGAAACCGCCGGTAAGTTGAGATTGGTGGGTCAGGGTTTGGACATTCAATCCAAGCTCAAGTTCCTCGATGCATACCACGATAATGAGCAGAAAAAGGCCTTGAAGAAAAGGAAAGCTTTTTGACTGGGCTACCGCGTATCAAAGTACTTTAGTGCACACAAGTTAGACATTTCACTAGGTCTACGCATGAGACAGCTAAGGTCCCTCCTTATTCTCTTTAATTGTCGATCCTCTTCCCCTTAGTCAGCTCACATTACGTGTTCGGTAGTATAACAGACCGTAGAGCATGTAATTTTCTCACATATATACAATGGTATGTATCAAGTGTAGTTATAAACGCCAATCCTACCAAGATAGTTTGCTCATAGCCCGTGTGATTGAATGACTCTACACAACGTTTTATCTTCTCCTTAAGTAGTATATGTTTATTCTTACAGTTTAGGCAAAGGTGGTCCTTAGCATCTTTCCGGCTCCATTAAAACTTCATCCCCAGACTTAAGGTTTCGGGCGTGTGGCGTAGTTGGTAGCGCGTTCGCTTAGCATGTGAAAGGTCTCGGGTTCGACTCCTGACTCGTCCATTCCTCTTTTTTGCTTTACACGCGACCTTTCTATTGTGTGATTACAAAACTTCCCCACAGCCACGGAACTTATATACCGGTTTCGCCACTTCAACAACTCGCTTGCTATACACTTGTGTAAGACTCTTACTTCAATGTTTTATTAATAAAACTAATGTACATAGAAAGATTATGCTTGTGCATAATGAAGAAAGAGTGAGAGAAATAAACCATATAACCCAGGGTGTAGAAGAGTGAAAAAGAGATAAGCATAAACATTATTGAAACAGTACCCAGAACCAGAAAATGAAGTAAAGCGGGGGGTGTATGCTTAAGCGGAGGAAGAGGAGTACTTGGTGACAGCTCTGGTACCTTCAGAGACAGCGTGCTTAGCCAACTCACCTGGCAAGATCAATCTGACGGAAGTCTGGATCTCTCTGGCAGAGATGGTGGACTTCTTGTTGTAAGCAGCCAACTTGGAGGCTTCGGTGGCGATTCTCTCGAAGATGTCGTTCACAAAGGAGTTCATGATGGACATGGCCTTCTGGGAGATACCGGTGTCTGGGTGAGTCTGCTTCAAGACCTTGTAAATGTAAGAGGAGTAAGTTTCCTTTCTGGTCTTAGATCTCTTCTTTGGGCCATCGGCAGCCGAAGCGGTCTTCTTGGCGGCTGGCTTCTTTTCAGCTGGGATCTTGGCGGCTGGCTTCTTTTCGGCTTTTGGAGACATTGTAAAGGAATTGGTTTTTTTTTATTGGAAAAAAAAAAGTGAAAGATTTTTGTGAATTAGATCGGGATAATTCGAGTGAAGATGGAAAGGAAATATAAGACCTATTTGCGTTTCAATCTGGTGGGGATGGGGTGTCTTTATATATGCTTTTTTTTAGGAGCCTAAGATGCTACGGCCTTGGAATTTGGTCGCAAGAGGTAGGCGGGGGGCGCTTTGGAAGGGAGTCGGTAGACCGTGAATTGTGGCCCGGGTAACACCTTTTTGTTCATATTGCAGGATATTTGCTCTCTGTTTGTTTGTATTTCAGCCTGGCCTGTGTACTTTGTTTGTTTGTTTTTTGCTAGGCCTAAGGGTATAATGTCCGTACAGGATAATCGAGACAGACTGCTTTCTACGCTAAGAGGTGAATTTACTATGTATCTCTCTGTAAAATATAGTACGTGTTTTTGTTTTGATTACAGCCCCTTGTCCAAGACGTCCCTAGGCGCTCCCATCATTAATTAGTGCACCTGCCTTGCTACCCCCTACGAAATACTTCGCGCCCCAACCCTCATTTTCTAGTATAAAAGCGCGCCACCCCCCCACTGCGTGGATTAAATACAGAAAACCTTTAATACTTTTCCATCATCACTTCTCCGTTCAAGAATAAATTCGAAAAAAACTTTCACTTTTATTCTCCCGAAAAAAAATTCATCGATTTTTTTTCACTCCCTCACACAACACAAACAAAAAAACACATAACACACAATGTCTGGTGGTAAAGGTGGCAAGGCCGGTGGTTCTGAAAAGGCCTCCTCTTCCCGTTCTTCTAAGGCTGGTTTGACTTTCCCAGTCGGTAGAGTCCACAGATTGTTGAGAAAGGGTAACTACGCTCAGAGAGTTGGTTCTGGTGCCCCAGTCTACTTGACTGCTGTTTTGGAGTACTTGGCCGCCGAAATCTTGGAATTGGCTGGTAATGCTGCCCGTGACAACAAGAAGTCCAGAATTATCCCAAGACACTTGCAGTTGGCTATCAGAAACGATGAAGAATTGAACAAGTTGTTGGGCCACGTCACTATCGCCCAAGGTGGTGTCTTGCCAAACATTCACCAGAACTTGTTGCCAAAGAAGTCTGGTAAGGCTGCTGCTAAGGCCTCCCAGGAATTGTAAGGAAATCATTCATTTCTTTCTAATCTAGGGTGCTTTCTCTGTACGTTTCCCTCTTCGGTTCACATTTTCTACTATAATATCGGGCTTTAACCCTTTCGGGTTTTCTCTCAACCTTCACTTCTCCTATCTCCTGTTTTCCGGGGCTCCAATGTCCGCCTCTCTTCTCCGTGTATACTAGTATGACTCACTGTTATGTATCTCTATCAAATCCACTATTCTGGTATCAATATATTTTTGTAAACCTGCTGTTGGATTCTTGGTGGTATGAACTGAGTCAGTAATTTTAGGGCATCGTTCTCCAACTTGCCTTTGTACGACGGAGTAAAAGTGCTGGAACTCAGATATTACATCCTGCACTTTATTTGGCAACGATCGCGAGACTAGTATACTGCCATAGAACGGATACCGCTGGTGATTAAATATGCAAGTCATGGTGTAATGTATGAATCGGGAAGTTTAGCTTACGCATATAGGAATATTTTTTGAGTTAAAGCCATATTCCATAGTTGTTAACATCAAACCAAGATACGATTAATTAAGGCTTGGAACTATATATACGTATATAGAGAATAGTCAGTCATTTATATATGTATCCATGTTGTTACTGGTATGATTTACATCTACGAATATATATATATAAATATCATTTGTTCTTATACATTTTACAAATACTTATTATTTTTCAGTTATTACACATTATGAGATATACCCTTTTGGAATTACCATGGATATATACATTTTATACCCCTGAAATATTTACATACCTGGAAAGATTGTGGCATATATCTCTCAATCTGTATATTATATTGTTCCATATATTATACACTATGACTTTTAAATACCATTATCGTGAATACAGGACTTAGGTCACATGACTATAGATGGCGTTTTTCTGACATTCGCTCCTTTTCCTCCCAATCGGGCTTGTGACTCCGTCCCAGATTACTAGTTGCAGGTGCCGTCCCGGTCAGCCGTGCCTCGCAGATACTTCCGCGTTTGGAGACCGTTTAGGTCTATAGTATTGCTAGTCCAGTATGTTGATAGTTTTTATTACCAATGTTCATGAGCCCCAACATTTACTTCCAAGGATGGCTGTTCTAAAATTCCTTTAAATCCTAATGCCACGTCTATATAAGTGTTTCAATTTGTAGTCGTTGGCTACTTCAGCTTGACGCAGTGTTTGTTACATGTGATCGCATCATCACGTGATTATAGTTAGCGTCCGTGTGTGTCGCTATCGGTCTAATACTATGCTGCTTTTGGCCTCTAGGATGCTATCATACTGTTGCTCCTCGATTTAAACCCTCATCAGACCCCTTTGAAAAGTGCTTCAGGTACGGAAAGGGTCTTGACACTAAGGGCCTAGCTTTTTTTTGCTGTCGATCCACATATTCCCCTCTTCCATGGCATTTGGCCTTTGAGAACCAAGCACAAAAGGTACGAGAGGAAATGTTGAACCCAAGGCAGGAGCTTGGTCTGCACAATGAAGCAAGTCCAATACTTTTTGCCCGTCGTCTAAAGTAGATCTACCGCTACCACCTTTATGATTAGTAGAGGGACGATAGTTCTCGGTCACATGCGGTACCACATGTATAAGTAAGGCATGCCCGGGGGTCTCCGCTTTCTTGAGTCATTCAGCCCAAATGTTCAACTTAAGCGGTTATTTCTGCAAGATAGACGGATACCACGTCTTTTCTATATATATACCGCGTGGGAGCACCTCTCTTTGTTTTGAGAATCTCGCTGCCCAGACACATATGTGTCCAACGCGCAGCGGACTGAAGCATAGAGACAAGGTTGTGTATGAAACCGGTTAGTGCATAATCGCTATCACGTAAACTAATCGGCAAATCCTCCCATTCTGAGATGTGATTGGCCAGGGAACATGATAGGATAGTGCGAGCACGTGACTGCATTGATAACGAGACCTAGAACGTTGGCTCGCGATTATATGCAGTCCTCATCTGAAAAAGAAACCCCGAACGTCTTCTGCTTGTTTGGTGAAGCAGGAGTGCCATAATGCGAGATATTCCCGATGACTAGTCCAAGGTGTTAAAAACCTTAAACGGCCGCATTATACAATCCAGCGGATCATTAGAACCGATTCGCTACGATAGGGACTTGATAAAGAAATCAGAAAACCTTATTTGGATGGTAGTAGGAGCGTGGTTCTCCGCTCACTCCGTTTGGTTTCTTTTTCGCTGTCCGAAATGCTCGGGTCCTGCATTATCTCAAAGTCTAAATCACGCACCGTAGCGCTCTGATGGGAGAAACCTTGACTATTCTCTGTAGTTTTCGCTCGTTTGCTGCAGCCGCTGCTGCTAATCTGCACCGTGGCCGGGCATCGTGCGTTGCTCTGTACATGGAGCACACTCTTCAACTATCACTGTCCTCTAATCTCTTCACCATAGCCCCAGGCCGATTTTGCAGAACAGAAGGGGCAGGCTTTGCTTTATTGGAGGGTCGTTGAGCTAGAATGCCCAGAAATTTATCGTAATTGCATTGTCCCATAGTGCAGAAGCCGGCGTGAGTGGCATTCACTATCGGAAGAGTATGTGCGTTGGCGTATATGTACGGTGCATGCCATACAAAATTAAATTTTCAACCATACGTTTTTTTATTATAGCGATTCTCTCCGGAGGGTGTGGCCCCTGTTTCTGTCATATGCGTTGTTTAACCATCCCTAAGAAATATATAGGCTAGCGAAAACCGGTCACCGGGGGACTTTCGTATATATACGTTCTCCAACCCGTTTTGTTTCTTTTCTCTAAACTGCCCCTTTTCTCTACACTCTCTCTGTGACTTATATTTTTGCTTGCATACACCCAGGAATTCTAAGTTTGTTTGCATTTACCTCTTAGTTCATCCTCTCCACAACGCACCATGCTACAAGATCTATTCAAACGAGCCGAAGGCCCCATAGTCGAAGGCTCCTCCTCGCTATACGACAACTCGGCCTTCGACGCCGCCCAGCTGTCGATGCTAGCGATAGCCTCGGCCATGATTTGGATCATGATTCCCGGTTTGGGGTTTCTTTACTCGGGCTTAGCCCGTAGAAAATCTGCATTGTCCATGTTGTGGGTCTGTTTCATGGGCTCCATGGTCGGAGTGTTCCAGTGGTACTTCTGGGGCTACTCGCTCGCCTTTTCCGCTACCGCGTCTAACAACTTCATCGGTGACTTACACTACTTCGGGTTCAAAAAGATCAACCACTTCGTGGAGGGTGCCACCTATCCCACCGTTGTCTATGCTCTTTTCCAAATGCAGTTTCTCATGGTGACCCTTGCCATTGTCGCCGGTGCCACCACCGCCGAAAGAGGTAGATTCTTGCCTGGGATGGTGTTCTTGTTCCTCTGGGCGACCGTCGTTTACTGTCCGGTTGTTTACTGGGTGTGGAACCCGAACGGATGGGCTGCCAAGTGGGGCGTCTTAGACTACGCGGGGGGTGGCCCCGTGGAAATATTGTCTGGCTGCAGTGGCTTCGTCTACTCGGCCTTTTTGGGCAGAAGAAGAGACAGTGGGTTGTTCAACTACAGGGCGCACAACATCTCCTTTATTATGTTGGGATTGACCTTGCTTTATGTCGGCTGGTTGTTTTTCAACGGTATGTCTTGCTTGGCTGTCAGCGTTAAGGTGCCGTATGCCATGATGAACACCCACTTGACTGGTGCATTTGGTGCCATGACCTGGGGGATTTTGGATTGGAGAATGGAAAAGAAATGGTCTACCGTTGCCCTCTGTTCCGGCTGTATTTCTGGCTTGGTTGCTGCCACACCTGCATCCGGTTGTATCCCCCTCTGGGCCTCCGTTGTCTTGGGGGTTGTCGCCGGTGCCGTTTGTAATTTTGCCACTGGGTTCAAGTATTTGGTGCACGTTGACGACTCTCTCGATGTGTTGGCCGAGCACGGTGTTGCTGGGATTGTCGGGTTGCTTTTCAACGCTTTGTTTGGCGACAAGTACGTTATCGGTTTGGACGGTATCACTGAGCACGCCGGTGGCTGGTTGAACCACAACTACAAGCAGTTGTACATCCAGTTTGCCTACATCATTGCCTGTATTGCATACTCCAGTGGTGTCACTGCGGTCTTGTGTTTTGCCATCAACAAGATTCCGGGCTTGCATTTGAGAATCACTCCTCAGGCCGAGGAGAACGGGGTAGACGAGGACCAGATTGGTGAGTTTGCCTACGATTACGTGGAGGTCAGAAGAGACTTCTTGGCCTGGAGCGATCCTCAACAAGAAAATGAGGGTAAAGTCTCTCCTCAACAGGCTACCAGCACCCACGAAGTGGAGGCGAACCATGCCAGCGAGCAGTATCCTGAAGTGATGGATGCCGCTGAAGAGACCAGCGGCACAACCAGCACCTCTGTTCGCGAGAAGAGGGAGTAATATTTTATAGAATCCGTGCTACTCGCTTCATCTTTTGTCTTTCAGTCTGCTTTTCTTTGATTTGTGCTAATCACAATTGGGGTCAGTTTTTTTTTGGCCCTTATAAATTTACTTCTCCAAGGATTTAGAAATCACCTTCCATCTCGCTTTAATGTCATGAACTTTCATCTATGATGTGCATTTTAGATTACTAAACCATTACATAGTATAGTGATTTACTTGCATTTATCACCATATTCCTGTTTCAAAGCGTGAGCGCCCTAAAAAGTCTCCAAATCGTCTTCCTGGTCCATCACGTCGTCTCCCTCGCCCTCGTTCGGTATCTGGAAGCCTTCCTCTGTGCTATACAAAATCTCCTGGATGTTGGTCAACAACGTGTCCACCGAGACAGGAGGGGACTTTTCATCCTCACTCAGTTCCTCGGTGGCGTTTTGGATCAATATCTCGATTTCCCTCAACTTGTTGAAGTAGAAATTTCTTTCAGTTTCCAAACCTTCGGCCGCTACGCGGTACTCTTCCGCCTCTTCCTGCATGTTGGTGAGGTTGAGCTGGGAGTCCTGCAAGTGCCCGGTCAACTCTTGCACCTCCTCCTGCTTCTGCTGGTACTGCTGCAAGCTGACGGTGCCGCTGACGGTGCCGCTGTTGACACCACTGACTCGCCTGGATGTGGACGGCGAAGGCGTGGAAGACGTTCCAAACGGTTGCCTCGTTCTTGGCAATGTTTGCAGGGATGGAGCTGGTTGTGGTTTTGTGGTTCTGGAACTGGTTGTAGGAGTTCCAGACGCGGCTCTTCTGGCCACAGGTGGGGCAGCCGTCGGGGTAGACCTACTAGCAGTACGCAGAGAAGGCGGGACCGTAGGCGTAGATCTGCTCACAAGACCACGAGCAGACGAACCCCCGACTTTTGAGGCGGGCTTTGCGGCAATTGCTGAACTTCGAGTCCCCGCGGCCGGCGGGGTGTAGTTTCTTCTTGCATTCGGATCGTACTCCGATTCGTCTTTGTTGTCCATCCAGAACTTCTTCATCCATTGCAAGAACTCCAAGTTGTCCTGGAATCGGCACTTTACCAACTTGTCAACAAGAATCGTCTTTTCCACACGGTGCTTTAAGAACGCCGACTGCAACACTTTGTAGTTGGATTGGTACTGGTACTCGTTTGCCGCGTTGAATTTGACCTTCGTCATCGGCACGTCTTGGAACACAGAGTCAAAAATCTGACAGTAGGCAGCGCCCGACCCGCATTGCTCTACCTTTGTGTAGCTGAGATCCAACAAGCTGTTTAACCAGAGGAGGAGCTCGGATCTTGATTCCCCAGACATGTTTAGGAGTGGATAAGAGGTATGTGCGAGGAAACGGGTAAAGCGTCTGGTCTGGGTTTAACAAACAATCGTGTAGTATTCGCAGGTGCACTCTAGGGATAGGTGTATAGATACCTCAAAGAAAGCAAAACAACCTTTAGTCCGACTAACGCGATTTGGTGGAGACGCGAGACGTGTTAGGAAGCTCACGTGATCTCGCCTAAGGAGGCCTAACTCGAAACGGATCCTAAACAGGAAGCTACGCGTTTTCGTCTGGCAGGGTACCGAGCGTATTTATGGGCGGCATTGGTTTTGGGTGAATCAGTGATTGACGGTTCAAGGGGGTTATTGGAGAGCTCGATCCGGTTCAGTCCGGCCAGTACGAGCGAGTCACTCAATGTCGCACCAGAGCAGAGCTAAGACTATACCTACAAAACGGTTCAAGTACAAAAATAAATTAACGTCGAAAACACATAAGGTTTGAGAGTAAAACAAAACGTCACAAAACAAGGGAAAAATAAAACTTGAGTCATCTCACAGAGAGACAAAAACTGTAGGTATACGGCACAACAACTTTCAGGCAGACTAGCTGTCCTCTAAGTTTCGATGTGCTGCACAACTGCCTTGTCTTCCCATTCGGCATTGGTGACAGCCATTCTGTGGTGACGGTGCAATGGGGCCATTCTAGGGACATTTTGACGGAAGATATTTCTCTTGACTTCGATCCAAAAGGCCTTGTTCTGGTAAGAAGCATGCTGCCAGACAGGAACGTCGAACACCTCATCCAATTCTTCCAAGGTTAAACTCTTGGTTTCTGGCAAGAACCACAAAACCAAGAAGAAGCCCACCATGTTCCAGGCAGCATACCAACCAAACGCACCCTGTGGCTTGAATGCCTTCACCAAACTTGGCCAGGTAAGAGACAAAACAAAGTTGAAGAACCAACAGGTGGCGGTGGCAAAAGACATACCCACATCACGAACGGGTAAGGCAAAACATTCAGCGGAGTACAAGAAAGGAACCGGGCCTTCACCGGAGGAGTAGACGGCAGCAAACAAGTAAATCCCCAAGGCAATCACACCCACGCGGGCAGACAGGTTAGACTCTGGGATCCAGAAGGAGAAACCAGTCATCAAAAGGAAAACAGACATGAGCGGGAAAGTCCACAATAACAAGGTCCTTCTCCCCTTGACATCAATCAAATACAAAGCAGGAATCGCAAAGAGAAAGTTGATCATACCAAACCCCCAGGAAGCCAAAAGAGCGGAGATATCACTAAACCCCGACTGCTTAAAAATCGAGGAGGAGTAGTAGGCAATAACGTTGATACCACAGAATTGTTGCATGAACATGACAATCCAAGCACCAATAGCGGAGTTTCTGTTCCTTCTGACAGAGAACAAGCTATTGACTTTCTGGAAGAAGGTCATCTCCGAAAGCGCATTTTCTTCGTTCAACAAGACGTACTGGTAGAAACAATCCCTGGCAGCAGAGATTTCATCGCATCTAAGGGACCTCAAAGAGTAATAGGCTTCCAAGTGTCTGTTCTTACCCATGAGCCATCTTGGGGATTCTGGGCACCACAAGATTTGTACACAAACAAACAACGCTGGGATCATAGCAGACCCTAACATTAATCTCCAATTCAAGCCTTCTCCGATCCCGTGGTCACCAACATGATAGAACGCTAAGGAAGAGACGTAGCCAAACATAATACCCACGGCAGTGAAAACTTGCCACAACATAACCATGGCACCTCTGATATGGGCAGGGGTACATTCAGCGGAGAACACCGGAACGGTGGTAGATTTAGGACCAATACCAAACCCTAAGAAGAATCTGGCAATGAACAAGTGCCACCAGTGGTTGACAAAACCCAGCCACAAACAGGTTAAGGCGGAAATAACACACGAGATGAAGATCACCTTCTTACGACCGAATCTATTGTTCAAAGGGTCGGTCAACCAACAAGAGACCGTGGCGCAACACAAGTATGGGGCCGAGTTCACCACACCCAATAGCCAACTATCTCTATTGCTGTCGCTACCAAGCCCGAGTGCCTTAGGGAAGAACAAGTTGGCACCGTTGATTACGGATTCGTCCATACCTTGTACAGCAGCGGCCATGGATCCAACCCCAATCACCACCCAAAGTTTGATGGGAATATACCACTTGTTGGTGGCTTCTTGGTATAAGCCCTGCCTTTCGGCATCCGATAAGAATTCCATGTTATTGAAGTCTCTTGGGGTTCTGGCGACGGCAGCTGCCCTGGCAAACAATTCAGGATCCATGCCGTGCTTCATAGCGTAATTCCGGCCCATATCCATAACTTGTTTTTCAGAGTACTGGGATAAAATATTGTCATTGTCAGATGGATCAGCGTCCGAGGATGCAAATTCATCGTGACTACCCTGACGTTTTTCGTTTGATGCCTCGGAGGAGTTTTCGAACATACCGGGGGCAGCGGCTGTGCGGTTTACTCCGACACCGGGCTTGTCTCCAGTGTTGGTGTTGGACATGTTAAAATAGTACCTGTCTAGAAAGGAAGTGAAAAATGAAGGGTGAGATTAGATGAGGATAGTCGGGAAAGTCGTTTGTATTTATATGGACTCGGGAGCTCGAGATCTGGAGGATTTAGGCGCAACCCTATGCATCTATAGTCATGCCGTACTCGGCCTATCTTACAACTTATTCAATTTCAAAAGAGAAATTGGTCGCATAAGCTGAGAAATAGGGTGCTACAACACGCAGTGACGCACTAGGCGCCTTATATGTAGCAACTCCGACGCACGATGACGGCCAGAATACAGGATACTATATTATTCGCACAAATGACGCATGGAATCTTTTCGGAACATCATTAATAGACATTTTTTGCGTCTATAAAAAGATAAAAATAAATCGCTACGAAACTTAAACCTTCACCCCAGACCGACTAGACGATAAAGGGAGGGGTCAAGAATAAACAAACTTAAACTCTTCAACATTCCAGTGTTCCCCACTTTTGTGCAGCATGAGAGTAGTTCGCCGTTAGCATGAAGCTTTGCGTGAATTTTCTTGAGGGGTAATACCCCGAGACAGGGTGCTCACCAAGGATTAAACTCCTCCAGCGGGGGGAGGGCGGGTTAAGCCTCTAACACCCCGTCCTCGTCGAGTAAAATATGCACGGGGGAATACGTCACTTGACTACCTATACGCGGTAATTGGATCGAGCTTACAAAACATGCGAATGGTATTCGAGAGGTACCCCAGTATGTAAGAAGTAGACTAGGTGGTAAATCCGGGGGAGCACACGCCACGAACTAGACGGGGCCGGTATAGCAGCTAGTTTTAAACCTACCCCGCTCATCAACTAGCCATAAACTAAAATATCCGGAGTCAACATAAAACGAAAATTCGAAGACTATCACCGAAGTTAAACAAGAGAGATATAAAGACCAGAATACGTATATGTTGAAGCTGGCTTGACTCTTCAATTGGGGGTCTAGGACTTACCGATCTTTAACAGTACTGAGAGAGAAACCTCTCTATCGAGTTTATGCGGAGAAACAATTGACCGCTATGCCGTGGAAAAATTCTTGATTACACCCCCGTATAGCAGTGCTATCGCCAGAATGCCGTGAGCCTAAAGTCACCTGCATATGGGTACGCCCTTAAATCTAAAGTGCTAGGATTACCGCAAACGAGAACTAAACACATTGACAAAGAAACAACACACCCTTGTTATTTCTTACGGAGTATGGCGGACATTACCGGGAAGATTTATGCACAAGACCAGGATGAATGATATGTTAGTCTAACAGCTGGACTTGATCGCACGTACAGTCCTAATTAGACGGCTTATTTTGTTTTAAGTACTTCTGATTCAGTCATTCATCTTTTGTTGGATGGTTCCTAGTTTATATTAAGTTTCGTAGTATGGATTTCATCTGGCCAGCCTTGTGCCTGTTTGGGAATGGATCATCTGCAAAGCTTCTCTGAGGTTAATACCGTAAGGGAGACCTTGCACATAGAGGTCATCCATTCTCACCAAAATTCCTGCCGCACTGTTGTGTTCCGGCATGGGAATGCATAGAGTTTGCCCAAGCTACAGCTGGAGTAATCGAACTAGCCACACTATATGCGCGAATTAAAGTACGGTGACGAAATGCGAAATTTTTACTTGGTTGCGCTATTTTGCGTAGCTTCTTTCGAGGATCCCATACTGGAAGCAGCAGTTGTTTGCTCTCTCTCTGCTGTAAAGATGACTCTCAAACGTGCACCCATATATATATACTGGCCATATCCACCAAAACCACCTTCGGCTGATCATGATATGTAAATGAATATACCACCCGACAGCCCTTCTACCCTAGTTGTCAAATCTTAATCCAAGTCCCCAAGGCAGCTATGTTGATCGGCCATCCCTCTGCGTCGCAATGGATATAAGCTTAAAAGCCCAACAACCCAGGGCGAGTGACGTGTGGTGCCACCCAGCGTCAGATCTCTGAAGGTCTAGACTCGGCCTTATATGCGGCGCTCATAACCTAATACTAACAGACTTAGTGTCAACGCCCGAGGCAGGCCTCCCACCTGTCTGCGGGGTTAGGTCACGTGAGGAGGTTTGCCGGAGAGGTATGGGGTACCAATAGGACTACGGGGAGGGGTTTCTCTTGCCAAAGCGTGTGGTGTCGGTTACTCCGGCTGATTTACCGAAACCGCATCAGCTGATGCGAAAAAAAGGCAATAATCGACAAAATCGAGAACACACACTCTTTTCCATGTTGCCTTGCAAAAGCCTTCGGACCCCTCCAAAACAGCTTCCCCGTATCTTCGGCAGAGCTCTCCGGCCTTTTAGCGTCTCGGGAATCCAATGCCAGGTGAAGTTCAAGAGCTACAACAACAAGTCCATTAGTCTTTCGATTGAGCACAAGACGGTTCTGCTAAACAATATCTTTCTCCGCGACGCATGTGACTCTCTCCGGTCGAGGGACCCTTACTCCAAACAAAAATTGTTCACCACTGGTAGCTTGGATGTTACCATCAGACCGGCTAGAGAGCCAAGGTTTATCACTAGGGAAGACGCAAATTCTTCCATTAGGGGCCTTCAAGTCGATTGGTCCGATGGAGCTTCGTCCTTCTACACTGAAGAGTTCTTGAGGAGGTACGCTAATGCCCCGCAGAACTGCGGGGAGGGGAGGGATCTCAAGTCTCAGATGCTATACTGGGATCTCGAAACGTTACGGGAAAACGAGCAAGAAATCGTCCACAATATCACCTACGACAAATATATGAATGACGAGAAGACCTTGTTCACTGCTTTGGACAACTTGAACAAGTACGGAATGGTTTTCATCAACGACATCCCGGAAGGCAAGGAGTTCATCATGCCTAACGGTAAGTGGGCCATAGAGAACATCGCTGAGCGGATTGCTTACATCAGAGAGACCTTCTACGGTCGCTTGTTTGATGTGAAAAACATCAAGGAGGCCACCAACATCGCCTATACCTCGACCTACTTACCGTTGCACATGGATTTGTGCTACTACGAGGCGCCGCCCGGGATCCAGATCTTGCACGCATTGCAAAATTCTACTGAAGGGGGAGACAACGTCTTTGCCGACTCCTACAGAGCTGCTTTATACGTCAAAGAGGCCGACCAAGCGGCCTACGATGCATTGTTGAAGGTCCCAATCAACTATCATTACGACCACACAGAGTATTACTACGCCTATTCCAGACCTTTAATCACCGAGGACCCCGTTCTGGGAGGAATCAAGGAAATAGCCTACTCACCACCGTTTCAGGCGCCGTTTGAAAGGGGAATCCTTGAACAGGATGCGCACCTCTTTGAGAGCTTCATGAGAGGCATGAAGCTTTTTGAGGGGTTCCTTAACGATCCAAAGAACCAGTATGTCATAAAGACTAACGAGAGAAGTGCGGTATTGTTTAATAACCGCAGAACCCTCCATGCTAGAAAGGAGTTCCGCGAAGTCGGGGCTCATAGTGAGCGGTGGCTAAAGGGATGCTACTTGGATGGCGATGCCTTTGACTCAAAGTTGAGAGTGCTTTACCGGAAGTACGGGGCTCAATAGGGCTATAGGACACCCAGGCGTGTGTAGATCTACAGAAACCAAAAATACAACAACATTATTATACAGAAATTATAAATAGGCAAAGACACTCTAGTTGGCTTCAACAAAGGCTCTGTACGAAACAAAGTCTTCGGATGTAGATTCTAACTCAATCTCGGCACCTGGGGCGACGAAGAAGACGAAACCGGTCTCCGCTTCGAGCGGAGAGCTGGAGCCCTTAACGGAAATCTTACCGGTACCCTTGGTAGTGATCACGATGGAAGGGCCCTCAAACCTGGCAAAAGTTTGAACGTCACCAGTTTTGGACAAGACAGTTTGCAACACGGAGAACTCGGCGATAGGTGGGTCGTACAAGACCGACTTACCGTCACCCTGGGCTCTTGGGAAGGCCAATGGGGCCATCTTTTGCTTCTCCACCGAGTCGTAGGAGTAGGTCAACATGTCAACCAAGTTTTCGACGTCCTTAAACTTTGGAGTGAAGCCAGCTCTCACGACATTGTCAGATGCAGCCATGCATTCGATGATGTCACCAGAGATGTAGGCGTGAGGGTCCTTAGCCTGTAAAAACATCGCTTCACCGGCCTGCAATTGACAATGGTTCAACATGACGCACCCACAGAATAAACCGATATCGTTTGGAAACTGCTTGTTGAGGCGGAGGATCAATTCGGCCTGACCGGGGTAGAAAAGCCCAGGCTGTGTGGTTGCGCTGTCTACCAAGGAGGCAGCCAATCTCGCGATGGTTTCGTCATTCGTGCGCATCAACTTACCGAACACGGCCTGGAGCAACTTTCTGTTGTTCACATCCGCATCAGAACCAGCTACGGCGGCTGGCTTTATGCCAGCCTGGAATTCGCGCTTGGTGTCCTCACCGACAATCTCGGCAAACTGCGGGAACTTGTTCAAGGACTCCGAGATTTGGTCTAACGGCTTGAACCCACAGAAGCCCTCAAAGTCCGTAACGGCAATGGCCATCTCCGGCTTGTGGTTGTCGTCTGGGTAGTTCTTTGGATCGTTGGCGTGCAAGATCTTAGCACCGGCCTTGTCAGGATGGGCTTGGATGGAGAGCACCTTTTCTATGGACAACACCTTGAACAAGAACGGGAGTTCCTTGGAGGAGCCAAATTTGGAGATGATATCCTGGCCTAATAGCTTGTCTGGATTGGCAGTTACCAAGTCTCTCAAGGTTTCGTTGGTACTGACGTTAACGGAAGGAACCGATGGGTGAGTGCCCATCCACAATTCTGCATATGGCTTGGACTCGTCAATCTTGGTGGCGGCGTTAGAAGCGGCAGCGAACCGCGCAACGGCCGAAGAGGAGCCAATCTTACCTACTGGGTGTTAGAACGTTGCTGATGTACACGCCATGGGGAGAGTACGTTACTTACCCCAGTCATAGTTCTGGTGACCGCAGTCAATTCTAAATAACAAGTTTGACATCAGGAAAGTGGTGAATGTTTTATATGGAGGTTCAAACCAAAAGATCAGAGAAGAAAAAGCCTTATACACGTGTCATGTGCGATATTTACTCTCTTTTTTTTACGTGTCGCACTAATGTTAGGAGATTCCTCAGATTGTGCTATATTTAGCGCACAAATCTAGGACAGAGAGCGACTTTCCCGGAACAACCCACATGTAACGGGTTTTCCACCTCGTGCATAGATATCTAAAAAGCTGCATAACAGATATGTACATGAATTCCACCAACCCATTATGCCAGGGGCTTTTCAAAACGATCAAACAGAGGGTTGAGAAGTGCGGGCTTCGATGGTTGGCAGAGTATTAGCCGTCTCGCACCCTCGTGGGCTGTTTGTATCGTGATAAGCTCATAATTTGTTTCTGGGCATTGCTACACCTTAGTCAGTCAGCCATATTTCATAGGCTTCGTGAATCCAATTGTGTTTCATTTTATAATTAGAGAAAAAAAAAAAGCTAGGAGAATATAGAATATAGCTCGGACCAATTGAAAAAAAAGGGCGTTTAGGAGGTCCTGCTCCCGTTCACCATTCACATGTGCGGATTGTGCAAATTTTAGAGAGGATTATTCAGCCTCGTCAAGGTCGCCTTCAACTGGAACTTCCCCTCTGACCATTAACCTGAAGGCATGTCTAGTGTGCCCCTTAGGGTCAAAATCCAGGATAGCTGAGTGGATGGCGATTCTGTTGTCCCAAAACACAACAGAGAATTGCTTCCAATTAACCCTGATCTGGTAGTCCACGGAGGTTCCAACGTGCAGGTACAAGAAGTCGAGCAACGCGCTGCTCTCCTCACGTTTGTACCCCTCTATTTCACGCGTGAACTGGTGGTTCACATAAATCGATTTCCTCTTAGTCACAGGGTGCTGCCTAACAATCGGATGATAGTTGATTACCGGGGCGCGTCTGACAACACCACCGGCCTTTAAAGCAAAAGCGGCTTGTTCATGAGCGGAGTGGCTAGCTTTTAAACCGTGTAAGCGTTCCTTGAAGCCATCGGATAAGCGGTTGTAGGCTTCCCTGGTGTCCGCGAAAATAGTATCTCCGCCAGAGGGCGGAGTATTCACCATTGCAATAAGAGAGTACGAAGGTGGCTGTTCCTCGTATGTGACATCTGAATGCCAAGCGGTAGAGGTGGTACGTGACGTCAACCCATATAATCTTTCCGGGTTGAAAGTCCCACTTTTGTAGATGTTGTGAAACTCTGGATGACCCTTCAAGTTCCCAGAGGTTGGGTGCTCGTGTGGAACACCGTAGTAAGAAATGAATTCTTTCAACTTGTCTGGACCCAACTTGAAGAAATTTTCCTGGTTGTGGAAAACCAAAACCCCGCGCTGGGCGATCAACGAAGCTAACTCATCCTTTGCCTTTGGGTTGTCCACCAAATCAGTCAATTGCACACCAGTAACAACGGTACCGAATTTTGGAGAGATTTCCTTTAAGGAAATCTCTTTGCTGGCCAACTTCAAGGTTGGTAACAAGGTTGGTAAGCTAGTATCGGCATACAATGCCCTGTCGTCGTATGGGACTTTGGTGTAGGCAGGTTGCTGAGGAATGGTCTTATCCCAGATCGGCAAATATTCAGGGTATGAAGATTCTTTCTTATCCTCGCTTGTAACGGTGAGGACCTGCTGTTTCTCAGAAAGCCCGATATGGGATAATCCCTCCTGAACGGCGGAGATCCCCTTAGACACAACGGCGGAAGACATATTATGATGGCTTGTTTTTTTTTCTTTTTACTGACTAGAGTCGTACGGCAACGATTATATTATGTTAGCTTAGGGATCCATCGGCTGCTTATATATCCTTGTGCCGAGGCAGTTCCTCGTTGACATTTTGAGGGTACCGCTGCTGACTAATTACCATCCACACCTCAACCTGATAGTCGTTCTATTTTCACAATCCGAGGGGTGATATGGTTCGCTGATTGAATTATCAAGATTTAAAGTGTGTAACTTTAAATTGTGGTAGATAAGACAAACTGTGGTGGGCTGGTGGCTACCTCGGGTAGAATGATGGACAAGAATCCAGCTTCCCGTAACAAGCAGGGGTTTTGAAACACCTGGTACTGAATAGAGAGAATAAAGGCGGATAAGGCTTATACTTGTGGAGGCGATGGCCAATCGCAATGATTCTACACAATCTCGCAATCTCGGCAGTAACCGGAGTTTACGCACGTTGATATATACCCCACATTTGTTAACCCCGAATATCACGTAGTTCGCTATAGATCTAGACTGATCACCGGATTTAATCCAATAAATATACAATTGGTGGCTTTTTCAGTGACTCATACGGATGGATACATCGCTACTGATACGGAGCTATATAATGCTTTGGGGGCGGAGTACACGTGTGGGCTAAAAAGCTGGTTAAGTTAAATATTTTCTGCAGACTCATGTAAATAATTAAAACAAAAGGAATGCGCGACGAAATTAAAGGACAAGGTGTATATACTTGGTTCAATCAGCATTAGACTATGCATCATCTGCTTCCTCTTCGATTTTTCCAGTCGGTATTTCGGCCCTCACCAGTAATCTGAATGCGTGCCGAATATACGAGTCGGTGTCAAAATCCACAAGGGCCGAATGTATCATAGATCTGTTATCCCAAAGAACAATGGAAAATTGTTTCCATTGGACTCTGAGTTGATAGTCAACAGAGTTGTTTAAGTGTTGGAGCAAAAACTTCAACAAGGCGTTACTTTCCTCCGTCTTAAGCCCTTCCACGGTGCGCGTGAATTGGCTGTTCACGAAGAGGGACTTTTTTTTGGTAACGGGGTGGTTTCTCACGATAGGATGGAAAGTGGTAATAGGCTCCCTTCTAAGGATCCCCCCATTCGCCACAGCAGTGTCAGCTTGTGCATGAGCTGAGTGACTGGCCCTCAAATCCGTTAATAAAGCTTGGAATCCCGGCGATAAGCGATTGTAAGCTTCCCTGGCATCGGCGAAGATGGTATCGCCACCGGATGGTGGGGTATCTACCATGGCCAACAAGGAGTATGATGGCGGCTGTAACTCGTACGTCACGTCGGAGTGCCACGCAGTAGAGGTAGTGTGCGTTTTGAAAAATTCAGCGGGGCTAAAGTCCCCACTTCTGTAGGTGTTGTGAAACTCCGGATGTCCGGCCAGACCTCCAGAGGTGGGGTGCTGGTGAAGGGCACCGAAGTACGAAACAAACTCCTTGATTTTTGCAGGACCTAACTTGAGAAGATCCTCCTGGTCACGGAAAAGCAAAACTCCACGTTGAGCCACCAACAATGCCAATTCATCTTTGGCTCTTGGGTTATCAACCAAATCAGCCAATTGCAACCCTTTCACCTCGGTACCAAACTTGGGGGTCAAATTACTTAACAAGATTTCCTTGTTGTCTAGCTTTTGTTTTGGTAACAAGTTTGGCATCGCAGGATCAGCGTCTAAGGCTTTGTCATGGTATGGGATCTTGGTATAGGCCGGCTGCGCAGTAATGGATCTGTCCCAAATAGGCAAGTACTCTGGGTAGGAGGATTTCCGTTTCTCAGTTTCGTTGACAGTTACAACTTGGGCATCCTTGGGAGCTTTGGAAGGGAAGCCAGTGCCGGAAATGGCGGAAATTGTTTTGCCAACGCTAGTAGACATGGTGCAGTAGATGTTGCGTCTGTTGGAAAAAGGCAAGAATTAGAGGTTAGTTCCAACTGCCAGAAGGTAACTAAGTGTATATTTTTATATCCCAAATAAGTTGAGCTTGAATAAAACACGTACAGAAAGTTACCCAATTTTCCGGAATTTAAGCTATTTTCGAAACTCAGTAAATAAACTGTGGATCCCCTTAGGTGGGTCGCACATAAACTTAGTAATATGCACATGCACCTCCAGCTCAGGCGAGGGATAACGTGCCAGCTTGTACAGTATTTGAGAATTGTTCATTTCAGGGGTATGGGGGTTGGATAAGAAACCAATTTATAGAACCTGATTTCTTTGCCCTCTTCTCATCCGTGTACTAAGCTAGAGAACGGGCGGAAATTATTGTTTTCGGTAGGTTACGTTGGGAGTAAGCTTTTCTAAGCCGCAGCCTCGATCACATCATAATATGGCTAAATTTCTGACCTCCCCGCCACAGTACATATCAACCGTTCATGCCGATCCAACGGTTCGTTTTTCAAATCCCGAGGAACAGAGATGAAGTGAAAATAGTTAAATGGGCGATAAAAGATCTCGTACCTAGCCAACACACAGGGCTATTAGCCTACCATACCCTCTTGACTGCTAGTACGCCCCTTCGAAGTTCAACAGCGGAGAGAGATCGATTGTCCAGCCAATTAACGCTAACGGTGCTTGTTGATCACCAAAGAGTGATTTTATCCTGTGGATTGTGAGGTACGGTAGCTGAGATCTTTCCAGCTGAACAACCGTGAAAGACCAGGCATCGTTTCTTTAGCACTTAGGAATTAATATAAGCCTAGTCGTATAGTATTCTGATGCATTTAAGAGGCTATTATATAGATGGTACAGCAGGGCAACGAGACGTAATACCAATAAGCTGTAAGCCCAGCTCTACCACCTTGTCCAAAGCATGACGTAATCCTCCTCTCACGTTTTATCGTGCGGGTGATAATTTCCACGTGATGGCCCATAGATTAGCGTGCAATGCCACTTCAAGAAAGCAGTCACAAGTGCGTGTGAAAATGTTCGCTTCAAGTCGAAAAACTCATACAGATGCAGAAGTTTAGTCACGTGTAGGTCACATGTAGCATCACGTGTGTACGCCAAACCACGCACAAAACGTTTCTTTTACCGAAAATTTTCGCGCTCCGAGTGGAAAAATTCTTTGGTCGTCGAAATTATTGTTTCCCGCACTCCCCCTACGCACGCAGCTGCTACACACAGAGCAGGTGAGGTAGGGTTGGCAGCTGGAAAATCCCAACCATGGCAGGATACCGTAGTTAATAAAAGTAAAGTAGCTTAAAACACCCTCCTTAGGAACTGTTAGAAGAGATTTTAAAGACCATATCCCTTAAAAATGTCTGAAACCAAAGTTAAAGCCTCTGCTTGGAGATTAGTTGAAGTTGGCCGTGTCGTTTTAGTTGACGGTAAATTGGCCGCCATCGTTGAAATCGTCGACCAGAAGAGAGTCTTGGTTGACGGTCCAAAGACCTCTGTCGTCAGACAGGTTGTCTCTTTGGCCAACGTTGTTTTGACTCCATTGACCATTGCTTTGCCAAGAGGTTCCAGAACTGGTACCGTTGCCTCTAAGTGGACCGCCTCCGGTGTCGACGCTAAGTGGGCTGCCTCCTCTTGGGCCAAGAAGATTGCCGCTAGAGAAAGAAGAAGACAGTTGACCGATTTCGAAAGATTCCAGGTTATGGTCTTGAAGAAGCAGACCAGATTCGCTGTTAAGAAGGCTTTGGCCAAGGCTTAAGTTTATTGACTCCTCAATATTCTCATCCTAATTCTTTTCTAACGACCCTCTTTTCCCAAACCTTTTTATCTAATCTACTTCTCATTCCCGCGTGATCGGTCCAATACTATCCATTCCATTAATCTGTTCTATGCATTCCTATTGGTTGTTTTGGTCTGCTGACTGTGGTTTCTACTATGTTATTTAGGTTTTATAAACACAATGTAATTATTACAGTTATCGGTAATACCTCTGTAGCTATAGATACCGGCAAGCCCACGGTAGCGTAAACATGCGTCGCATTAAGGGCAAGCGATTCTACTTTGAAAGATCGGTTGCGTTTCTGTAAACACTAAAAACGTTGCTTTAGCGTTGAGTGCGGACGCGAACGACAAAACCTAGCCACCCTGTTGTCCCCTATATACCTCCATGACATACATTGAGACCTCATCGGGAAACAGAATCTCCAGAGAGGCTGTGATCACAGGCTCAGACCGGATCCTCATCAGTGGTCACACCACAGTACACCCATACGCCTACTTGCACGGCCAAGTGACCCTTCACGATTCGCTACACCCAGAAGATGCACAGGACTTGGTGCCCACCATCAGCATTGGTAAGTACTGCTACGTGGATCACCACGCGAGCCTCACTCCACCCGCGTATCCCTCTGAAAAGCACCTCCACGGGACGCTCAAGATCGGTAACTACGTGGTGCTTGGGGAGTACTGTGCCGTAGAGGCAGCCAGCTTAGGTAACCGAATTCTCGTGGGCGCGCGTGCCAGGCTCTCAAACATGTGTGTAGTGTACGATTGCTGTGTGATTGAACCCGATACGGTGGTCCCGCCAAAATGCGTGGTTCCTCCTTTCAGCTTGGTCAGCGGGGCTGGCCCCACCTTCAAGGTAAAAGACCTCAACGGCTGCTACAAGGAGATAATCGAACTAGAGGCTCGGGAATTAAATGTATTGGGGTGAACATCTATGCCACGCGAATCAAATGTAAACCAAATATCTACTTAGTCTGCTTCCTCTTCCTCCTTGAGACCCCATTGGCAGCTAAGGTCCCAACGACTACCCTGGCTGCTCCAGGAAACATACTTTACAAACTTCAAGACACTCTCGTCCCTCAACATCAATGTCAAGGAGTTCCACTTGGCCTGGCTGGTGAACAAAACGCCGTCGTCGCCGCCATCCTCGCCTACCTTGGCGGCCTTGTAGATCGCTGGGTCGTCCTCATCCTCGTCATCCATCCCGGCCATGCACAACTCATAGCCGCCCAATTCGCCACTGTCCCAGCCCTTAGACGGGGTCAAGTTCAAGGACGCTTCCAAGAGCGCGTCGGTGGCAGGCAATTTAGTAGCCAAGGTAAAATCGTGGCCAGGCCTGAAGCGCCGTACAAGCACCTGATCTGAGAGAATCGCGAGCCCCGTGACGGCTGCCACCCACTTGCGGAACGCAAGCGACTGGAACATCGCGCCTACACGCGCTAACTGGACCGTGACGTGCGCGTCGTCACGCGGCGCGGCGCTTTGTGCGATGTACTGCGTCAATGCAAAGTTTGGCGCGTCCTGTGGGCCCACGATGGCGCGCTGCGTGCCAGCACTGGTAGTCACGTCCTCCGGCTGGCGCCCATCGAGGTACATGTAGCGGTGCTTGTGGGGCGGAACAGCGCACTTCCAAGGATATTGAATCTCAGCAGCGGTCTGCGGCATCTTGGCCTCCATCTCAAGCGTCCTGATGGCCTCGTACAACAGCCCAGCAAACTCTGGGTTCAACAACTCCGGGATCTCGATTACGGACTCCTCGGAAAACACCGAGTGCATCTGATGGATTTGGGAAAGGTCCAAGAGGGTCGGGTTCATGAACTCGGCTAAATACTCATGCTCCGCCTTGGCCAAACCCGGAAAGACCTCTGACACCAGTTCGTAGACCCTGAGCTCATCCACTGGGAATCCCGTTCTAATAGGCTTAGGGAAGTCAAACTCCGCTAGCTCCTTTGACTGCAATTGCTGTAACGATGATCTCGCTTCCGTCGCTTCTTGTTCGCCCGGGATGTAGCCGTCTTCGCCTTCCTGGGGAATGTGGAACCACCCCTGGATCGACAACCTCTGCTTATTGACTCGGACCTCTTCCACGTCGTGGAACGACAAGCCAGGCTGAACGGTGAAAAACGCAATCTGATTAAACTGGGGAACGAGCTTGCAGTGGTAATCTGTCTGGGGCACGTTCGGGATAACCGACGGGAAAAGACGCAATGCTCCACCGTAATGCTCCTTCCAGGTCTTGTCAGCATCGGGTAAGTACAAGATGAAGCTGACACGTCTGGAGCCGATGACGTCATCATGGGTCAAGAGGTGGCACGACTTGGTGTAGGTGTTGATACTCATGTCGGTCTTGACCCCACTCAACTTGCCGCACCCGGTAAGCTCCGAGAGATAGTCACGGAACTCCTCCGAGTAGATTGCGGCTCTCATTTTGAATAGGGAGGGCAAACGCGACAAATCGTCCCAGTCGAGGCCCGACAAGTTGGCCAAGTCCCCCGACTGGTGCACTTTGTAGATATCGGTTTCCTTTTTAGTGAACACGATCTCGTTCTCAACTTCCTTTCGGACCTGGCGCAACAACGTGTCGTCCAAGAGCGACTTGATGGTCCCCCATTTGTATGGCTGGGAGGCTAACACAGACGTTTTCAAGTCGGCGCGGAACTGCTCGTCAAAGATTGCCGGGTTAAAAAACGAGTGGGTGTCTTCCTTGGTGAACTGGGTGTTGAGTTTTTTGGCAGAAGCCTCCTCGACCGCCTCTGTGGTTCTTTTCGACATAATTGTGGTTTATAAGACCGGAAATGTGAACGTAAAGTGGTGAGACTAAGTACTCGTTACGGTGAAAAATTCCAGCTTGAAAATCTTACGATAAGCTGAGCCGCACCCGTCAGGCCATGCATATGGTGAGACGTATAGGCAGAGCGTTATACAACGCTCTAGCTTGAATTATTGACGGCTCAGCCGGTGGTGGAGACAGAGAGATATGAGGTATTATCAGGGATATATAATGTTTATATCTGTCGTGTATCAATGAGAATATATGGGCGGTGTTTATGATGATTCGTAACAGGGACATGTGCTCAAGGGCTGTTTAATGAATTTCAGCAGCATCAAAAGGAACGGCATACTCTCCGAAAAAGCTCAAGATCTCCAGAGTAAAGACTGATAGTGGTTCAAAATGTTAGCATTATATGGACCCGATGGTTTCAGCAGGGTCATCCTTTGATCTACGACTACAGGGAACAGTTAATATATAAACCCGTACCTTTGAAATAATTATATATAAGTAAACACAGAAGATAAAGAAGGTGGCAGAATAGGAAATGATAGTGTACAAAGAAAATGCAGGGGTGCTAGTTGATGCCGTTGGCCTTCTTCCATTTGGTGAGCTTTTTTCTCAACTCGCCCTTGGAGTGCTGCCAGACATTCAACTTTTTGTCCCAGAACATTTTGTCAAAGTCATCACCGTACTTTTCGTGCAAGCTTCTGCACCAGTCGTTTTCTCTTTCGCTCTGAGTTCTCTCTCTCTTGACGTATGCGGTTGCGGCCAATTCCTCCAATTTCTTAACGACCTCGGTCTTGGTGGATTCGTCTTGGTCCTGTTTAGAGGCGTTATGACCTTGGGAGGAGACGGCCATGGTACCGTAGATGATCTTGACAACTTCGCCCTCATCGTCGCGGACAATGCGGGCCTCACCCGCAGGGATGGTGGATGGATCGGCTTCGCCGAACGGCACTGGCGGAACAGCATCCTTCATAGCGGCTCTTCTCTTTGCTTCATTCTTGACTTCAACCGCAAGGGCCTTTTCCTCCCCACCAGCAGCTCTACTCAACTTCACGGTCAACCCCAACTTCTTATAGTTCTGGGCCATGGTCAAGCTGTGGTCCCAGTTGGCGGCGATGAGCGGATTTGAGTGGATGTTCACCGTTCTTCTCTTGTCCTTCACACGACGGGTCATCTTCGTGACACTGGAGCGTGCCATCTTTCTCTTTCTAACGGAAGTCATTTTGTTTGGGATGTGGATAACAAAGATGGGTAATCGTGGTAAGCTGGTAAGATGGTTTTATGTATAGCGGCTAGAAAGGAGAAAAAAAAATTTTCCAGCTTAGGTAAGCGATGGAGTGATATGTGCAGGCCAACGCGTGACTTTGGTGTCGAAAAGTCCCAGTAGCCGTCACGAGGCTAATGATAGTGACCAGATCAGCATCAGAGCATCATATATCCCACACCATTGCATTTACCATGTCTGAACAAGGACAGATTCCACAGGAACAGACCGAAGCTGTGATGATCGTCGCAGAGTCAGCCCCAGATACCAGGCTTATGATGCAGCAGGAGGTTGATGTCCGCTCTATCTATGTTGGTAACGTCGACTACACCACGACGCCAGAGGAGTTGGAGCAGGTTTTCAACACTTATGGTGTAGTGAACAGAATCACCATTTTGCATGACCGTTTCACCGGCAGGCCCAAGGGCTACGCGTACATCGAGTTCGTTGACGCTGACGCCGTTGCCCCGGCAATTGAAGGCTCCAACGGCACTTTGTACAAGGAGAGGGAGTTGAGAGTCACTGCCAAGAGAACCAACATCCCGGGAATGTCCAAGAGAACCAGAGGCAGTAACGGCACCGGTCGCGGTGGCTTCAGAGGCAGGGGCCGCGGTGGTTCCAGAGGCGGCCACAGGGGTCCCAGCGAGACCCACGGTGAGGCTCAGGAGAGCCAGCCCTAGTCTGAAGATCCAGAGTTCGCGCAACTGACTGGTCGAGCACGTTTCGTATCGCATTATTCATCTCATCGCGTAACCTACATGAGTGTACGGATGGGTGAACCTTATTTTATCATATCTCACGTTTCATTTATTATCCTTCATCCTAATTCAATGTCCATAGCTTGGTTTGGTGAATCTGGGGAAGTGCCTTTGTCTAGGGCGTAGCGATGCGAGCTTCTTTCCGACAGCTAATTTCCTTGCAGTACGTTTCAAAAGTTTATAACCTTTTGTCTCTTCGATGCTAAGATCTCATTTACGATGAGAAGAAAATTACGGGGCGAGAAAAGTAGGAAAAACGAGTGAGAGAAAGAGTAGACCTATTTCGGGGAGGACGCAAACTGGCCGACACAGGGGGTATCGTCGCACAAGGTTGTAGAATAGGCTGTCACATCAGCACATCGGGGGGTTAATACGTTTATACCGATCTTTATTTTGTCCAGGAGTATACCCTATCTACCTCCAATTCCTAAAATATCCATGACCAGAAGAAAAATAAAAACACAATAAAAAAGAATCCCAACCACGTCTTCCAGCCTACCCCGGCTTTCTTGCTCATGATCATCATGCGGTTGTACGTCATTTTCAAGCTCTTTCCCATGGAGTCCATGTTAGAGGTTAAGTCTTCGCTGATCAAGTTAGACTTGTGGATTTCGTCGCCAAGGCGGTTCGACAAGCTCTTCAATATCGATAGCTTGTCACTCATTTCCCCCACCTCCTGCTCCGACTGCGACTCCAAGTTGGACTGCTGAATCTGCTGGTTGCGAATGGAATCGATCGAAGCATCGCCGTACGGTGATTCGGAACGAGTAATTTTGTTTGTCTGTTGTAGGTTGCCGAACAAGTCCTGGCGTTGGGTATTGTATCTGCAATGTTAGTGGCTGACGGAGAGTATGTGGCTAACCGTACGTACCGAGAAGCCATTGAAGCGGTATGTTTCGTAATCTTGTGTATTGTAGTATTACGTGATGGCGAAAAAAAGGCACCGCTAGAGATATATATGCTAAAGCTTGTCAACTAGCGATGTGTTGACGCCTCATCGCCTTACTGCCACGCTGAACGATTTACGTGTAGGAGAAAAAAGCCAGGTGCGGCGCGCCTGAATAGAGTTGTTGAGGTATCGGGTCCTTAAATGCTGGTGGTTGCAATTGGTTATGGGAACTGTTTACTGGGACTTATCTGGGACCCCAGTTTCCTGGATGATTAAAGCACCTTAGTGGTGTATGTAAAGCAGTTACGATGCCAGGTGTGTTTATCAAATTTAGACAATGTGCGACTATAATTCTTGTGGGAAACATCATTCTATACATTACCTAAAGTGAAGCTTTTTTTACGGTAAACATAAAGAGTTTGGCTTTGTTACACTACACGCAAGAGAAAATTATTAGTGCTTATCAAAAAAAAAAGAGAAATTAGAGGATAAATTGGTGCACGGATTTAGGCACCCGAAAAAAAAGGGAGTTCTTAGATATCGAACGCATCTTCAGCAGAGCCAGCGGTCGGAACGGATGCGGAGCCCTCATTCAAGCTTTTCAAGTCTGGCAAGGTGCCACCCAAGATCTCGACAGCCAAGGTGTGGTAGGCCAATTGCGCATTAACCAACTCGACCAACTGGTTCAATGGCTTGGAGCCGTCAATAACGTTCTTCATGACACTGACCGCATCCTCGGTGGCGTTAGCGAACTCGTCTTCCAAGGTTTCCAACTTGACTCTCAAAGCGGCCTCTCTGTCGGCACTGGCGTGCTTCAACTGACTTCTGACGGAATCGTAGCTCATTCTCTTTAATTCCACGTCACGCCTGGCCTTGGTGGCCTGCGACAACTGGGTGCGGAGTGCTTGCTGCAACGGCTCGTTGAAGTGCGCACGGATCAACTGGTCCTGCTGCAATCTAGCATTGCCTAACTTCTTCATAGCGAGCGCATAGGTCTCCAAACCCTCTGCGATTGGGTCCTGGGCACCCACATTGTTTCTCAAGGCGTCAGAGCCGGCGGTGGCAGCTCTAGCCAAGGCGTGGTTCAAGGTCTTTGGCTCGCCCTTTGGCACGGGGGAGACCAATACCGCCTGTGCATCTGACAAGTTGGTGACTGCAGAGAGGTTCTGCAACTTGTCATTGACAGTCTTGAGGTTTTCAGAGAACGTTTCCTTGGCGTTGGCTGGGTAGTCGTACGCCTCGCTCTCGTAGGTGGAGGTCACCGACAAGAGCTTCTCGTACACAAACCGAATGGTATCGATTCTCTTTTCCAAGTCAATATATTCCTGTGGCAATTCGCTGACGTCCTGACCCTGGCCCGAGATCTTTTCCTGTAACAACATCTGGGTTCTCTGAGCGAATGGAAGAACATCGTTAGTGAACTTGTCGCCGAATTCGTTCGACACCTTGTCACCGAAGGTCTTGACAGACTGGGCGAAAGTGTCCAAGTTGGCAGAGTTGGTGAGATTAGAGAAGAAAGACATGGTGATGGTGGCTTAAGTGAAGGGTAAGCTTGAGGCCGAGCTGGGTCTCTTATTGGCATGTGCACATATCGCTACAGGGCTGCTTTTGCCGGAGTAGGCCAAGAGTCGTGCGTATCCTTGTCCGGGTAGTGCACACTGCGCCACGATTCAGATCTGGCGCGCTATGAGTCCGAACGTTTGACAATACCAAAGATTTAGCCGTGTTGACGGATAGCATGTAGATCCTAAACGCTGGGCATGAAAAAAAAACTCTCAGTTATTAAAGCCTGGCAGTGCCACGCCAATGTGTGCTATTGAGTTACTGCTATACACGGTTATATACATGTAAGTGTTCTTGGAGACACCGGACGTTTTACTCCTCAAAGGGGAATCTTCTTCCGATGTACTATGATGCAATTTTTTAGTTGTTCTTGAACGCCAGAGATATCCAGAGAGATCAAGTCCTCTCTCCCACGCCTTCAACCTGCCGCCCTCAGTAGATCACCAAAACGGGTCTCTAGGAGAAGGATATCGGACCACATAAGGGGTCGTTAAATGAAACCCTAAACCTCCCCGCTCTTGTTACAGAGAAGAGTGATATTAGGCTGCCGACAGGAATCATGGGAATCGTTCTGTGAAGAAAGAAAGGCAAACGTGGGTGAAGTAAAAAATTCGCAGCAGACAGTTTTTATACCCGGATGAGTTGCTTATGTCAGCAACACGTTGGAGGCTCTAAAACAAGGGATTTCTACGTAATAAAAAAAAAAAGGAGAGGTTGGATTTCGAAAGCAAGGACTTGTATTTATTTGGCTAATTGCAATTGGTCTTTCTAAATACCATGTCTGTAATTTGCTGCTGGTAGTATACCAACCTCTCTCACCAGGGGTTACCCTATCTGCACGTGCGGGCGAATTTTTCACTTTCGAGGTGCACAGAAAAGAATGATTTAAAAATCCTACCATTCTTGCTTTCTTATTCAACTACCCTCCCATTAACCTTATTGAATATTAACCATGTCTGCTATTTCCAAGATTTTGAACACAAACCCATCCGAATTAGAATTGTCTATTGCACAAGCTTTCCTCGACCTTGAAGCTTCTGCTTCAGACCTTAAGTCGGATTTGAGAACTTTGCAGTTCAAGTCTGCCCGTGAGGTGCGTACCGGCTACACGTTATGATATACTTCTATCATACACTGACTTCTATTATTTATAATAGAGTTAGGAGTGTCCGGGGCCAAAATACAGTGGGCGTCCCAAGGGATATTCCTGGCTCCACATCTGTCGAATACTTTTGCATGTTTTCTCGTCAGATGAGGGGCGGCTATCCAGCTGTCTGAGAAACCACGGGTGGTTCCTGTTTCTCGGACCTTCACAAAGATGCATGGTGAATACAGAGCAGACGAATCCAATATTGGGTCTGGCTATTTTCGTCCCGGACGATCTCCTAATTCTGTTATTTAAAGCACAACATTTCGTTAACGTTTTAATACTAACTAGAATTTTGTGTGTAGATCGACGTCGCAGGTGGTAAGAAGGCTATTGCTATTTTCGTTCCAGTTCCATCCTTGAGCAGTTATCATAAGGTCCAGCAAAGGTATGTTAATTCCCTCCCCAGGTCCCCGTTCTACTAACTTTGACAGTGTTTCCTGACGGGGGACACTGCCGGTGTCAAATCTCTAGTACCCTCGTTGTAAAACGGTCCTGTGGGGTATACGTATTGTTCCGTGAAGGACAGATTCTAACATACTGTGCCCTTCTTCTGCTACACTGCTGTCCAAACGCATCCCTGCTGATCCGATTATTGGTGTGGTTTCCCCCCTGTATGACCGTATGCATAGTTGTACTTTTGCCACTAGGTGTTAGGGGATCGTTGCCTGTCAATGACTGGTGAAACAGGGTGCTTTTTGTGACTTGATAGTAGAAGGGCATGCAACTTATAGATTGATTCGTGAATTGGAGAAGAAGTTCTCCTCTCAACACGTTGTTATCTTGGCCGAACGTCGCATCTTGCCTCCATCCTCTAAGGGTCAGCACCAGAAGAGACCAAGATCCAGAACTTTGACTCAGGTCCATGACAAGATCTTGGAGGACTTGGTGTTCCCTGCCGAGATTGTTGGCAAGAGAGTCAGACACTTGACCGGTGGTAACAAGGTTTACAAGGTTGTCTTGGACGAAAAGAACGTCTACGACGAAAAGTTGGAAAGCTTCACCCAGGTCTACGCCAAATTGACCGGCAAGCAGGTTGGGTTTGAAGTTGCCAACACCGTTGCCTAGGTACGAGGAATAGCTCCTTTCTGTGCTATTTCTCTCCCCTTGCTGCAGCTTCTTTTTGTAGTTTTTGAGTTCACCTGGTGAATGATGTATAATAAACCGTTTGGTTGTGCTACCCGCCTATTGTAGCTGTGCGAGGGGGACTGTGGCGTTGGTCCCGGTGCCTCTACAGCCACTAGATCGATGTATGTGAATGATAATACTGTTAATTGATCTGCCAAAATGCGTATAGGTTGCCCCTGTGGTATACAACGTTTGATATGTTGTAGGGTGTTGGCTTCTACCCACAATAAAGTTTGCTTCTGAGGCGTGCAGTCAGGAGGGGTCATGAAATTGGTGCTTTCGTTACGAGCACGGGCGATCTGGCAAGCTTTGCAAAAATATATATATGCGCACGCTGGCGGGGTTAAATCGGTCGAGGCCCTGACGCGGAATAGTTCTCCCGTGGCTTAACTATCGTGTGACGACTGGTTTATGAAAACCTGGTGCATCGAACCAAAAACGGTGTAGGATTCGCAGACGTTAATGTGAAGTCCAACAACACTTTGGATATTTTTGCCGCATCACTGAGCCCTGCCATCTGTAGTTCTCCAATTTCACGCCACGTAGACGGTTATCCCCAAACGCGTAAACGCACTGACCTTTTGACGCACAAGAGGGAGCAATCTACAGTCAGGTGGTGAGAAACGTGACTTTCCCTTACTAATGCGCCAAGAAACCAGTTTCCGGTCCCGGAAACGAGCGGTACGTCGACCTGTATGCAACAAATTATTTTTCACGCACAGCAGTGTGCCTCTTTTGTTCGCATCGTGAGGAAAAAGATAAAAATGGTACACACTAGGGAAAATAAATTTATTACCGGAAAAAAAATTTAATCACTCATACCCTACTAGCCCCAATACGCTTACTTTCCTATCTCTCTTTGATAAACCCCGTTCCATCGCATCCTACTAGCTCTGAGCTATCCTAACTTTCCGTGACGACGATAAAATACCATATTCGCTTGCCTGTTTTTTTGAGTCACGAAGAGTAAAAACCTGCAACCATGACCTCCACTCATACCCACACCCAGCACCCGCCGCAACACCATGGCCACTTCAACCATAACGCCTCTAGAAGACATTCCACGACGTCGCCTTATACGATTCCCCCGAAAAACAACGTGTACATACAGCAGCAGCAACAGCAGTACCAGGCTCAGCAGTACCAGGCCCACCCTCACCAAGCGTCCCCTCACACAGCTGGCCTGATTCCAACCCACTTGTCCACCTCCGTTCCGCTTTTATCGAGAGACTTTGTCGTCAGAAGAATCTCTGAGGGCGAGTCTGGCAGGTTGAAGGAGGAGTTGAAGTGCGAGGCTTGCGGAAAGGGTTACAAGCATATCTCCTCTTTGGCCAAGCACTTGTGGGAGCATACCCCGGAATGGAACGTGACCAAGAAGTTGTTGATCTCCAAGCATCAACAGGTGCAGCTACTAGAAGCGGCTAGCATCTTGGTGGCGATGAATGACAAGTTACCGGGCAGCGCCGCCACGTCGCGCAGAAACTCATTGATGCCAGACACTATTAACGAAGAAGCGGTGGAAGACGATACCCCCGTCGTACCTAAGCAGAATTTGACTGTCTCCCATGCACCATTTTCGGCCCACGAAAGCAGCACCTTCAGCAAGTACTCCTTGGACAGAAACGGTGGTGTGCCAAATACGGAAGGGCCAACAATCGAGAACACCGGTCCGTTTAGTCCAAATGCTCAGCACGAACAGTTCCAGCTCCACGCCCACAGTTCGGCGTCGCCGCCGCCAGTGCATGACTCCCCTCGTGGCAGCTACTACTCCGCTAAAAACACTCCTCGTATGAACTATCGCAAATCGTCCTTCTCCCAGTACCCACCACGGTTCGATGCGGCTACCGACTACTCCTCCTCTCCAACTACGAAGGGTAGCGACTTGCCCCACCACTTGCGTAAGTTGTCCGTTGCCAATACCACCGCCATCAACGGCAACGGTTTGAACGGAGGTTCATACATGGACGTCCCTGCGGTCCCTAACGGCCATTTCCACCCGGGCAGCTTGCCAAACAATGAAGCCTACCACCTTCAGCGCCAGCTGCCCCAACCGCCTGCGTTTGACTTCAAGTCTCCTTCTTTTAAGTCCAAGCCAGTTCGAGTAAACGGGTTGATGAACCCTATTAGCGACGACGATGGCAGAGAGGAACTCGAACCGACCATCTCTGGTAGACGAGGTAGTTCAAGCGGAGACGGAAGCAAGATGGTGCATTCTCCGCGGGAGTCTACTTACGATGACGATGATGTTTTTGGCATGGATGCTTAGCCCTGGAATTTTGTTTTACGTTACGCTGGTTTTTAAGGCGCATTTTTTCTTCTTCTTTCGATATTGGATTCTAAATGAGCCAATATCTGTGCTATAGATAAGCTAGTTACTAGTTAAAAATACTCTACTATACAAAAGGGCACTCCTTGTTGTACAGTTAATGTTCTGCTCCGATTTTCATGTTTATTTCAATTTTGCAATGATTTAGTATATTTATTGACTTGTAAGATGTTCGGTTGGTGGAGGAGCTTGGTGAACCAGGTTGGGTCTTTTTTTTTTCCGGTTCTTAAAGTCGGCTCAAGCGTCCTGGAAGAATATGCTATCTTGTTATAAAACGATGATTCCAGTTTTGGGTAAAGGGAGAACAAGGAGACCAAGACTTGTGTGAGAGAGCGCCGTCATAGCTTTTTATCCTGGCGGTCATCCAGGGCACGTGCTAAAGTCAGCTCGGATGCATGTCAACTCATCCCAGTGCTCAACCAAAATCTAGGAGGGTTGGCCGAGTGGTCTAAGGCGGTAGACTTAAGATCTACTGGACTGTGTCCGCGCGGGTTCGAAACCCGCACCCTTCATGATTGATTTTTTCCAGTATGCTTGTTGATTTTTTTTTTCGTTTTTCTGAGGGGTTGGAAGTGTCAGTGCGTGTACGCAGATGAATTCCGGTAACTATTTTAGGTATGGATACATGAAGCTTGATGGATATACATAAGCTTGAAATGCTACTATTAGCATAATCGGTCCCTGTATGTACTGTTAACTTCCATTCACTAAAAAATATCAATTAAAAAGGAGGCAGTATCCGGAATTAAGGAAGAAATAATGAGATTAAAGAGTAGGAAAGAAGATCAACCATCTCCCTTCAAGACATTAGACACGAAAAACCATTATTTTTCATGGGAAGGTCTTATGGCCGAACGGGAAATCACTATTCTGAGATATCCTGTACCAATGGAGTTGTAGCTCAATTGGCAGAGCTTTCGATTCCAAATCGAAGGGCCGCAGGTTCGAGTCCTGTCAACTTCATATTTTTTCAAAATTATCGTTGAATTTTCTTTTTAACCTGGTTGGGGCAATGTAGAAGGGACCATCCAAGAATCTATAACGATATGCGGGGGATGTTTATCTCAACCACCTATCAATTCCTGCTGATGCATTTGTATCGCTGCTAAGCGTAGCTGAGAACGGGGGAGGTAAGTATGAGTTAAAGATAAATATCTTTGTGAAATTTATTGAAAAGCTTTATACCGTGTTTTTACGGGTTTAAATGAGACCTGAGACCGATTGAGGGATAGACACCGTAGGTTGCCTAGCCAAGAAAAATAGCTTAGCACCAGTCCAGCTTTGTTTTAGATGTGCACAGCACCTCTATTTATGTGGTAGACACAAGCTAGCTTGCCCACAACTTAAATTGCAATCATTTGCTTTCCGTTAATGCTTCTACCTTAGACTCCTACCCAATATAAGTAGTATTGACTTATCCTCCATACCCTGCTGATCTGCAACTTATAGCAGTGCGAGACAAACAATGGCCAGGCAAATCAGAGAGGAACTAAGCGAAAAAGGAAATTTGCCCACTTGCTGCCGCATTGGGATATAGCCCTTGTCTAAACATATACTGCACCCACACGAAGGTTTTGATTCCGTTTGACCAGATCATTAAAACGCCATCCGTTCTATCCAGATTAGAGTGACATACTAATTACAACAAAGCCACCTTCCAATATGTCCGGTACGTTAATATTGTTTGTTGTATAAGGCTGGGGATGATTTACCAAACCCCGATATTGCCAACAATTACTAACCCCTATAGTTGATGTTACTGCCTTGTCCAAGCAATTCTGCGAATTCTACTACCAACAATTCGACTCTGACAGAAGTCAGTTGGGTAACTTATACGTATGTACTCCCCCCCCCGCCTTGTTGACCATACTAACCCTCACAGAGAGACCACTCTATGTTGACCTTCGAAAGCAGTGAGTTGCAAGGTGCCAAGAACATTGTCGAGAAGTTGACCTCTTTGCCATTCACCAAGGTTGCGCACAGAATTGACACCTTGGATGCCCAGCCAGCGTCTCCAAATGGTGATGTCTTGGTCATGGTCACTGGTGCCTTGTTGGTTGACGAAGAACAGAACCAGATGAGATACTCCCAGGTCTTCCATTTGATTCCAGATGGCTCTTCCTACTACGTGTTCAATGATATCTTCAGATTGAACTACGGTGTCTAAGTAGAATAAGCTATTAATTTAGTTATAATTTGATTTGTGCTGTATGCTAATAATTAATTTGAAAAGGCGTAGGCATGCCGCGAACTTGCTAACAAAACGTGGCGCACGATTGCTGGATCTCCGAATTCCGCGAGCCCCGCGAATACAAGAGCACGCAGGCATTCTTATACAGACCCTCATACTGAACCCATAGTATAATTATTTACTGCCAATCGCATTCGTTATGTCTGAATTGCCCCAAATTCCCCAACGGCCGGTAAGACTGACTGCTTCGATGCCACTTCCAAAGGATGACAGCGATGGCTTTTCCGGAAGCGAGGACGAGTCCGACGATGATGAAGGTAGGGTTTCTTTACAGGACTTGACCAGCAAGAAGATTGATATACCTGAAGGGATCCCGGCCGTTCCAAAAAGACCAACCAAGGCCTTAGAGACGCGCCAATCCGTGACTCCCGTCCCATCGATCCCTAGAAGGCCAATTAAATCTGCCACCCCAGAGACGATTATCTCTGAGCCGGTTTCTCCTTCGCTTCCAGCTGTACCATTGAGGCCATCCAAGAGATCCTCCTCTGATGAGAGCGTCGTTTCTGCCGTTGCTAGCCGCAGCCCCCGCAGCTCCGTCCACGATGTGGATATCAGGCAGGTTAATGACACGGACTTGCCACACGAACCATCCATGGAAGATGTCCAAAAGACAATCCCTGCGACAATCCAGGAGCCAGAAAGAGAGGAGAGCGCCGAGCCGGAGGGTGAAGCCGAGGCCGAGAAGGCTGAAACCGTTCTGTCTGGACAGGATGAGGTCCCAAGGGTTCCGGCTAGACCATCTAGAGGCGCTGTTAAGCCTATCACAATAGATACCGACATATCTGCTTTTAAACCAGATGCGGATCTTACCGATGAACTTACTCCGCAAAATACAGCGGTGTGTACGGATAAAGTGGAAGCCGATGAGTTTGATTTTAGTACCGACCACGTTCCAGGGTACGTCAAGGAGGAGCATGACAGCGGTACCGATGTTGATGAAGCTTCTGACGTGCAGCGAATCGAGAGAAATGAGGATATCCAGGTGCTCGATACGAGCTCCCACAAGGAATATGCCAACCAGGCCGAATTACCTACCGAAGTGACCGACGTGAAGGTTGAAACTGAGGAGTTGGAGACTGAAACTAGTGGTAAGTTCGAAGATAAGTCTGAAATAGCGTTGGAGGAGGCTGGTAGCCCGAAGGATGTGGAAGAAAAGATTGAAGCTACCAGGCAACTGGAAGACGGGCCTGAAATTCCCAAGGAATTGGCAGAGAAGGCCGTTACTTCCAAGGACACGGAGACGGCCCCCAAGGATGTGGAGGAAAACACTACCCCGGTACCGGTGATTCCAAAGCGGCCAAGGAAGGCTGTTTCCAGCCCACTGGATGCCCCAAAACCGGAAGAAGTTGCTACCCACAACAAAATTTCAGAAGTTTTACAGAAAAAGAAGGCACCACCTCCAATTAAACCGAAAAAGCCGTCCTCTAAGATTGCCGCGTTCCAACAAATGTTCGGTGCGTCATCCGAAAAGGCCCCTCCGTTAGTTCCTTCTAGACCCATGAAGGTAAATTTGATTCGTTCGAGTACCGCTGATTCTTTGCCCGGATCTATTGATGAAGAGGCATCTTCAGTCGAGGAGAAGACCCAAACCCAACGGGCCGTGCCAGGAATGCCAAATAGATTGGCCTCGTCTAGAGTGAATTTCGCAAAGAATTTGAACGGCATGATCGGAATGGCGTTGCCGGGCATGGTCCCAGCGGAAGCATTGGCCTTCCAACCAGACGAGAGCGAGGAGACAAAGGAATGCGATCAAGAAGAGGTGCCTGTTTCCAAAGATCTTAGAAAGGGAAGAGCCAAGGGGCCTAGGGGGAGAAAGTTACCGACAAGCGCTGTTGAGCCGGTGGTTGAAGCCAAGAATAAATACTCGATTGTTGTTGCTGACCTTTGGAGTGTGGGTCTATCTGAGAAACAGACAGAGGAGCTTCCGACGGGAACTGTTCTTTCTGAGAACCGGAAGGCCCCTGAAAGTTCCGTTAAGGATGTCGCTGAATCTACGTCGAAAGAATCCGAGGCTGTTCATAGTGCAGATCCAGAGGGAGGCTTTAGCAGCGCTGAAAACGTTGAGATGGCCAAGGTAGAGAAAGAGACCATCGACGAGCCCTTGGAGCGTTCGATAGCTGAAGACACTAACTCTGAGACCCCGCTTTCGCTCAGTGACTTCGCTGATGTGGGTGAACATACCCCTTTGCATGATACATTAGGCGAGGGGCCATCCAAAACTGTTGAACCAGAAATTGGAGGTGCAGACGAGGCAGAGGCTACTGCTCCAATCGGCCACAATGAGACGTTTGAGACCCATGCCAAAGCGACCAAGGCTGATGATACCTCCGCACAAGCGATTAATTTAGATTTTTCCACCGATTCTAAACCATCTGAACCTATCCCTAAGACGGAGGAAGTCCATGATGCTTCTAATTCTACCGATTCTGTTGCAACGGACTCTGTTTTAAACATCCTGGGAGAGCATGCGCTTTATTCCCTGGAGGATATTTTATCTGAGACTCTGGATACAGTATCAAGCGATGATAAAGGTGCAGACGCTACCCAGACCTTGGAATAAGGTGAGCTGGGACCCCAAATGTACACTTTCTTGAGTATACCCTTTCGTGATATCAGCAGATCACAATGATCTATTGAGAGAATACTGACTATCTATTTGTTAGCTAGTCACCGGTTAGCCTATGACGATTATAGGCGACTTAAAGTTCAATACGGAAAGAAATGCTTGGTCATTTCTATCCGTGTTTGAGATATGTAATTTTAAATTAGTATACTATAAAGAAAATCTGACATTGGTCTAAGTTAAAGTTGCGTGTGGTGAGAACTGACATCCTTCCAGGGCTCATGCTTCAGGAATCGGAGTGTAAAAGGCAAACTATGTAACCTCTACACCATGACAAATATACAGCAGATGTGCCAGATATGTTTCGGGTTCATCACGAAGTCAGAGGTGGCTGTTTGGAACAGGGCGGAGAAAGCAATCAGTCGGTATATGCACTCTGAAACGCTCAATCGCCCCATACTCTCTCGGAGTTTAGAAGCTAGTTGCAAGTACTTTGTATTGCAGCACTAGCTAGTGCAGTGAATACATGGGACCGCTTCGTGAAATTCAGATTTAATTCTGGCCTGCTCATGAAATGGAAGATTTTACATTATGGGCCCTCCGTGAAGAAACCAATTTCAAACGTCTCAATGTCTTTGAGGCCCGGAAAGTTAAATCAGGAAAATTATTTTCGTTATTGTCTCTGAAAAATCTACTGTCCTTGATAATGATGGTTTTATATTGTTTTTCCCCAGAAGATTATCTATTGATCCTATTTCTAGACGATTGGAAGTTTGGTACCTTTCGTGGCAAGAGATCTACCATAGATAATGATATTCTCCGATACTGTTTTGGCAATCGGACTTTAGCAAAGTCTTGCAGGTAGTACACGCGTACGACTTATACCGTTCAATCAAATTTCAGGTAATACTAAGTCTTGAAGAAAGCTAAACACAATTATGAGGTTCACATGATGCACCTCGAATATTCACCGGGGATGTGAAACTTGCCAGAATGATGCAAGGTCCAAAACAAGTGCGTCAAAAGCATTCCCTTTTCAGCAATTATCATTTAAATCAAACTAAGTCATGCTATAAGTGTATATGAATTTCTTTTAGCGCTCTTCCTGTTTCGGCTGCTTGAGGCGAAACGGAGATCGGCCCAGTACGATTTTGGGGCGCACCCTTGACTATGCATAAAGCTGCAAGTGCCTTCGCATAGGACTGCAACCTCAAAGAAACAGACTGGTGATGTTTCAAGTAGATACAGCACGGGAAAGTATACAAGCTAGATTATTGACATGCTCTATCTTCAACTTTTGTATTGAATAATGGTATATAAATATAGGACTTTGTCGTTATTCTTAAATTATTTTTTGTACTCAATTTACAATCATCTCCCAAGTCATTTTCAATGAATCCTGTCTCCTTGCTTCTAGCCTTATTAGTTCTGGTTGGTGTTACCAATTCCTATGGAACTACCACCTACATTACTACTGATTGTTCCGAGGGGAAGTGTTCTACCCAAACTATAGCAGCGTACGTTGATTATAGCTTAAGAACTACAACATCTGTAATCGATGCTACTACCACTTACTGCCCGTTGACCGACACTGCATCCAAACCTACCAAGAATCCTGACATGTCTATTATCACATTTTTGAGCATTACATCGGTTTACTCCACATATGTGATTACCACTACCCATTGCAGCGGCGGTGTTTGCACCAGATCAACCTCCACCGCTACTCTTACCTCGTCGCCTTCCGCTACCATTGATCTTGCCTACGTTTGTCCTTCTTCGTTTACGAAAGCAAGTGATGGAACATGCTATCCAATACCGACTACAAGTACTTCTAGCTTTTCTTCTGGTACGACTACAACGACTACTACTCAACCTTCCTCCACCAGACCATTGAGCTTGTCCACTCCAATAACCTCTTCGTCCACCACATTAAAACTTTCATCTATTTCGACGACTTTATCCACTAAGATGACCTACAAGTCTACCCCATTGGTATCATCATCTACCTCGTTGAAATCTTCGTCCATCTCACTGAAGTCTTCGCTTACTCCATTACCACCTTCGTCCACTTTGATAGTTTCATCTATTTCGGTGACTAAGTCTAACCCAATGACATCTTCACTTACTCCATTGACATCTTCGTCCATTTTGATGACTTCGTCTATTTCTGTGACCAAGCCTACCTTACTGTACTCTTTGCCTAGTCTGCTGAAGTCTAAGTATGCTTCGTTGCTACCTTCATCCATTTTGGTGACTTCGTTCATTCAGGTAACTTCTTCGTCCAACCCATTGCCATCATCGCCTATCCTATTGAAATTTCCGTCTACTATGGTGGCTTCGTCCGCTTCAGTGACCAAATCTGCCCCATTAAAATCTTCCCCTACCCCACTGACACCTATGTCCACTCCATTGACATCTACATCCACGCCATTGTCATCTTCGTTTATCCCACTTCCATCTTTGTCTACTCCGTTGACCCCTTCTGTATTTCCCACTAATATCACGACCACAACTGGGTATATTGTTACATCCGAATTTTCCACCACCACCGAAACGATTACTCATTGCTCAGATGACAGCTGTACCTCTTACATCCTAGTTGTTACTCCCTCAACTACCTCCCCGCATACTACTATCGAACCAACTTATGTCTGTCCTTCTTCCGAAACTCTTGGGAGCGATGGTACGTGCTACCCGGTACCTTTTCCACCTACCTCAGTGGTGAAGCCCCCTTTATCCTCCCCAGAAAACTCGGCACCTGGTACTTTCCCCCCTTTCAACTCTTTTTCGAAGGTGATGTCTACACCAGTCGCACGCTCTGAGGGTTCTATGTCATTTACATACACCATCACCAATTCTACTCCTGTGAAATCCACCACCAGTTCTACTCCTGTGGAATCCACCACCACTATTTCTACTCTTGTAAAATCCACCCCACAGGTTTCCACTCCCATGAAATCCACCCCACAGGCTTTCACTCCAACCGAATCTACTCCTGTAGTCAATGTCTTCACTCCCCAAGAAGCTTCTTCAACCAAGTCTACTCCACCCTCCGCTCCAACTACTGTTGTATCCACGTCAAGTGAACCCATTCCAATAATTGTGTCCACCCCAGAGACTTTAACTCCTGCCATTAACGCTGTGCTAATTGTGTCCACCACATCGAAGCTTTCTATCCTTTCCACTCCAATTTCTTCCCTTCCAACAACTACTAGCTGCACCGGAGATAACTGTGTATCCACTTTAATCACTATCTTGACTTCTAAGATTTCTTCAACATCCACATCCAACCCCTCAACCTTTTCTTCCCCGTCTATTGATATTTTTACCGGTGGTGCACAAGCAAGCCCTACATTGAGTATGTGCTGGCTTAGTGTCATTCTCATGGCAATTAGTTGGGCTATTTAGATTATACCTTATTGCTAAGATATTGTGCAGTTTAGATTTACCGTCGTTTATTTCACCAATGCCTTTTAATTTGATCTTTTATTTTTATTCTCAAATTGACTTTAATCTTTAACAAATTGATGTTATTTCCTTAAGCTTAAATTCATACAGCTTTACCAAATAAATACCAAGATTCACTTTCCCCATAATTTATCATACACCACCTATCCAACCCGAGCTTTAGTTATACTTTCATAGCATAGCTTATACACAAATATTGTTTTGTGAACTTGAGTCAATCGGGGAAAACCAATACCTATTTGCATATGCGAATTTACAGGTATATATGCAGGCCAAAGAAGTCTTTCTTTCATTCCTACACCTACATTCTTACACCAATCCCTTACCATCTCCACCCCATCTCAGTAACTCTAACACAAATGTCATATAATGGAATCGGTTTGCAGACCGCTAAAGGTTCTGCGACCAACGGCCATGTCCAGCGAAACATTAGCTCTATCAAAGCCAGCCACAAAGAAGATGCCTCCCAGGGCCACTACTCCAAGAGACGGATCCACGAGGCAGCCTCAGGCGCCAGGTCCAGAAATGTGACGCAGAGTTCTGTTAACTATTCTTTGAGTACTGAAATCCTAGACCACGAGAAGAAGCGGGAGATAGAAGTGAAGTGTGCGGAGCTTCGAGACCGCTTGGAAGATGACGACGGTAACGAGGATGAATACATTGACTCCCAGGTGAGCGCTCTAAGACAGAAGTTGACAGCGAAGCTAGAAGAGCGAAAGGCGAATGTAGCCAGGAAGCAAAGTCTCTCTCACAGCAAAGCCCACCATTCAGCTGAGGCCCAAGAGGCGGAAAATGCCAGGCTTCGCAAGGTCTTCCAGATGGCGGATGAGCCCCTGAGGCCTAATCCGTATGAGAAGTATAACTACAGATCTAGAGATGAAAGGACAGAAGGGCAGAGGCTCGGGAATGAGAGACAGTCAAGTCCACGGAGAGGGTCCAGAGAAGAATATTGGGAGAAAGACTTAAGGGAAAGAAGCCCACAGAGAGAACAAAGGTCCGGAAGTCCATTGAAAGATTCGACTTCCAAAAGTCCTATTAGGGAGTGATCTACAGGAATACACTAAAAAAACATATGAATTCAAACAGAGAAACTCTAGATTAAGACCCTTCAAGCTCGTAAGGAACAATCTATAGGAATGGCGCCAGACTGACGATAGATTTCTTACATTGAAGCCTTAACAGGTGATCTTTGTCACTGGCGTTTTATTTTTGCTGAAAGTGCCACATGGGGATATGTAGCAAACCACTTTGCAACCCCATGGATACACCAAACTTCATCAGTCCAAGCAACCGTGGGTTTAATAGCCCTGAGCTAATATATATACTGGCCCTCACTGGATATCCTGTGGGGTAGAAAAGGATATGTGTTTGTACAGACTCATAAATAAAATAACACCCTAGTCCTGAAAGCCATTGTGGTATCATTGATGCCACCCTCTAGAGATTACATTTCGGCGTACATACGACACCTTTAACAACCACTTATCTCATATCGAGGTCAGACTCACTGTATTTGCTTCTATATATCCATACTCTCATGCAACCGCTTTACCTCCTCAATATTCACATCACTATTCTTTGTTACGGCCTGCAACACCCTCAACATATCCTCACACCATCTCCGGGCCTTTTTTCCCTCAACCATCTCCTTCATTTCCTGTGAAACCATGTAAGCTTTATCAATAATCTCGGTGGGAATGCTGGCTAAACGGGCAACGTTCAACCCATAGGAATTGCTCACGATACCCGGCTCCAACGTGTACAAAAATGTGATTGTGGCCCATTGGGAATCCTCGTTGGGCACCTCAACGTACCCCATGTGATAGTTCTTCACCAAACCGGGATACTTTGTCTCGAACACGTGCAACGACGGGTAGTGGGTAATGAACAAGACCAACGGAGCGACATCGCTATCCACAAGATAGTCCAATATGGAATAAGCCAAGGAAACCCCGTCGGTGGTGCCCGTGCCCCTTCCAACCTCATCCAAAATAACCAACGATTTGGCAGTGGCGTTTTGCAAGATTTGGCAGCACTCACCCATCTCCACCATGAATGTCGATTCGCCTTTCATCAAGTTGTCCTGGGCCCCCATTCGGATGAGAATTGCGTCAAAGACCCCCATCGTAGCGCTTTCAGCTGGGACATAGCACCCGATCTGGGCCATAATTACGAGAATCGCCACCTGGCGCACGTATGAGCTCTTCCCCCCCATATTTGGCCCCGTGATGACCATTGCACGTGTTCTATCGCTAGCCATCGCGATGTCGTTCGCCACGTATGCGCTCAGCGACAACTGCTCAACGATGGGGTTGCGCCCCTGGCGGATATCCACCGTCTGGGAGTCCACAAAGGCCGGTTTGACGTAGTCGGTGGCGCTGGAGACGGCGGTGAGCGAGAAAAGGCAGTCTAATGTGGCTACGCTCCGCACAATCCCGTTGAAGTAGTCGAAGTGAGAGTCCACCATAGCCATGAACTCAACATACGCGCTGTTGCACTCGCTGATGAGCATCTCGCGATGGTACTGGAGGGATTTGTAGAGTCTGCTCACCTCTGGCGGCCGGAACCGTGACACAGTCTTGGTGGAGCCGATCTTTAGCCAATCATGGGGCACGGTCTTGATGTTTGTGTTGCGCACTTCGATCAAATACGAGTCCTTGAGCACAGATTCGTACTTCAAGCTGGGTCTGCGGAGGAAGACACGGAGCTTGACCAACTCCGCCTCGAGAAGCTGCTCTACGCGAGAAATTTCCGCCTCTTGGGCCGCAATCCCGTCCCACTGGCAGTAGTGCGCGTTGAAGTACTGCACCACGTGTTTGTTATCGTCGTTTGTCATTTTATCGTCAATTGCCGCAGGGGAGTAGATCATTTGAAGTAGCTCCTGGGTTGTTTCCTGCTCAGAGGCAGAAAATAAGGTGGACAAGAGCTGCGAGAGAAGGTCTGATTTCACCAGAATGTCCTGTCTTTCGTGCTTACTGAACAACTGGAGAAGTTCATTAAATCCCCGAAGCAAGAGGTACAATTCTTTCCGGCTCGTCTTTCCGTAGTGAACCTTGATCAATGCCTTTTCCAAGTCGGGAATCTTCTTCATGCTCGCGGTGAGAGCCTCCCAGAAGCCCTGACCCCCGGAGCTGAGGCATTCCATGATGTCTTGCACCGCTTGGAGCCTGTTTTCGATCGCCTCCCGCGAAACAAGCGGCCGGCTGATCCACCTGCGCAACATCCGGGCTCCCGGCGCCGTTCGTGTATGGTCCAACAACCAGAGCAAGGACCCCTTCTCCGTGAAGTCTGTCTGGTTCTGAAAGATCTCGAGGTTCGTCAAGGTACTTCCGTTGAGCACCATGTGGCTGAGGTTCTGAAATGGCAGGAAGTTCTGGCGCACCCAGAACGCCGAGTCCAAGCGAAACTCTTGAAGGTATATGATGAGCTCGAGGCAGCAGATTCGGAGCGAGTCCGAAAGCAGCATGAGGAAGTCATGGATGAGAGTAAACTTTTCCGAAGAGGTGGGATTTTGGGACTTTGAAGAGCTTTCCTTCCCCTTTTCGGGCGCCCTCATTGTATCAACATAATACGTAATGAGCTCATTCGTATAACCTTCCCGTGGCATCTTCAAACCCCTCTTTTCCACCTTGGTTCCTTGACTCTCCAAGCCTCTCACGGTCTTTTCCGTCTTGGCACTCACCTCTACAAGAATCACCTCGCCTGGTTGCAAATGTTTCAACCGCGTCTGGAGTTCGTCCCGGATGAACGTGTCTTCAAACTCGTCGTACACAATCTCCCCTGTCAACGGCTGAACAGCTACAAGCGAAATCATTACTCTATCGGACATTGGCACTTCCGTCACCACAAGAACATAATCATCCCGCTTTCCCCCTTCCCCTTTCATCAACTGATCGTCAAAATACGTGGCGTTGGTGTAAACATGAGTAATCTCTCGCTTGAACAACCCGGACTTTTTGGTATTTGCCTTGATCGCAGCGGTTTCCGTCTGCTCGACTACTCCAATCTTCAAATTGTGGCCGAGCAACCGCTTCACGTTGATATGGAGTCGTTCCACCGGAAACGAGCAGTATGCCATCGCGTCGTACTGGTAGTCGCCGGGCGCAGAGTCGTCCACCGTCACTTTCCCCGGAATCAACATGAATCCCAAGATCCGCGCCGCCAACACCGCGTCCTGAGCGTACATTTTGTACTTGTACCCCAGCTGGACCACTAAAAGCTTATCCATGTTTGCCTTTTTCAAGTCCGCCACCTGCTGCTGCATCGGTGTGAGTTTCTTCGCCAGCTTTTCTTTCTTGGAAGGTGCTTCATCGTTCTGGTACCGCTTCTCCTTCGCCAGCAGCTCGAAGAAGGAGGTCTTGAGCTTGCGGACAAAAGCGTCGTGGAAGGATGTGTGGACAGGGTCCGGTCTTTTAGCTCGGTTGTAAGCAAAATTACGGGAGGACAAAGAGGAGTTCAATGGTGCGGGAGTGCAATCTGGCTTAGAGAGATAAGCATCCAGGGAATTGCTATCCGTCTTAGCACTACGACTCAGTTCAACGGTTGCTGGCGATTCCGTAGCCTCCATGTCAAGATATTCATGATCATCAACCTCCATAAATTCGGGGGTACTGACCACCAGGAGCAGCACTTGACCATTCGATTCGAGGGGATCATCGTTAGCAGCATTAGGATCCAACTCTGTGGAGGGGCCATCTGACATAGCATCAAATTCCTTCAACTCGACAGAGATTTCCTCTGGCGGCACATTCCTTTTAGAAGAAATCTCAGTCACGTTGGCACCCTCAACAGGCCCATCTATTTGGATCTCTCCATCCAGACCGCTGAGAACTTCAATTGGAGGGCTAGGAATTCGTACCGGCGAGCTAGACCGCTGGAAAAAGCGGCTGATGGTGGGCTGGGTTTTGCCGTCACTCTTGCGTTTTGCCATGTCTATACAGGAAAGGTTGTTGGATAAAACCAGGAAGCTGATTGTTGAAACTAACCAGAGCCGAGTATCAATTGGCGTGAAAAAAGTGATGAACAAATGAGAATGGGGGAATAATGTGCACAGGACTTTAATTCACGCGACGCGTCTATCACGTGATACATCGGTGTCACTTATGAGAGCTTAATATTAGAAATAGTATACAAGCATGTTATTTAAAGATGTTACTATCAATTATGTATAAACATAATGTCTCTAGACTCTCAGTGCCATTACACTTGTGCTGTATTGGTTAGTTTTATACCCCAGCCTTGTGTACATTCTATCGAAACTCGTACAAGACGATTACCATAGTTTTTATTTTTAAATTTTGAGCCGTATTTGTGGAAAAGCATTCCATGCCACATTAAAACCCCTTTAGAGCCTAGTATGTCAATCAGTGAAACGTTCTAGGGCTGTTTCCTCCCAAAAAAATAGACCATTATGATTGTACCAAGTGTCCTATAATACGTTTAATGGCAAGACCGTTTATGTTTGAGATAGGACACTTTTCACATCAAGCACATAAACTGAGACCAAGCTTCCACGTCATTCCATTGCATAATCCGTTAATCAGCAGCACACCGAACTGGAATCCCGAGAGATTCAGTCATGTTAGCCACATCTGTGGAAATTAAAGCCCAATCAATTAACTTCCCACTAGAATTGAAACAATTATAAAATCTCAGGCTGCCTCGGTGGACATTCCAAAGGCTACCTGTGTTAATACTAAAGAGCCGTTGAATACGGCCATCTCACGTGACTCAGCATTTGTCAGCTTTCCTACTTACACTCTACGCACCATAGGAGTGATTAATTCACCTACAGAGACGGTACCAAACTATACCAACCAAAAACTAGACACGATTTATATCTTAGTCGATAGGAGTTTTCTATAAATAGCCATGTCAATTTGCAGGGATTGGACCTCTTTCCTGCACATAAAACTCACCCCGAATCCTCTGGTTAACCCTCCAGAAAGTCTCTCCACCCGCACCCAGCTGACACGAAATCAGCAAAAAAAAAAAGACAAATCACAGGTCTAACCTAAACCGCCATGTAATTATTAACCATTATTTCCTGGTATTTTCTCCCGGCTCGCGCCCTCGGGATTCCTCTCTCCCCAGCCGTGTTCATCTGGCGTATATGCCGGATTTTGCCAACAATTTCGTCCCAGTTACGGCGGTTCCCTGATCCGCTACGCAGAGCAAACACTAACAGTTATCTTTGTTAACCGGATCGTCCTTTGAGATTATCGTTGAGCCAGTACTTCTCAGAAGAAACACCATCCATTCGCATTAGAACAAAGTTCTTCATTTTGAGCTACAGTCTTAGGAGTTCCAGCCCAGGTGTCACCATCGACGTTATCATCCCGGAGCCAGTTCCCAGCTCTGACCCAGTTCCATTTTTCATTTCCTCTCATTCACATCTCATTCATTTCATTTTCATGACCGCCCTCAACTTCCAGGAAACTACGTACGCAGTCGCCTCCACTCCTCCAGGCGAGACCAACGGCGAGGCGGGCGACTCCATGCTGCGCCCCAGACCCCCGATGCGTACGCGCTCCATCTCCATCTCCAAGTTGTTCAACTTTGACAAAGAAAAAAAGGCAACCTCTGCCTTGCGAGCGGAATTCGAGCCCTCACCCCAGGCCCTTGAAGAGCCGGTCTCACTTGGGCCGTTCGTCCCGCTCTCGCCTGAGATCGAAACGTTCCTGGACGGACCCCACAGCCAGGGGAACCGTTTCTCCAAGCTCAAAAACCTCTTCAAGCACTTACCCAACTCTTCTCTAGGCCCTGCTAGTGGTGACTCCTACGTCTCGCCCAGCTCCTATGGTACATCCGACTCGTTATCGCGCGAGGTGTCCGATGAGCCCGCAACGACGCGGCCGCTTTCTACCGCGTCCAGTGATATTTTCAGCGCGGAACAGAACCAGCTTTTCGTTTCGCCAACGGGGCTCATGAACAAGCTTCGCCGCAAGCGTGCGGAGTCGTCGCCCAACGATACGTTCGAAGGGATTGCTGCAGGAATCGGCTCTTTAGGGTTCAAGAGAAAGGAACCGGACGTTGCACCCGAAGGCCCGGTTACATTCCGATTAAGGCATATGAGTAGCGTTCAGGATATAGCGAGTGGTCGTCAGGCCACCGGCGAAAGCGGCGACATTGCGGACATGGATTACCGCCTGGGGCAAAGCACAATCGACCACAAGGGTCGGCTCGGAAGGGACGTGCTGGGAATTCCGGGAATTTCCGTAGAAACTGACGAAAGAACCCAAGGTAACACACTTGGAAATGCCTTCGGGATTCCCTCCATCCAGCGCAAGCTCCGCCGCGTCGCATCGGCTCCGCTCGGCCTCAAGCTTATGGGTGACCGCGGAGGCAGCACTGATGTCCCGGTACGGAACATTGATACCCCGTCTGAGTCTTCAACGGTGTTTACCAAACCCCAGAGTCTGGGCAGCGGCCAGGCGAGTGCCCTCTCTAGCGGCTTGGTTAATCGCCTCGCCAGTGGCTCGGCCTGGGACCTTGCGCACATCGGTGAAATCTCCCGCCCTTCACCCCCCACCTCCCGCGGCCGCTCCTATCTGGCCAACTCTACTAAAGTTTCCTCCGCCCAGGTAACTGCCGACTCGTTTGAGAAGATCCGCCTTCTAGGGCGCGGCGATGTCGGAAAGGTCTACCTTGTCAAAGAGAAAACTACCAACCGTCTCTACGCGATGAAGGTGCTTAACAAAAAAGAGATGATTGCGCGTAACAAGATCAAGCGTGCACTCGCGGAACAGGAAATTCTCGCAACTAGTTCCCATCCCTTCATCGTCACCCTCTACCATTCGTTCCAGTCAGAGGAATGCCTTTACCTCTGCATCGAGTATTGTATGGGGGGTGAGTTCTTCCGCGCACTCCAGACGCGTACGAGCAAGTGTATTCCCGAGGCTGACGCGCGCTTCTATGCAGCAGAGGTTACCGCGGCGTTGGAGTATCTCCACTTAATGGGCTACATTTACCGTGACTTGAAGCCCGAAAATATTCTTTTGCATCTGTCGGGACATATCATGTTGTCGGATTTTGATCTTTCCAAGCCTACGAGCCAGACCAAGGCGCCAGAGATTGTGCTTGCCGGAAAGAGCTCCAGCCATCCGTCATTGGATACGAAGGCGTGTATCGACGGGTTTAGAACCAATTCGTTTGTGGGGACCGAGGAGTATATTGCACCGGAAGTTATCAGGGGAAAGGGTCATACCGGGGCCGTTGATTGGTGGACGTTGGGCATTTTCATCTACGAGATGTTGTACGGGACAACACCGTTCAAGGGGGCGAATAGAAACAAGACGTTTTCGGCGATCTTAAAGAAGGATGTGACATTCCCAGAAGGGTCAAAGCATGCCCAGGTCTCCAGCAGCTGCAAGAGCTTGATCCGGAAGCTCTTGACGAAGGACGAGACGAAGCGGTTGGGATCTAGAGCCGGAGCGTCGGATATCAAAGGACATGCGTTTTTTAGGCATACACAATGGGCATTATTGAGGAACCAACAGCCGCCAATGATCCCGGTGTTGACACAGAAGGTGTCACATATGAATGACCTCAAGGAGAGTAGCGCAAAAGAGGATGCGCGTGAAGATGCACGCACGGATGCGCCCGCGGATGTGGAAGGTGCGCTTGTGGACCCGTTCGCAAACTTCTCATCCATCACGTTGCACCATGACTCTCCCCACGATAGTGATGATTCTATGCGGTTCGGTGGAAAGCCTGACGAGTACTTCGGCGGTATTTCCTACACTGTCACTGGCAGCTCGAAGAGCAAGAAGGGGTTTCTCAAAAGGTAGAGGTTGAGCTGGTTGCTAGATATGATGCAGGGTAGGTTGGAATAAACAAGGTACATACTACCTACTCGGAACGTCTACTGCAATTAGGGCCACCCAATGGCCGTATGAGACCATTTTGGGGGTAAAAAAAAACAAGATACTAAATTTATTTAATTTCAGGCTAAAGGTTTTATTAGGCATGACTATTAGTTTTGAAGAAAATGATTATAGGTCCAAGCCTTCGTGAAACGCTATTGAATCGAGATACCATTGTAGTTAACACCCCTTGGGAGCTTTAGTAGGAAAGTATCGGATAAAATTCTACGTCTAGAGGCCAAATGATAAATTGTAGCTCGTCATCGCAAGTATGAACCGTGAGTGTTTGATACAGAAGTTTACACAAACAGGATTACGAAATGGGCCCGTTTATGGGTAATAATATGAACTTTTCCAGTCTCAACCAAGGAACGTGTTCCATTCAGCCTGCAACAACACAGTCAGAACTAGTCGCTATACGAGACGACTCATACCTCTACACAATCCATATTAGGACGTAAAGAATGCAGATTAAGGTGCAAAGCACATGATATATATTATACAGAAGGACGAGCCAGCTTAGGCTTAAGCGAGGTGTGGAGGCAAGAGGAAGTTAGGGATCGAGTTCTTGATATGATAGACATGCTGGCAATTACCACAGACCATCTTTCCCTCAGTGATCTGGGTTTCTAACAACAAGGAGTGCAAGTCTCTTAACAAAGGCTCGTTTTCAGTCAAGGTTGGGTCAACATCATCTGGCTTGTGGGACGGCAAGGAGGTGTTGCCCAAGTCGGCAGCAACCTTTAAGAGTGCGGCCCAATCCAATCTCTCCAACATGTTAGCAATAAACTCTGGGTTGAAGTCCTGCTCTTCTTGGACCAATTGCACGTCTTCATACTTTAAGGGGAAGGAGTCAGCTGAGGAGTCACAGGCCTTGACAGCACACTTGACAAAGTTGGTAGTGAGTAACTTCATGACTGTATATTTGCTGATAAGAGGTTGGCGGACCGGTGAATAGTTTTACTCTGAAAACTTTTCTGCTTGATGCATGTACATGAAAAAAGAAAAATCCGTGGTTGAGGAGCACGTGATAAGACATACTTGGGGGTCTATCCTTGAACCAAAACACTTTGGTTCGAAATGGGTTTTCTGTATTCATAATTTGCCTATTATTTTCGACTGTGCTTACGATACTTACTCATAAATTTTATAAAATTACACCCCCACATTGGTTTATGGTCTTCACGACCTTTCGATGCAACCTTTATATTTACATGTTGAGCCTTGAAAACTATTCCTTACTTTTGATCACCTCCATTTCGGCCTCCACCATGTGAAAAATCTTGTAGTAGCTGTTCTCAAAGTCCAATACCTTATTGAACTCACGTAAGTCGTGGGCCATGGTGCTCTTGAACATCATATACACACTTAAAATCTGAAACCCGAGCAACGCATCAAACGGCTTGTTTTTATTGAGCGGAGAGTTAGCGAAATACTCGTTCTCAAGCATGATCAGAAGCGGCTCGGCTTCGCGCTGGGCCTCACTCTTCCGTCGGAATCGCCGGTACTGCTTGTGCACAAACTTCCGAATGCGTGTGCCCATCAAGTACTCCATTTCCTTGACTATCTCTTCCTTCTCAAAATTAGACTTGTAGAGCTGGAGGTACGAGTGGATGAGGGGCGAGATCCACCGGAGCCTTTCAATGTCCTGTGACTGCTTGACGCCGCTGAGGAGAAGCGACAACATTTCTTTATCCATGATCAAATGTATGCCCAACTTGTCTAGCTTCTCCTGAGCGGCCACGCAGTCGCGATAGGAATCATTGATGATGTTGATATTGGCAAGGTTGTTGATGAGCTTGACAGGATATGGCACCACAAATCCGTTCTGGTATTCTAGCCTGAAAACATCCGCAGTGTCGCGGCTGTATTCCCCGCCAACTACCACGTACGGATCCCCGTTAGTATCGAGGATGGTGTTGTTGAGCATCTTGAGACACAAAGTGTCAAAGACGGGGAACTGCTCGAACTGGATGCATCCCCTTAAGGCGGCTTTGTACGTCTTCATCGGACACAAAAGAACACTGGCTGTAGTATTTTGAAAGAGGAGCTTGTGCACTGAAGGGGAGAGTCTCACAGGGCCTTCGCGGTCGCGTTCCACGCGGTGGAAGTATTTTGACTGGTACTCAATGTCCTTGGTGTGTGTAAAGGCTAGCACCGTGGGTCTCAGATTGGATACTGCAGCATTTGTCGATTCATTGGATATTGGCTCAAACGTAGACGGGCCAACATTACATGCCTTGTCTTTGGTTTCGGCAATCGCCTCTGCAAAGCCGTCAATTTCCACCACCGTGTGGTTGTACTTCTGGAACCGCGTAAGTTTGGAGAACGGATGCAAACTCACATGAGTAGTGAAGGTATTGTTGTAGTGGTAATGGTTGTCGAGAAGATGCACAGACGTGTTAATGTCAAAAAAACGCAATTCGTTCATAAAGTCTCGGCTCCAGTTGTTAGCCAGCGCGTGGCTCATGCGGAAGAGAAGCCTCGCAGGGGTGGCATCAAACCCGAGAAGAAACGGTGTGAGATGATACAAGAGGTTGCTGTAATTGGTCATTCCCAACCTGTGGAACTTTTTCGAGAGATACGCAATAAGGTCGTAGTCTGGCAAAACAGGTGTGGTGAGGAGTACCCGAGAGATCTCAAGAAGAATGGTGTGAGGTCTAGACAGCTGGAAACCGTTAAACACGGCATCTAGGGCTACAGTCAAAACCCGCGTCTCGGCCCGCTTCTCAGAGAAGCCAAGACTGAAAGCGGAGGCTAGACTGCGCATTTCCGTCTGTTTAGTCACTAAATTTTCGTAGTTGTTAAAGTACGGATTAGAACTGAACTCTCGCTTGATTCGGTTTTTGGTAGTAGTATTCAAGGAGAAGATGAAATCCTCAAAGTTAGCAATGGCCTTCTCTGAGGCCAAATACGGGCTCAATTCAGCGAGTAGAACAGACATGAGCTCCTCGGGCACCTCATTGAGCATCTCATGGATTGTGATTGACGATAGATTTTCCTCGGCTGTGGTTAATATGTACAAGTTTTCCTCCACAAGGTAGGTGCTGAGCATTTGATGGACGAGTAGGGCCATAGACTCCCTCCAGCGAGACTGCTCATAGAAATTCTCCGTTTCCGGCTGGTATTCTATCTCAGGAAAGACCGGCATGTCCTCTAGAGGATGAAGCGTGGGAAAAACCGGTATGTGCAATGAATTTGCTTTGCTGAACCGGCGGCTGGGTCTGACTGAGGATAGTGTTCTGGGGAGGGACCGACCAGTCCATCGAACAAGCTGACTCCTGACCACAGGGAGATTGGCCATATTGAAGAGGCTTGACTTGGTATATGTATTGCCTGAACCACCGAACCTCTGTTTATAGCCTTGTGGTTCTTAGTTAGTTTTCTGGCCATGTTGGTGAAAAATCGTAAGATTCCCTGCAGCTAAGAGCCAGTTACAAAGCCGCAGAGGTCTGCTCGATTTGACGGTTGTCCTGCAAATGATGAAGAGCCGCAGAGATCGCCCAATATGGGTACAGGGCGATCTTTGCCTTCGAGATTTAAACCCATTGCAAATTCTCATAGCATACAACCCCTGCTGCTGACAATCAATATGGGTGTTTACTACTTAAAATTAACCGCAGCCTTGGAAGGTGTCACGAACTTGAGACCTTTAGACTCGCCAGAAGATCCGTTTGAGTACACCTTCGAAATCGAATGCACCGCCTGCCGCGAAGTCCACCCGAAGCCAGTCACTATCAACTGTTTTGAGAGCCATGACTTAAACGACTCCAAGGGTGATGCCAGTTTTGAGTTCAAGTGCCGTAACTGCACCGTATGTACTATTAAGATTGCTTCAAAGGATCTAGGGCTGGGACCCATGGCCCACCATCGAATGACACTAACACGTATAGAAAACCCATTCCGCTAGTATGTGACACAATGCCCGTTACCTGGCCTGATACCGACTACTAACATCATAGCCATTTCTAGAACCAAGTTTTCATACACCGCTGAGGACGCTGAGGCCAAGAAGGCTGTTGCCATTTTGCACCTCGACACCAGAGGCATGGAATTCAAGAGATTCATCCCAGAAGTATGTTGAACACCAGAGAAGGCGATGGAAGGTATACTAACACGTTTAGGGCCACTTTGAGTGTGTCGGTGCCGGTTCTGGTACCAGTTTCAATGACGTTGACTTAGAGGAGGGTGAATGGTACGACTATGATGACAAGGCCGGTGCCGAAGTGTCTATTGTGGATGCCCAATGGGAAATCACCAGGAGCTAGAGGACTTTCTGTGATGTCCAGTTAGGAAAACATGAATGGTAGATTAGAGCGTGCTGCATGGGGACGATTTTGTGGATATAGTCGTGATAAAGGTCCGAGAAATATTTTGCGTTTATTGGGCTGGAATAGTATCATCTATACCTATAATGATTTCAGTTGTACTGCCAGAGAGGTCATTGATATCCACCCTCTGGATACACAGTAACCTCTCACTGATTGTAGGCGTTCAAGTCTGAGCCAGAATTTGTTAGTGCACCCAGGTTGTCTTACAAAGAGAAATGTCATATTGGATATAGAGACCTGTAAAGTCGCTAGTGGGACACAGAACACATCAGCTATGCTTTGTTAGATTTTGAAACTAGTCAAACGAATTGACGGGTTAGAGTTTCCATCGATAAAGGTTATTTTAAACCACGAAACAACCGGTTTATATCTCAGGCACATCCGTGGGATATTTTGGGGGCTGCGACCCATTTAAAGCGTACTAGTCAAAGGTGTATTTAATTCCTCTCTATAAGTTTATAGTTTTGGCTATACTAGAAGAGCTTATAAAGTTCCGTTAGGCTCACAGAACTTTATGGCCCCTAGAGATGCTTAGTCAGATAGCTTTACCATAAGAGACTCCACTCTGCTATCCTTGCCTCGCTATGCATCACCTTGTCTATTTGTCATCTTCACCAACAATCTCATTCCAAGTCTTGCCCTCCTTCTTCAACTCAGCGGTGATCTCATCCTTGATCTTGGCCACTAAGCCTGGGCCTCTGTAGGCAAAACTCGTATACAATTGCACAAAGTTAGCACCGGCTTTGGCAAACTCTATGGCGTCCTTTCCGGAGGAAATTCCACCGCAGCCGATGATCGTCAAGTCGGATTCCTTGGTGTACTTGCGCAAGGTTCTCAAAGCCTGCAAAGAGAGCGGCTTCAACGGCTTTCCAGACAAGCCCCCCATCTGGTTAACCAACTCCAAGTCCTTGGTTCTCAACTGGTCAACCGGTCTCTGGATGGTGGTATTGGAGATAATGATTCCGTCGATCTTGGCATCCTTCGCAGACTGCGCGATGGAGGCAATCTCCACCTCGCTCAAATCTGGCGCCACCTTCACCAACACTGGTGGCTTCTGGCCCAATCGGTTTACCTTCAAAATATCTCTCTCAGCAACCACGGTCTTCAACAAGTTGGTCAACTTCGACTCGGACTGCAAGTCTCGCAAACCCGGGGTGTTAGGCGAAGACACATTGATAACCAACACATCTGCAAACTGTCCTAACCTTCTGACCCCTAACACGTAATCGTTCACCTCTTCGCCGTGTTTGTTTTTCCCCAAGTTGATTCCCAACATTCTGTTTTCTCTGAACGCGTTGGTCTCGGAAGCCACATACCTTTGCACGAGCTTCTCGAGTCTAAGTCTCAATCTGGTGGCAACTTCCCAGTGGCCCGTGGAGTTGAAGCCGTATCTGTTGATGACGGCATCGTCCTTAGGCAACCTAAAGAATCTTGGCTGTGGGTTACCTGGCTGGGCCTCCGGGGTGATCGACCCGACCTCGACGTAGCCGAAACCAAAGTCAAACAACGCGTCAATCGCCTCGGCATCTTTGTCCAAACCAGCAGCCAACCCTACTGGGTTCGACAAGACTCTGTTACCGAACACACAGGTTGCCAAGACCGCGTCGTCCTGGTCGTCGAACAACTTCGGTACCAAACCGTACTTCATAAGGGCAACTCCCCATTTATGGCCATCTTCAGCATCAGTGAACGCTCTAATCAACGGGCAGAACACATACTCATGGACTGCAGATCTGGCATTCAAAAGGTAGTACGACGTGAGCGACAACCCGAGCAACCCTCCCGTCACCAAGAGCGCTTTTGGAAAGATACTCGATTTCAAGACTGGGCGCGTGGCCACTGATCTCTTGAATACAGTGTTTGCCGCCTTCTTTACGGTATTGTTCAAAAGCATTGTGTGAGAAGAAAGAGAGGTGGAGAGGGTCTTGAAAATTCAGTTAAATTTCTTAACCCGGATTTCGCGAGTGCACAGAGGTTCGTATTCAACCAAAATATGACCAAAAAAAAGTAGGCTCTTTATTTCTTGAAAGATTGAATAAATATCGAGTGGTTTTTGTCAATTTGATGAGATATCTGAAATTTGGGTTGATATATTATATTCTACGTATTTTGCTTAACCGTGAAGAGCCAATGAGAACGCCAGGATTGAGTTATGCCACGTGATGTTTGGCCTTACCGAGGTGGCAGATCAGGGGAGGTGAAGGCGTGGCACGTGCAACGGTAGAGTACGAGCGTGGCACTATGCCATCGAAACCTCATGAAATGGCATTGTTTTTATTGAAAAAGACGGATAGAGTAAAGAGTAAATTGGTCCTGAAAGGAAGAGGAGGCTAAAATTTCGTTGATACCGAGAGCCTCAGATCCTATGTATGGGTATATGTATGTAAGGTGCGGTATAGTCTGGGGGTGGAGCACTCTTAGGTGGACACTAAACCATATCCATTAGTAGCGTCATATTAACAACGATACTTGCCATTTAAAAATCCCCATTCATTTTGGAGAGGTAAAAACCGTATAACCATTAATACAATCCATGTTTAAAATGTGTAGCTTACCTATGGATACACAATGTATACATTCTGTGATTCAATATCAACAAACCTGGCCGAGTCGACAAAGTCTCTACAGCTATCTGGAAGCTCGTCACGTAAGGCGTCGCACCATGTTTTAAGAGTGTCAACAGCAATATTCTGCTTCGATATAAGCCGAAGCGATAAATTTGAATAGCTCCCCAGCTGTATGTTTTTCCAGGAAATCCCGTATATTCCAAAGGGCCTGAGACCAAACATTCGTTCACCCACCACAATCCGCAACACTGCCCTCCAGAAGGGGTGTTCTGACCCGGCCGGGATCTGGAATACCAAGGCCCCTCCATATATAGGCTGCAAAATGGCCCTGGGAGGCAAGCACGATTTAAAAACATGGACCTGATGGTCTAGCCTGCTTATGGTTCCCTTGAAAGAATAAATCAACTCCTCCAAATCCTAGTGCGTTAGTATACATCTCCGGCAAAAAAAAAAATCAAAAAAAACCTACTAGATTCGTCTCAAGAACCATCTCAGAATGAAATTTTCTCCCCAGAGTAGCGCTCCCCGGATCATTTGTCCTGAGTGTAGAGGTGGTGGGCCTCTCTTCTACTGTTACCTCCCTGTGCCGTTAGTGACCTTCCCTCGGCGTTATGGGGTCTACTTACCGATCATTCCACACATTCCATGTATAACAGAGAGGATAATCGTCCATTTTCAGCTTAATCATCCGAGATTGGGCTTGAAAAATCCCGTACTCCGCATTTTGGAAGATCCCCAAGCGAGAGGCAGGGCTCGCCCACAACTGAGCTTCGTTTAGCCGGTACTCGGAGAGGATTTGGGCAAAGGTGGAGTTCGTCCCGGATACCAAGTCCTTTGTATTATTGGCTATACGATTACGAGTAATCTCCTCGCTATCAGAGCTACTGGTGGACGAATCTGGACTAAGGGTTTCTGCCACTGTCACTCCGTGGTTCCAGCTGAAGACGTTCGAAAGGGCATCTCGAAAGCGGAGGGACTTTGACTGGGGCCGGGATCGTTGCCCCAGAACCAAAGCTTTGGTATCCCCAGAATCTGGAGCAGGTTCACTGATATCAGACTTTTGCGAAATTAACACATCACCGCATTCTGCAAGATGCGGGACACTCGCATGCAAGATCTCAATATCACCGGGTTGCGTCTTGGTTGAACCAAACCAGCTTTTCTGTTTCTTCAAGCTCATTGAAGAACCTTTAAAATGATTTTAAGAACCAGCTTTGGACTAAGCCAATATTCCCTCTGATATATAGATAAGCATACCCATAATACAATCTCCGTGTCTGTGGCTGCATAGCTTTGCTTGCACAATTCTGCCCGTACAGCTGCATAATCACGTGTATTGCACGTGATATTTTTCATGCGATGAGCTGAAAAATCTTTTTATCTATGCGTAAAAAGCTTTCACTCCCCTCCCGTTTCCAGATCCTCAAATATCACCACGACAAATGGCTAAGACTACGTATGCCGGTAAGATGGGGTCTACGGACCGCGCCAACACGCGCAAGTTCGAGCGTGCGGGCGAAAAAGGTGCGAACAACCGAACCAACGACAAGAAACTCAAGGCCGGGTTGAAAAAGATCGACAACCAATATAAGCAAGCATTGAACTCCGCTGCCGGAACCGACTTGTTGTTGCAGGAGAATGAGGGGCTTCTCGAGGCCGAGGGGATGGAAAAAACGTACAAGTTTCAGCAGCAGGACATTGTGGAGGCCGTTGATATCGGTACCGCCAACAAGTCCTTCGAATTGAAGTTGAACGAATTCGGTCCGTACACTCTCGACTACACTAGAAACGGCAGGGAATTATTGATTGCCGGGAAGAAGGGTCATGTTGCGTCCATTGACTGGAGAACCGGAAAGCTCGATTGCGAGTTGCACCTTGGAGAGACTGTCCACGCGATCAAGTACTTGCATAACGACCAGTACTTTGCGGCGGCGCAGAAAAAGTACACGTTTATCTACGACAAAACCGGCACGGAATTGCACAGATTGAAACAGCACATTGAGGCGACGATTCTTGAGTTCCTCCCGTACCACTACCTCTTGGCAACGGCTGGTAACACCGGGTATTTAAAGTACCATGATGTTTCTACCGGTGTATTGGTTGCCGAGTTGAGAACCAAACTCGGACCGACAATTTCCATGAAACAAAACCCATGGAACGCGGTGGTCCATTTGGGGCACAGTAACGGTACCGTGACCTTGTGGGCCCCCAACATGTCCACTCCGTTGGCAAAGTTGCAAACCGCCAGAGGCCCTGTCAGGGCCATGGCTATTGATAGAGAGGGCCGCTACATGGCGACTGCCGGTGCCGACAAGACTATCAAGCTCTGGGATATCAGGACGTTTAAGGAATTAGACCAGTACTACTCGCCTACGCCAGCTAGTACTTTGGACATTTCCGACACTGGGCTCCTTTCCGTGGGGTGGGGGCCGCACGTTTCCGTATGGAAAGACACTTTCAAAACGAAGCAAAACTCGCCATATATGACCCATCTTTTGCCCGGTTCGCTGGTCACGACCACCAAATTTGTTCCATTCGAGGATATCTTGGGGATTGGTCATGCTGGTGGTATTTCCTCTATCATCGTGCCAGGCTCCGGTGAGGCCAACTTCGACGCCTTGGAGTTGAACCCATACGAGACCGCCAAGCAGCGCCAACAGGGCGAGGTCCGCTCGTTGTTAAACAAGTTGTCGCCTGATATGATCACTATAGATCCGACCGTAATCGGTACCGTCGATAAACGCGCCTCTCAGGTCAGATTAAAGCCGTCTGAGTTGGCGGCCGTGACCAAGGATAGCGATGAGGAGGTAAAGATGGAGATCCAACCAACTGTCCGGGGAAAGAACTCGTCCTTAAGACGTCACTTGAGAAAGAAGAAGCAGAACGTTGTCGATGTTAGAAAGATGAAGATCGAAACCAACTTGAAGAGAGAGAAGGAGCTTAGAGCCCAGAAACACCGACACACCAAGGGCGAGCCGGAGGAGAAGAACTTCCTCGGTCCAGCATTGTCTAGATTCAAGTAGCACCGATGGTATGTAATATAGGACGATTCATCAATAAAATACAAAACAGGAAAATGAGTAGAGGGACTGCTAGTTGGAGGTTTCGGATATCATGAATAGCATAGCACTTGTTGTCTTTTTGATACTAGTGCTGGCTAGCACTATAAAGCTGAATAGGTTGCCATCTGATCTATCAAGATCCATAGCACCTTCCTTTGCATAAAACACATACCGGGACCCAGTATCCCCACAAAACTACGACTGAGTTGTGTCCTCGACTGATATTTGCTGGTAACCATGATCATTGCCGGTTTTATCCGCCAGGTGGTCTTTTGCTTTTGAAGGTTCACACCAAAGTATCCAACTACGGAATAAATACCTTGATCTGGGTTGTTGTCGATTGCAGTTATCCTAATAACTGTTCTTTTTCGTCTATCAGTTGTCCCAGAAGTTTTAGTAATTGCTTAAGCCTGTAAATTTCCAATCAGTACAAACTAGTCGTGAAATCGCACACTCATAGAAACAGGGCTGCGAATGTACCTACTAAAACATTCATAAACTTTTCATCAATCCCTCAAAGCATGACGCTTCCGTCTTTAGGAAATCCCTCAAATCGACTCTTTCTATATCTTCACTTTTCATATTGCAAACTTTATTCCACTCTAAAATACATACTCTACTCAGCGTCCTCCTCACTCAACGTGAACGGTTCTGGCACCGGTGCCTCGGTGTTGCTCAACTGTCTGATTGTCTTGATGAACTCGGCCGGCTCGCCCGGGGCATTGTCCTTCAATATTACCACGCCGCCGGTGCCTCTGAACTTTCTAACCGGCACGAATCTCTCATCCTTGAACGAGATGTACTTCAACTGACTCGGAACTACCCGGGTCATGTTGTCGATCTTGTACGGTGTCTTCGTATACCTGGTGGAGGCGTCTTCGGTTTCGACCTCCTCTGGAACCTCCTCCTCCCCCTCCTCAACCTTAGCTTCATCCACCGGCGGTTCCGGGGCCTCCTCCTTTGGGGTGTCGACATCCATGTCGTCCTTCTCCTTCTCAGCCTTGGCCTTCTTCGCTCTGGCGTTGGCTCTGGCGGAGGTTGACAACACTGCGGTGACAATCTTCTCTGGGGCCTTCTCCTTGGCGTCAGCCACCTTCGGTGGGTACCCAAAAATGTCGGCTTTGGTATGGCAGTTGATCTGGAACTTCGGCACGCGCAAGTCCTCGCGAACACCTGTAATAGAGGTCGGAGTGAACGACAACGATAAAAAGTGAGTCAACGGGAACCAGTACCAGGTTTGGGTGAAGACAGTAAGTCCGACAATCGCCTTCATGTTGAGGGTGTTGGTCTGGGTGTTTTCCAACTGGATGGTGACGTTGCGACCACCGGCATCAATGATCCCCTGGGCCAACGAGGCACCGAACTTGGCCAACGCGTCCTGGCTCTTGCTGGCAATCACGCCGGCAAACTGCTTTCTGATCTCGGCCACCTTCGGGAAGGTCTTTTCATTCTCCTGGATCAAAATCATCGACATGGCAACCAACGCCCCCTGGCGTACAAAGTCGACCGGGTCCTTGGACAACGGTTCCAAGACCTCGATCGCGGCCGGCAAGCCACGGCCAGCACAGGAGATTCCCAACGCCATGGCGGTACCGTAACGGACGTGTGGGTTGTGTGACTCGGACAAGAGCTCGACGATGGTGGGGACGGTGGTGTAGTCGCGTAACAAGACGAACCCTAAGGCGATCACAGCCGCTCTTCTGACGTCGTCAGAGGAGTCTGACACGGCGACATGGAGCAAGCGCTTGATGGCGGCGTTATTGCCGGTCCCACAGTAGGCCAACGCCACTGTGAAGGCACCACCGTAGCGCAATATTGGGTTCTGGTGCTCCAACAACTTGTCAATAGTGGTCTTCGCGGTATCCTCTTTGGCGTAATTCAACAACGCAATACCGATGGCCAAGCCACGGATGATGGTTTCGTGCTGAGTCTCCTGGGCATACTGGAACATGTCGTCGATAGCAGTCTCGTTGCCAGAACCGAGCATAACCAAACCCATGGCGAGCCCGGCGGCCTGGCCCGCGACGGCAGAGTCGGAGTACAAGACGGTCTTCAAGACCTCGTAGAGCTCCTCGTTGCCGGAGGCCATGCCAGCCACGCCGACCCCGAGGGCAGCACCGTGAAGAATCACATCCACCTCGTCGTTTCCAGCGGAATTGCCGTCCTCAATGAGGTGCTTCTTGAGATAGTCGATAGTTTCACGGCCATGGCCGGCGTAGATAAGCCCCAAGGCGTAAAGCGAGCCCCCCTTGGTAAAGTGCGACCCAGAGTTGCCTGGGAGGTACGGCTGGAGAATCGTGCGGCCCTGCGCCAAGTTGCCCTTATGGATGACCCCCAACGCGGCAGTGGCCAAGAACTTGGACCAGTTGGTGGCCTTGCCGAGCCACTCCAAGTTGGCACGGAGGAACGAGTCGTCGGTGGTCCCGGCGTACATGAACGCGGTCTGGAACGACACGGCCGAGTGGTAGATAGAGTTACGGCCGTCGAGCGCGGCTTTTGCCTTGTTGAGGATGGACACGTCTGTGTTGTTGTTGTTGGCCAAAAAGGTCACGTCGAGGTCACAGGTCGGCACGCCTGTAAGAACGCGCAAGACACGCGCAAAGTCGCGGTCCGTAGCGAGCGGCTCGTTGGCCTGGAGCGCCGCGAGCGTCTTATAGAGCAACTCCTGGGATGCGGAGCTGACCAAGTCGAATGCGGACTGTAAGGCTGTCAAGTGGTCCGCCTTGGTGTGCAAGTCGGTGAACAACTGCGCGGCCAATGCCGCATCGTTCAACTGAATGATGAGCTTGGTGGCAACAAAGTAGTCAGGCGCGGCCATGCCTAGGACGAGCGCGACGAGCGCGCGCAAGGTCTGGGTTCTGACAGCAGCGTTGTCGAGCACGGTGGTGGCGATGACCAGCACGTAACTGACCAAGTCCATCGCGTCGTCGGCCTTGGCAAGGATGTCGGCAACGATATCCAAGCGGTAGCTCTCCAATGCGATGCCCACGGCGAGCTTCAACTCGCCGGTTTGCACGCACTTCTGCAACATGCGCTCGAACACGAATGTCAATTCGGGAGACGGCGCGGGCCCGGATGGCGCCTGCACAAACTTTTGCGATTGTGCGATGTAGCGATTGATGCACTTGGAAATGATTGTCTCGACGTACTGCGACTGCTCGTCGATGTCGAACTGGTTTCCGGCAGCAAGCGCGTACTTGACCGCAGCGTCAAAGTCACCCAAGTTGTAGTACACCTTGGAGGCGAGGAGAGCGGCCAAGTGACGGTGGGCGTAGCTCTCGGATTCGTAGAGCTCCTCGATGGCGGTGATTTCGTTGGCCACCTCGGCCCAGAGCTGGTCCACGACCTCGTTGAGCGAGGTCAAGGCGTATGTCTTCAAGCTCTCATCGGCTTCGCTCAACAATGCGAGGTACGGCGCGGCGGATGTTAATGCCATGGTGGATGGTGTAGCGTTTTGTGAAGGAATTGATGGCCAAGAGGGTTGGCGAAGGATGAGGTGTTCTTGTAGTGCGATTATTGGTAGCCGTCGGCGCCACCGTTTTGAGGAGAGGGCCTGGTTTGCTGGTAAGCGCACGATCTGGTATAGTTGGCCGGTAAGGGCACGACTTGAGAAGAGGGTTTACTGTGCTATGTGGGCGAATAAATCGGGATATTAGGATAATTCTCTATGGGAATATCAAGCTTGGTACTTTAGCATGGTTTTCACATATAGTTGAAATTGCCTGGTTCTAGTCACTGGCGTAATTGGCTGTGGAACTGTAAGCTGGTGCGTGGCATTCCTGCAGTACTAACCATAACTGGTGAAGCCAAATAACACTTGGGGTTTGTCGGTTGAGGACGATTACTTCATGGTTGGCCGTTCTCAAACCCCCCGTCTATAAGTGAATTCCAGCGTCCCACAGTCCTTTAACATATCATTCTATGGATCTAGACAGTCCTAATTATTGAGTGTAATTGTAGATTCACTTTGGACGTTGGAGGCTGTCTTTGGATATAATTGAATGCCCTGAAATTCAACCTGGCAGTGCCTTTTTAATTATTAGAATGTATGATGTAAATATTCCCACACTTTGTGGATAGTTTTTTTATTCCACGTCAAAATGGCGTTTTGTTGACTCATTTCTGGAACGTCATATTGCGCCCTCTCCAATCTAAATTATAGCCTTTGTACAAAGGTGCCGATCGTTGATGACACTAATATATGCCACCTTTGCACTTATTTCAGCCTCATATATTTCCCGGAAACTCCTCCCCCCACTTGGCCTGAACACCGCTACTTCGGCCTGCTTACTCGTGGTTTCTACAATGTGTCGTAAATATATAGTATTAAATGGTGGCTAGCTGGAATTAAAGAAGTGAGGAATTTAGTAAAGCAAACGGGTAACAATCTTGTACGGGGTGTTTTCCAACTGCTCATACAAGGACTTGATGTCGGCGGAATCGACCTGAGAAATGTCCGCCATTAAGTAAGCAATATCACCCCTGGAGTCAGAGAACTGCTTCTCGATGTTGTGGTTCCCCAAAACGTTGTTAACGGTCTTCAACACACCCGGCACGTTCTGATGGACGTACAAGACTCTGACAGAGTTGTTCTGGTCCAAGTCAAGCGCTCTTAAAGAAACCTCTGGGAAGTTGACGGCCCCGGAGGAAGACCCTTCGTTGACGTACTTGACCAAAGCAGAGGCAACCTCAATACCGATGGCGGACTGGGCCTCTTCGGTAGAGCCACCGATGTGTGGAGTGAGAATCACGTTTCTCAAGGAAGTTAACTCGGAGATCCACGGATTCAATTCGTTGGAGAACAAACCGGCACCGTTCTTGGCTGGTTCGTTAGGGTAGACATCGAGCGCGGCACCGGCAATCTTGCCGACTTTCATAGCCTCAACCAAGGCCTGGATGTCGACGACGGTCCCTCTGGACGCATTGATGACATAAGAGCCGTCCTTCATGGCGGCAAACTGTGGGGTGGACAACAAGTTTGCGGTTTCTGGGGTTTCTGGCACGTGTAAGGTGACAAAATCGGCCTTACCCAACAATTCGTCGAGCGTATTGACCTGCTTGGCAGTCCCCAAGGACATAATCATGTTGACATCGTAGTAGATGACGTTCATCCCCATGGATTCAGCTAAAACGGACAACTGGGCACCAATGTGGCCGTATCCTACAATCCCCAAGGTCTTGCCTCTGATCTCCCAGCACTTGGCGGAGACCTTGTTCCAAGTCCCGGTGTGGAGCTCGATAGATCTATCACCCAATTGTCTGGCCAAGGTGATGATCTCGGCAATGACCAACTCGGCGACGGAACGGGAGTTGGAGAATGGGGAGTTGAAAACTGCAATACCAGACTTGGCGGCAAATTCCAAGTCCACCTGGTTTGTACCGATACAGAAACACCCGATAACAACCAAGTTCTTGGCGTGCTTCAAGATCTTCTCGCTCAACTTGGTTTTGGAACGGATACCGATGGCGTGCACCTCCTGGATCTTCTCGATCAACTCCTCGTCGCCAAGAGAGGACTTGTAGAACTCAACCTGGTAGCCCTGGCCACTGAAGATCTCAATGGCGGTCTGGTTGACGTTTTCCAACAATAAAATCTTGATGTCACCGGTGGAGAACGGCTTCAATGGCTTTGCCGGCTTCATGCTGTTAATACGCTGGGCCAAGTAGCTCTGGGTTGGGGACGTGGAGACCGCGTTTGGGCTACCGGAAAGCGCCACCGCGGACTGGAAATGCTGTTGCAAGTTGTTAATTTGTTGGGGGGAGGCCATAGTAGAGGGTGTTCTGGTGTGTGCACAAGAGAGAGAAGAAAGCAGTGGAAAATTCCCTTATATAGGGCCGGGCGCATTTTCCAGCGATGAGTAACCCGTCACGTGCTGCCGCATCATAAGGAAGAAAATGGCGCAGGGAGTGGTAATTAACTAATAACAGGGCTAGTTACTGAGTAATTTACCCCGTTATGCTACTGACTCGATCTTTCTCCGGTCTTGGTTTGGAATAGTCATTTGGATTGGACCTATTTCGCTTCTATCTATATAAAGCTATTACTTGAACAAACCTGGCCGGTAGTAAGTCTTTCTTTATGGCTTAGACTGGCCAATGGCCCTACTCCGATAAGCTCCGTTACCGGCCCATGTTTCACAGTTTTCGCTTGGCAGTACTCGTTGGCCTAAATTACGATTAGATTACAAGGTGACTCAGGCCAGGAATTATATAGGCAGGACAAAATGTCCTGTATCGAAGGGTGTGCAGGATTGAAGGTCGGAGTCGGATTAGTTTGAGAGAACTCAGGATAAGCGCTTTGTCATATTGCAGAAAGGGCCTGGTTTTGGGGTCTTAAGGTTTTACTAAATAGTTCGAATTAGAAAAAAAAAAAAAAAAAAAAAGGTATTTTATAACTTTAAAGGTGGATGGTTCAGATAAAAGTTGAAAAATGGAGTTGGTCTGAGATCCGGGGTGACACGTGCTTCGCTCTTAATACCAGTATCAATTTTGCGATATTAACTGTATGTAACAGCGGATTTTTATTCCATTAAACAGAATATAGTGGTACCTAATATTGGAGATCAAAACTCTGACAGCGGATTCCCGACACTTATACGTTTATGTGCGCTAAAACCGATATCTACGTAGATAATAATATAACCGGGTAGAATTAATTAGATATGAACTAGATATATAAAAATGCAATCAGTCGGCATTTATATAGACTGGCAGAAACTGTGAAACCTTTACTACACATCTCATTTTGAGCGTATCCAAGATTAGTCCCTAAATAATATCCATCAATCCATATTGCCTCATAACCTTTGCGGTGCTATCCACCGTGATTTATGGAATACTTCCGTGTCTTTTCCCGTGGAATGTTCACACCGAATAGGGCTCAATATGTATACATGAGACGTTAATATGCGATTGTTGCATCTCCAACTGTAATATCCTAAGAAAAGGCTACATATTAAACATGTTTACACTATTGTTAGGGCTTTCCAAAGTTGACATAATTTTAATCTCTAGAGTCTATATTTTTAGGCCCTTGGCCAGAGAGGCGGCCCTATTTCTCGGGTTAGGCAAGATACCATATTAGGCCAAGAAAACTATGCATATAGAGATAGGTATGAGTTTTCGAATGGTAATCACAGGTATATCTATTTTTTATTGGGGAGGTCTGCTTAGGCCAACCCTAGGTTTAGAAGCCTGGGTGCATCCAAACCTTTAATTTTGCGATATAACTCCAGCATCTCTCTGTTAATTTAATCCAGAAAGGAGATTTGTAAAAATATGAAAGTAACGAGAAGATTTATAATTGGTACGTGCTGATGTCATTCTCAATTCATGGGTCGTAATCGATGTCATTCATCTGGTCAATTTCCAGCGTTGATTCATTACGTAGGTCAAAAGTGATGATTTTTGGAGTTTCTACAAGATACCTATTTCCAAGGAGGAGTGATTCCCAAAGTTAAAAACTAGCGATGACTGGTTGCTGGGGAGGGGCTTCAAGGTTTAGGGTAGCACCTGTAGAGTAGCTTTGAAACGAGCAATGATGGTTCCTAGTTCTTTGCTATTGGCAGAATTGGCCCTGGACTCTACGTAAGCAGATCCCGCATGTACTAAAATTATACTTTTCAAGATATCTCTGAAATGAGGCCTACCGATTGGTGAGCGAAACTAGGTATGGGAGAGTTGGTGGCACAGTTCGAAAGAAGCTAAATGTACCTCAGCAGTTCTCAGGGTACATTTAGCTTCTGCCATATGAACTCAACAAACACCCCGCAGGTGTATTACCTGGAGTCGATTGATATAATGTAGGATAGTAAGGGACTCCGGGTAGTCCCTCGTCTAGCTTAATCCAGGATGCACACTTTGAGCAAGCATATTACAGAACATTTTTGGATTTTAACTTTGCCTTTTTGGTGTTGCTGAACATTTAATTTCTAGTCGTCTCTGTTATTTGATTCAAGGTAGTACCCGAGATAGTATTTCTCTCACCCGGTATACTCCTATCTCTAGCTCGGTCCTGAGGTTTTCTGGGGCTTCTGTATCACTATACTGGTGTTTTTTTTTGTAAGCAAGGCTAACACCAATAAAGTGTGGCAAGTCTGGGTTTACAGACAGGAGAAAACACTCGACTAATAACATCATAATTTTTATGCCCTGGCGCCCAGCCAGAATGCTATGTGAAAACCCAGTTAAAGGGGCTAGGGGGTCGATATAGGCATTCCCGCATATTGCTAGTGAATTCACGAACCTCCTCGGTGATCAAGTGACTTGGGTTATCTTTTTTTTTTCCTTAGCGCCTAAATTCATGGCTAGCTGTGTGTACGATAAGCCCCCGAATCTGGAAATCACCATACTGGTTCTTATACACGAATTAAGAGACAGTAACAAGGTAGGCCTATATTAGTGCAATTCTAATTCCCTTGCGTGCATTCTCTAAGTCTGCAGCGTGCCGTCGATCTTGCATCATGCAAGGTTCAAATGCGATTCGTCAAGGATCGCCAGGAGACGCAGTTGTAGAATCTCCGCATGTATAAACTCGCTACTCCCCCACTAAAAGTTGGCTAGCAACACCGCTTTCTCATCTGGCGCTTGCATATGCACCTTTTCAGCCTGAAGGTGATCCTTGTGTTGACCAAAGTAGTCGCCCAACCCGGACATCTTGCATACAGACAAGGATGGGATAAGCGGTGGTGCACACATTTTGATGATCTTCACATTTTAGCACGAAACCAAGAGTAAATCGGCATAGCCTCTCTTTAACAGCTTCCCAGAGCGGCACTCTGCATATCCCCCATTCAACGTTATGGTTGCTCTCCATGGGTGCAACAAAATCCAATTTAGACATCGATCGGTATATGTATTACGGCTTAAGATTTGCTGATGTAGCGGGTATTTGACCAGTAATGCCCTTTGTATTGGAGCTAACTTTTGTTACTGTAACGGTGAGAGGATATTTTTCGCCGAATTATATCATCGATTCCCCTTACTGCGTGGTGTATCTGGCATGCACTAACACCCTTAAGCGTTTAGCTCTACGCCCTTTAATATTATGAGTCTAATCTTTTCATTTACTCTTTTGGGACATTGTCTCATCCTGTTTCGAACATTCAGATCTGCATGCGCAACATCTTCTCACAACACCCAGTTAGTATGGTTGAGATTTCACAATGACGCAAGCTTGATTTCCCACACCCACAGGGTGTCGATCTGTAAGCTTTTTTGGCTTGGTAAGATTAAAGCAGCCAAGAAACCTAATACCCAGCTTTTCCCGGGGTCGGGTAGTAGGCGTAGCTGGTATCTACAGTGCTGTCCCTAACATCAGAGTAATTTTTAGAAGTGGATATTTTATCGGTTAGTATGCCTATATACTCCTGTGCGTAACGCTTGATCAACACTTATAACCAATGTAAATGAGCAATTGCAATGTGGTCAGTTTTACATTGCAGAAAACGCGCCGCGGTTATGTAAATGGCATCGCCGTGGGAATAAAGTGACGGGTTCAAGGATAACCTTAGACTGGAAAATACAGTTTTACATGAAATATTTAATGATACGATACACAGATGTACAGCAAGAACGCAGGGGATAGTGGTACTCATAAATGTAGAAAAAGATTAGAAAAAATAACTAAGGAGTGAAATTTGGAAAGCATACTCAAAGGTGCGACTAGCGGGGCCAAAAAAAAATAGCGAAATCATAAAGGGGGGTATAAGTGTTGGGATTTTTACATCATCAAAGCTATAATAGCGACAAGACTACCAAGACCCAAGGTCTGGATGTTGGCGGCACCTTCAAAGGCGGTGACCGTGGCTGGAGTCAGGGCAAAAGCAGCAGTAGTAGCAGCAGCAGTGGTCTGGATAACGCCAGTATTAGTAGCTCCGGTCAATGGATAGTAGCTTGTCTTCTTGGTGGCAACGCCAGAAACGGTGGTATGGACCACAGTAACACCGGTAGTGACGGCAGCGGTCGAGCAAACACCACCAGAACAAGAAGTGACAGTAATCACAGCGGTGGATTGTAAGCGGATGGTTGAAGTAGTGACAACACCAGCCTTCGTATTGTAGGTAGCAACGTTGGTGGTTAACGGAACGTAATGGGTAACCTGAGTGACCGTGCCTCCGACGGTGGCGGTCTCCACGACGACACCAGTGGTGACAGCAGAGATGGCACAGATATTGTTGGAGCAAGAGGTGATGGTAACCACAGCGGTCTTCTGTTCAGTGACTGTGGTAGTGGAGCCTTTAGTCAATGGATAGAAGGTGGTGTATGTGGCCGCAGCACCGTTGGTAGAAGTGGTGATGACAGTGACACCGGTGGTAACAGCGGTGGTGGCACAAGCATTGTTGGAACAAGAGGTGATGGTGATAACGGTGGTGGACTGGTCAGTGACGGTGGTGGTCACGGAACTGGTCAATGGACAGTAGGTAGTGTAGACAGTCTCATGTCCACTGGCAGTGGTGGTAATGACAGTGACACCGGTAGTAACAGCGGTGGTGGAACAGGCATTGTTGGAGCAGGAGGTAATTGTGATGACGGTGGTGGACTGGCCAGTAACAGTGGTGGTGGTCACTGATTTAGAAGTAGCGGAGGAAGCAACCAATGAACCGGTCAGAGCAGAAGCCGTCTCAGAGGCACCAGAAGTAGGATTGTGGGTGGTGGTAATGTAGACAGTGGAGATTTGGGTTAAGACGCCGCCCGAGACAACCACCACAGCAGTGGTTGGAACAACAACCTCGGCTCTCTTGTTAAGGTCATCGGTGTAGATATAGACCGTGGTGAAGGAGACATAGGTGGAGTAGTAGGAGGTGGAAGTGGAAGTAGCAACGGTAGTGAAGCTGGTGGTTGTAGGTCCAGAGCCAGTAGAGGAAGCCACAAAAGAGACAGAAGAGGAAGCTCCAGCTGGAGTAGAAACAGCTGAAGAGGCAGTCGAGGAAGCTCCAACTGGAGTGGAGACGGCTGAGGAGAAAGCAGAAGAAGCAACTGATGAGGCCACGACTGAAGTAGAAACGACTGAGGAAATAGCTGAGGAAGCTTCTGAGGAAATGGCTGAAGAAGCTTCCGAGGAAATAGCTGAGGAAGCTTCTTGGGAAATAGTTGAGGAAGCTGCTGATGAAACAGCTGATGAAGTGACTGATGAGGCTACGACTGGAGTGGAAACAGCTGAGGAGGCAGTAGAAGAGATCTGGACTGGAGTAGAAACAGATGAGGAGACAGCCGAAGAAGCAGCTGAGGAGGCAGCTGAGGAAGCTCCAACTGGGGTGGAGATGGCTGAGGAGGCTGCAGAAGAAGCTCCAGAGGAGACTACGACTGGGGTAGAAACAGCTGAGGATGAAATTGAGGAGACAACTGAAGATGGAGGTATAACTGGGGTAGAAACAGATGAGGCTTTAGAAGACACCGAAGATGGAGGTATAACTGGGGTAGACACTGCAGAAGATACGGAAGAGGAAGGTGAAACTGGGGTAGACACGGCAGAAGACACGGAAGAGGAAGGTGAAACTGGGGTAGACACGGCAGAAGACGTGGAAGAGGAAGGTGTAACTGGAGTAGAAACAGAGGAGGCTTTAGAAGACACAGAAGATGAAGGTGTAACTGGGGTAGAAACAGAAGAGACTTTAGAAGACACAGAAGAGGAAGGTGTAACTGGGGTAGACACAGTGGAGGAGGAAGGTGTAATTGGAATAGAAACAGAGGAGGCTTTAGAAGACACAGAAGAGGAAGGTTTAGCCGAGGTAGACACAGCAGAAGATGCAGATGAGGAAGGTTTAACTGAGGAAGAAACAGAGGAAACTTTAGAAGACACAGAAGAGGAGACAGTTGAAGAAGCTCCGGCTGAGGAACTGCTAGAGAGAAGCGGAAGCACGTTCTGAGCATACTCGCCATTGATATTACCAGGAGGAGCAAACTCACAGATGACGTACTCACCCCAGATGGTCGTGCAATCGATGTAGGCACACCCCAACTGAGTCGAGCTCTTCCAGACCAATTGGGTGAAGTGTCCGGTGTTAGAGCTGAAGCCCGGGTCCGCAAAGTTGTAGTTTGCAATCTCGTCATACCAGGCTTCTACGGCACCAACGGTGGAGTAACCCGCGGCAAGGTTCTCACCGTACGGGCCGCCACTATGCACCAAGACTCCGTTACAGTGGTAGGCCGAGTTACCGTAATTGTTGGCGTATGTAGCCATTGTGCTGTTCCACACGAGCGGTGGAACCCCGTGCAAGGCTCTCTTGGCATTAATGGCGGCCAAAATAGTGGTCTCGAAGTCAATACTCACCGTGGCAACAGTGGTTGTGATAGCAGATGCCGCTAGTAAAATCGTGGAAAGCTTCATTAGGTCAGAGGGGTTTTTTAAAGGTAACTTGGAACAGATCAATCAAGTAGATAGAGGGAATATAGGGCCCATATATATGTATCTATATGTATCTATCTACCCTGCCATCAGTGTAAGATTCATGGTATAGATGGTAATGCTTGCAGAGGAAATGCATGTTAATGGTAACTCTCATGGCTGGCCTGCTGTTGATCTATGCATCGCATATTGCATGGCCGGTAGGTCGTTGTGCAGGAGGCTGGCACGCAAATGTCTGCATGCATCGGCATGCATACTGCGTCAATGATTAACGCGCTCGGACAATGGCCGGACTGATCTTGGACACGGATTTCAATCTGCGTATTATGCGCGAGCAAAGATTCACGAACAAACTAATTGTCGCCTTCATTGTCTATTGAAGCCGAGGTCGCTCGATTTCTTGTTCTGAAAACAGGGATTGTAAACTGGAGTGTATCATTGCTGGATTCTTATTGGGGTACTTGTACATTTAGCCCTGAGAGGTCGGAATTGGTTCAAACCTAGAGCCTCGGGAAGATAGCGGTTAGAATCACGAATTCCTCATCATGCTAATAACCGTCACATGTTGTACCGAGGTTACAAATCCCATTGTGGTTATACCAGTCAAACTGGCGAGTAGACTGATCATGTTGGTATAAACGAGATATTGCTGGCTTAGCAACGTGCATGCATGAGAACCTATATCCGATTTACAGCCTACCCTGGTACTATAGCGCACATACGCAGTCTATGCGAATCAGGTGGCTAGGCATGATGTAATAGCCGCTTGCTTTTATTGACCAACAAACGTGGACTACCAGAGGCATAGAATGTAATCCTTTTGTCAGCACCAGTGTGAATTCAGATCCATTGTGCGTCGTATATTAGCTATCCGATCTCCACATAATGATTTAGATGGCATACCTCCTAGATACCTGATCTCGAGAAAATTCCAAATTTCAACTCTAATATGTATTTTGTCCGCATGGTAGTGTGCTTTACTCCATTAAATGTAGAAGAATATGTGCTCTTGCCAGGCAGGACCGAGTCTGAGCCCAATCTTAGTGTCAGCGGCTTAAACCTATTCAGTCTACCTCAGATTCTACGCCGGAGAAGGGTAAGGCAATATCAATATCAAGCCCCGGAAATTAAATCTGAGCAACTCCTCGTGGAATTGACCCATGACATAAGCACGTCATGTAAACACCTGCATGCGGGTGGTTGGTGCGCGGAATGCAGGAAGGGAAGTGTATGCATAATTGTTATCGAGGTATTTTGATGTGGCGGGTGCCCACAGAACTCCGGCGGACAGCACACGTGCATGGTTCTAGAAGTATTGGCCCACAAGCTACAGTTGTGATTTGGCTACATGTCTTTATTTCATCCATTACAAACTCAAGAAGATCAAATCCTACGAAAAGCCTGTATGACGTGCTCTTTCGTGTTTAATTATCTTCCAAGGATAGGCTATTTATGAAGGAGACTCATTCGGCTCGAAATAAAATACAAGACTGATGCTTGCAGGGCTCCTACTTTCCACGTAGGTTTCAGACTGTTGTGCAAAACTTACATGGGCGTGAAAAAAATTTGGAGACGTTACCGTATCTTTAGTAAGTGCGTTTCAGAACTTCTGCTTATTCCAGTCTAAGCTATTGAATGCTCTTTGTTGGGTGACTTCGTAAATTGCGGCTAGTACGTTTACGATCTCATCTGTCAGGGGATGATCTAAGGTACGATTGTACATGAGCTTGCATTATGCGGGAACCTGAATAGCTGTTTTGGGATCCACTATATCTACGAATATGGGTCCATTGTGTATTAGCCCCCCCAAAGCCTGCATCAGCTATTGAAACTTTAACTTCACATCTTAGTGGCTACTCCGTTGAATGGTACGCTACTATCAATATCACATCTAGCCGTCTCCCCACCAGGTTATATCGACTGGCCCATAAAAGGCCGAGCTCATGTGGCAGCTTTCCATTTTATGATACTTTGACATTTCATGTTTCTCAGCTAGCATTTAATAGTTCTAGCCCTATATAATACACCTATTTATAGTTTTGCAATACACTCATGTTTTATCATATAGCTCCATAAGAAGCACTCTAATATATACTCTTTCGTCAAGCGGTCAGAGCTCTGCAAAGGCTTCGCTCGGAATGACGTACCCCAGATGATTACTCCTTTGACGACGGAACAATCCGGAAACTCATAATATCGTTCTTTCCCACGTCCACGGTATCCTCCTCACTAATTCTCAGTCCACCGACTCCCTCAATCGCCGCAATGGTCACCTCACCCACAATCATCTTCGCCACTTGGGCGACGAGCGTGCCCTTCTTCACCAAGAGACAGTCTCTGAACACGAATCCTCCAGAGTTTCCGGAAAATGTGTTCATGTTTCTCACCGGATAGACAGGCACCAACCCTAGAACTTCAGCAGCAGCTTGGAGAATCTGGATCACCCCAGTGGAGCCAAAGCGGTACAACACTAAGTCACGGATGTTGTCCACGCGCTCCATGAGCTTTTCGTCCAACGGCTTCAAGTCAGAGTCTGGCAAATCCTCCAACGTGTCGACGAACTCAGTCCCAGTTTCGTACTTGATAAAGTTCTGTTTCGCCAACTTACGCAAAAATACCTCGGTTACGGCACTGGTCAAAACACACTTAGTGTTCGGGTACTTCAACATGATCTTGGAGATATTCTTGTCTGCATCAGGATGGTCGATCTTGTTCAACGACAAGACGGTGGGGAAACGCTCGGATATAAAGGCAGCAACCACTGTGGTGATCCACTCGTCGTCCCACTTGTCTATAGGAGGCAAGTCTTTGATCTTCGCTAAGGCACGAGCAACTACCTTGGCGGTGGAACCGTAGCCACCAAACTGAGCCTGTAAGGTGTCCACGACATGCGCCTTGGTGGCGGTGTGTCTTCTCACGATGGAGCCCCATCTCTTCTTCAAGTTACCTTCGATCCAGAGGCGGATCTCGTCCTGCAACCACTCCACGTCTTTCAACGGATCGTAGCCTCGTGTGGCCTTTCCGTTTTCATCCGTGCATCCACTGACATCCATCACGTGTACAATCAAGTCAGAATTCTGTCTGATGTCGTCCAAAAACTTGTTCCCCAACCCACGGCCCTGCGAGGCACCGGGAACCAACCCCGCGACGTCAAGAAGCATCACCGGTACGGACCTCTTGCCGTTCTCGCACCACCCGTAGTTTGGCTTGCACTGGTCCTGTTTACCAAACCGGGAACAAGCGCAATCGACTTGTAAGTAGCCGGTGGCCTTGTTAGGCTCGATGGTTGTGAAGGGAAAGGCGCCGACTTTGGCGTTGGCATCAGTCAAACCTGAAGGTTAATACTTGCCGCTTGCGAGAACGGGTGCCTAGCGCGAGCCTGAGCCAACTCAGACTAGCTGAGTCCTCACGTTAGACTATCGAACATATACCACTGAAAGTTGGATCAAAGCCACCATTAATTGACGTCTCTCGAGCAACAAAGTTGCCTGTTCACCTGAAATACCAATCTCAAGGCAGTTGAAGCTGGACCATACATCAGCTGAACCACATAAACCAGAGCTTATGTGCCAAAATCCACCATCGAAACAGCCTCGGATCGGGCCATCAACCGACTCGTCTTGAACTCTGCTCGGCACGTGACTGAAAGCACTCACTGTTAAGGGTGGTAGACTTCCCACTAGAGGGTTTCCCCACAAGCGCAATACACGGATCTCTAGGCATGGTGTATGTGGTTTGCGGTGGTCTGATGTCATCTCTGGCATTTTCGACCCTGAAATAATTTTTCTTAATATTGCCGCACGTACAAAGTCGTGGGCCAACCAGGAGAAATAGCTCTGATCGGAACTGTGTGCTCACCACTGTCGATAACTGGGTGTGATACGTTATATTTATAGCTTAGGCTACACCGTATGATAAAGACTGGCCTACATGAATGTATGTGGCTGTGGAATACCCCAGTTTCCAATCCTGAGCCACGACTATGTCTGATCCTGCATGTAATTTTTGATTGCCTTGAACGAAACCTAACCTCTAAAGTCCACGCTACAGGTTTTATTTCCATAACTATTTGACAAAAACGTATTAATTTGCAATAGTTTGTTAGCGTATTTCCTAAAGCCGGTACTAATAATCTCAGATGAATCCAGATCGGCCGTAGAGGTTATACTTGATACCTAGCTAAAAGTTTAAATAAAAAAGTATAGTGCTATGTAAATTTTCAGCCTCACTCAACGGTACTGTCTAGTCAACAAATCATGTGTGTGGCGGGATTTTTCAAGCCCTATATGCGATATCACCACTGCTAGTCGGAGTAGAGCTATCCTGTAACAATCGGTATGAGCCCGAGTCAAATCTTTGCGTTTACTCTACGTAAGGGTCCTGGCCCCGCTGATTTGGAGAACCGAGGATCTAAATTTTGCCGGGAATACAAGCATCCTTATAAGCTACGATCTAAAACTCATGGATTTACCCATATCAGCCATTAAGCACTGTCTATAATATACTCTCCATACGCCTCTAATTACGATTTGCAAGTACAAGCTCCTAGCTATATTAGTGCCATGGACCGGGACCAGGACCCCTATTAAATAATATCATACGTACACCCGTTCCCGATATAATTACAGGCACTGATAACCACTTTGAGTTCTCGGAGACAAAGAACCTCATAAAACAAAGCTCTGCACTGCAACTATAATGGTTTACAATGGCACTTTTTTCACCTATTCACATCCATATGTAACTATTTAACAGCACTTTCTGCATTCTCCGTAAGTCTATTTGCTTCAGTGAAGTAAACTATTCAACTAGAAAAAGCGAATCGTTTGCTACAACCTTCAACATTTGCACAGAGACTTCTAGCCTACCCCCAAACCATACCCTACTACATATGCAATATAGCATCTCGCGCTTTACTGAAAGACCCCTTCTCCTAGGATCGCCTTATATAAGCGACTCCGATCTCCCGCTCTCAATACTTTTACTTTCCCAGTTTCTATCTCTAACTCTTAACTCTACGTCTCTTATACATTTGGTTATGTGAATTCCCTTTTAATATAATCCACATGTTTACCTCTAAACCGAGCTTGTGTCACCCTCTAGTATTTCATAACCCCTAGCGTTTTTCAAAGTTCATCCGTCGCTTCGCTCCTAATTTGCTCCTAATTTGCCCCGAGTCCGCTCCGGTGACCGGCCTCGACTCATAACCGTTGGTGAATTACCTTTACAGGATATTTTTCAGGCCAAATTCCTCCCAACCCTTTATTCTTTCTTCTCCCCCCCAAAAAATGCTCAGAACAGTCTCCAGCCATATTTTTAGGTCTGCCCGTGTTGTGGGTTCCCACAGAGTGGCTATACCACGCGTCGTGGGCCCGCGCATCTTTGCACGTGCGGTCCAGCTCACCAGCGAAACCTACCCGAACCTCCAGCGCACTGCCTTTGCGAAGCTCACGGAGGAGGACATTGCGCACTTCAAAACCATCCTCGCGGACAGCGCGGTCATCCAGGACACTGATATGCTCCTCTCATATAATGAGGACCAAATGCGCAAGTATCGCGGGCAGTCGCGCCTCGTGTTAAAACCAAAGACTACGGCGCAGGTCGCACAGATTGTCGCGCACTGTAATGCACGCGCGCTCGCGCTTGTGCCACAGGGTGGGAACACGGGTTTGGTTGGGGGCTCCGTACCCGTTTTTGATGAAATCGTCCTTTCCTTGGCCAGCCTCAATAATATCCGCGCATTCGATGAGGTTTCCGGGATTCTCACGTGCGACGCCGGGGTTGTATTGGAAAACGCGGACAACTACCTCGCAGAGCGCGGTTACATCTTCCCATTGGACTTGGGCGCGAAAGGTTCGTGCCACGTGGGTGGAACCGTTGCGACGAATGCAGGAGGCTTGCGTCTCTTGCGTTACGGCTCGCTTCACGGGACGGTGCTAGGGTTGGAGGTGGTGCTCCCTGATGGAACCGTGTACAACTCGCTTCATGCATTGAGAAAGGACAACACCGGATACGACATCAAGCAGTTGTTCATCGGCTCTGAGGGCACGTTAGGGGTGATCACCGGGGTCTCGATCCTCTGTCCCGCACGCCCAAAAGCGAAGAACATTGCGTTTTTGGGGGTGCCGTCGTACGAGGCGGTGCTCCAGACCTTTGCGCACGCGCGCGGTGAGTTGTCCGAAATCCTCTCCGCGTTCGAGTTCATGGACCGCCGCTCGCAGGTGCTCTGCGGTGAGTTCCTCAAGACGGACGCCCATCCGTTGGAGGACGAGCATCCGTTCTACGTATTGATTGAGACGTCTGGCTCCAACAAGGAGCATGACGACGAGAAGCTAGAGGCTTTCCTTGAGTCCGCCATGGAGGAGGGTTTGGTGGATGACGGTGTGCTCGCTCAGGACGAGACGCAGTTGCGCAACTTGTGGGAGTGGCGCGAGGGAATCTCTGAGGCGTCCCAGATCTACGGCGGTGTCTATAAGTACGATGTGTCCTTGCCGTTACCAGAGCTTTATGGCTTGGTCGACGCGGTGAACGAGCGTTTAGCCGAGCATGGCTTGATCGGTGAGACCGACGAGTTTCCGGTTAAAGAGGCCGTGGGGTACGGGCACGTCGGTGACGGGAACTTGCACTTGAATGTGGCGGTTAGACGCTATACGAAGGAGGTTGAGAAGTGTTTGGAGCCGTTTGTGTATGAATGGATTGCCGAAAAAAAGGGGTCGATTAGCGCCGAGCACGGCTTGGGCTTCCAGAAGAAGAACTACATTGGGTATTCCAAGTCCGAATTGGAGATTCTGTTGATGAAGCAGATCAAGGGACAGTATGATCCAAAGGGAATTATGAATCCGTACAAGTACATATAATCCAGAGCGAAACAGAGGATTGGTTGATGGATCCATGGCCTATATCTTAGTAGCAGCTTTTATGAGCTCGTGTGAGCTAGCAAAGCTATGATATACGACGAATGAGTTATAATTTTATTGTAAGTCAAGTAGAATGGATTAGCAAAGCTGAATTAAGCATTCCACAATGGATAAAGAATATTGTCATGTATACCGATTATAGAAAGTCAAGATGCCATACTTTACGAATTATAGTATACGTGCGGAGACTCATACCTTTTGAGTCTAGAAACGGAAAACACGGCACATACACGGTATGAATGTAGGAAATGGGCATAATTACTCTTCAAATGGCTCAAAAGCCGTGATTGTATGAAATGCAGCGTGGTACGCATCAGGCTTCGTCTACAGCCTTGAGCTAAATTCCAGAAGGTTAGAATGTGATTTGTAAAGGGAAGGCTATACGAGGCACATTGCAGAACTGTAGTATGGGAATCAAGCATTAATTTAAATAGGACTTATAGGCACTAATCCCAGAAAATGCCGGGTTTGAAGGTCCATTACAGACGTTTGCAGACCCATTGAGGCTAGTAGTTGTGACTTAGAACCAGCGGTGATTAGCAAGCTCGGTAGTATTCTCAAGCATAAAACGTAGATATGCACAAAATTTCAGGCGTTAAGAATGCAAAATAAAATGACCAGACAAAGCTCGATGTTTCGGACTGTTCTCCGAGTCTCCTGGTTGTATTACCTTTCACGTGTGTTTTGACCTTCCCTTCTTTCTTGAATCACTCTTGGTGTCCCCAAACTTTCCATATTTTCCCGCGATGATACTTTCTAGTGCACAGGTGGTGATATGTCGGAACCGAATGGATCCGAGATGGGTCCCTCCGTACCATCGGGTGACAATCACGCATACATTTACGAGGTCCAATGACTCTAGCACCTGGAGCAACCGCTGACCCGAACCTGATTCACCGCAGTCGTCAAACCCTTGTTGGATATTGGTATACGTTACAGATACTGGTTTCTTCTCGACCCTGTCCTTTTTGGCTTTCTTCTTGGGACTCGCCAGTTGTGTGTGAACTTCCTCGCCAGTTCTCCAGGCTAGCATTGCAACATGGGAGGCTTTGAGGATTGTCTTGTCTGATACCCTTAGCTGGGATATGAGATCTGGAATGGCAGCACAGGAGCGAAGAGGTACACAACGCGCCTGGAACTTGGACTTGCGATCAGTGACGATCTGTGATTCGTTCCATATGGATATGGGCTCGGTGTGGAAGCGGAGCACACAAAAGTGTGTGGATTGAGTTGACTTGAGTAGGCGAGTAGGGGTTGTTCTGTACATGTAAGGGTATTGCCTATACAAACCAATAGATCCTAGCGTAGCACTGGGGAAGAGTCAGGACATGCCCTTATGTGGAGCGAGGATGCACGAATTTTTCATGCATGTAGACTTGAAGCTCAGGTGAGGCTTGATGAGAGTGAAAACACATATGGAAAGGACCGTAATCAGAGGGGAATTTTCAGATGAAGTCATACTTTATCGACTGATCAACAACTATTATAGGAATACGTCTAAATCGCCTCCCTCGGTTTAAAGCTAAGGCTGGAAAGTTTGTTTGGCGATTTCTTTGGGCCGTCTCAACCCAAGCGTATGAAAACGTCGCTGATTCAAATCCTTACGTCTCCTTCTATTTTATTCGTGGATTGAACAATTGATTGGTTCTCCTGGTCTATTTTTTCGAGACAAAACCTCCGGTCAGTCAAGATTCTTTACTCTGGAAATGACGTTGTTGAGCTTGCATACAAGCGTTTAACGTAATCTAGTTCTCTACAGTAATGTTTTCATTGACAAGCCCATCATAACTTCTAAGCGTGATCTCGTATTTTAGCGTATTACCCGGTGCATCTTTCCATTTACTTTGAGTAGGCCTCCAACTTTTCATCGTTGTATCGGAAGTACCCTCCGTTGAGCTCGCCGCTGAAACCCCTGAGAGCCAAATTAGCGTAGATGGTGGCCGGCACTTCCGGACTCAACAACTTATTCTCGGTCTTTAAGTCGGTGAATCTCTTCAACCCCTCAGTGGTCATGTTCTTCCCAAACACCTCCCGAATATCCGCCTGCATTTGGGTGTCCACCACACCAGGGGCAACCGAAATCGCTCTCACGTCCGTTTCCTCAACGGAAATTGCCTTCGCGAGACTATTAACCGCGGCCTTAGACGCACCATACGCACCCCACCCATGATAACCACTGGTAGAGGCCCCGGAAGACACGAAAATAGCAGTTCCCTTGGTCTTGCGGAGTTCTGGGATCGCCTTTGAGACAAGATCCACGATCGAAAAGAAGTTAATGTCAAACAACCGCCTCCACTGCGCTACGTCGGCCTTGGCCACTGGGTCCACTGGGTCCAACACTCCCGCGTTGGCGATCACCGAGTCGATCTTGCCAAAGCAGGAAAGAGCCACTTCGACGGCCTTGGTGGAGGTTTCTGGGGCAGCAATGTCGCCGGTAACGGAGATAACTCTGTCTTTGCCGTATTTGGTGATAAGGTCGTTCAACGGCTGCTCGGATCTGGCCACAACAACCAATTTGGTGTCGGGTTGAGCAAGAATGATCTCTGCGATAGAGGCACCAATGCCTCTGGAAGCGCCTGTAAGGATAATGACTGACATGCCGTGGGCTAAGATTACAGGGAGAAAGAACTGGGGATAGCTGTCTATACATATATAGCCTTTTGGCAGTACCCGGATACTGGGGTCACGTGATTAGAGTAAGCATGCATATGCGTCTGCAACTGGCTTCTTAATCTCTCGATTTTATCTCTCGGGCGTAAATGTCGTGTAGTATAACTCAGACTATTGCGTTTGTAAAATGGGTTATATCGAAATCCTGTAGGCTTGGTAGATGTGTGTTTGAGAATTCGAATTCGTAGCTTTGGATGTAATTATAGGCTTCAATACTGATACCTTGGGGTTTTTGGTTGGACCAAGATCTATCTAAAGCTATTTATATCCCATTAATTACAATCCCCACTCTTTCACGTGAATGAGACATTGATCGAGTCGGTTTGGATTGGTTAGACTCAAAACTTTCATCGGATTCTGCCTACCAATGCAGAACATAAATCGGCCACAACGGTCCGTCAAAGCCTCTGCAATAATCCATCCCTTAAAGGGGCCAACCTATGGTCTCGGGAATTTTGTAATCTTTTTAACGAATAAACCACTTTGTTTCAAGCGTTTCTTGTATTTCCAAGATTTTTTCCCATCTCTTTTTCTCAAGCCTTAAACAAATCTATCAGTTTGCTTAAACCCCAATAAAACTTGCTTAAGGCTCAGAATAGGTGCTTCTGCCCCCCTATCTTTCGTTTCCTCATAGTTACCTTATCCCTCTCACTCCCGGCACTGACAAACACCGACCACTGTTGTCCGCCTTCCACACACATTTCTACCCTCTATCCGCTTTTATTCAGGTTATAAGAACACATATTAACAATATTCAGCCTTATATCTAGTCTATTTGCCTCTTCCCTGACGCTAAAACGGTGTAGCAAAAATCTCACGCCACCTTACGCCGCGCTCTGGTACAGCTCTCACCCGCCACTTCTCACCCGCCACTTCTCACTAACACCACGCGCCTTCGCGACGTGCCTGAACCTATTTTAAAACTTCTTCAAAACACTCTGCTCTTCTCCTTGCCAACACCCGCCCCACCCATGAGCAAAGCACAAGTGACCCTGGACTGGGCAAAAGACACGCCATGTCGCAACATTACGATCCACGGTTTCTGCAAGTTCCAGGACAAAGGGTGTATGTTCAAGCACGAAAGCTCGCCAAAGACGCCAGCGCCCACGGTGCTTGCGCGCCCCGCGTCCGCGGCAGTGCTGACTCCGCCATCCAGCGCGGCACAGCTCGTGTCGAGCGCGGCGGCCTTGAAAAAGAAGTTCAGTGCTGATGCGCCCGCGTTTCTCCCAACCACATCCGCGAACTCCAGCACCACGTCGTTCGTGAAGTCTCCTAAGGTTGACGCCCCCCTGCTCCAGCTCACCTCGGAGGAAAAACGCTTCAACATCGAAAGCCCAATCTTTACCCCGGGTGGCTCCAACCCGTACGCTCCCAAGCCTGGCACACCCGTCAACCCCTACGCGCCCGCATCTGCGGACATGTACTTCCAGGCCCCCACGACGTACCCGTTGCAGTACCATTTGTATGCGCCCGCGCCACCGCCGCACCTCCAGTTACCGCTCCAGCCATACGAGACAAACGCACACGCGATGTTCATCGCGGGCGACTTGCGCGAGCATGCACAAAAAAGGAACGCGGCCATTTTGCAGGTTTTGCCACACTCCAACTTGCCGGAGGGTGTGAACGCGTATCACTCGCTCGTGCCGATCGATACACATGCGGAACGCTCTGCACGCAACTTTGGCCACCCGTCCGCGTTGTATAAAGTGTTTTCCACCACCAATGGCAATGTCTATGCGTTGCGCCGCGTGGAGGGCGTCAACGTCACCAGCGAGCGCGCTATCAGCGACGTGCAAGCGTGGCGCAGCGTCGTGTGCGCGAACGTGGTGCAGTTCCACGAGGCATTCACCAGTCGCGCGTTCGGCGACAACTCCGTCTTTTTCGCGTACGATTACTATCCGCTTGCCACCACCTTGCGTGAGGCGCACGTGAGCCCCGTTGCTGCGAAGGTCGTTCCCATCACAGAAGCCTTGTTGTGGTCGTATTGTGTCCAGCTCACGAACGCGCTCACCGCGATCCACGAGAAGAATTTAGCCGCCAGGGTGTTGGATATGGACAAGGTTATCATTACAACCCGCAACCGGGTTCGTTTGGCGGGATGTGCGGTCTTGGATGTTCTCAGATACGAGGAGGAAGACATCGCGACGTTACAGAAACAAGACATTGAAAAGTTTGGCGCGTTGATGCTCGAGCTCGCGGCTTACACCTTGCCCGTCACGCTGCGTGGCGTGGAAGCATTGGAGGGCTTGGCATTCTCGCAGGAGTTTAAGGACTGCGTGCGGTACCTCTTGAGCGGTAGCGCGAACTTGCACGAGTTCACACGCATGATCGCACCGCGTGCGTTGGCCGCGGTCGATAGCTTAGCATGTGCGGCAGACTTCATGGAAGGCCAGCTCCTGTCTGAATTGGAAAATGCACGTCTTGTGCGCCTATTGGCCAAGCTCGGCTTCATCAACGAGCGGCCCGAATATGACAATGACCCCGCGTGGTCTGAAACCGGCGACCGCTACCCCTTGCGCTTGTTCCGCGACTATGTGTTCCACCAGATCGATGAGCGCTCGGGAAGGCCTGTCATTGACTTGTCCCACGTGATTACGTGCCTTAATAAACTTGATGCCGGTGTGGATGAGAAGATTTTGCTCGTCAGTAACGATGAGCAGAGCTGTATCATTGCGTCATACAAGGAGCTCCATGACTTGATTGACAAGACGTTCAGGGATTTGAGCAGGAACTAGTAATGTATAATATAAAAAAAGTGAATAAAGTGGTGTAAGTGAGGTAAGGAGGGAGTGGAAAATACATATGGAAGGTTGTAGAGGACAGGGAAATAAAGCTGGGTGGTTGAAGCTGAAAAGAATGGACCCAGGTGTACAAGAGGAACTATGTTTTACAATCATGTATAAGAAACTGGGAGACGAAACGAATGTGAGGGCAAATCTGGGGTATGTCGAAAAAATGAAAAATAAGGGAGATAATTAGATATTTAATCAAGAACGAGAATGTGAGGGTTATCTCCTATACCATGCTCTTAAAATAACACACATCTAAACTGTTTATAGTACAAGAACCTGTACTTGAAAGTTAAGCCCCGAAAGAACAAAGAGGGAATTATGTATCAAGGATGAAACATCAATGAGTACGTTCAAAGGACTGTAGAACTCGTTATACAGCCGAGTTGTTTCACCATTACCCCCTTAATATTCAATACCCCAGGCTTGAATCATATTTTGAGTATATCTAGACTTTGGTGATAGTATCTGCTTACTATGCAGCATGCATGTGCATTTTGTGCCTCGCATACACGGCTTCCACTGCGCCAGACTGGCCAGAGACGCCTGCTTCTGTGGTACCTTACTCAGTTCCTATATCGTTCTTGTTTCCCTGATATAAGTAGATTTGAACGTTTGCCTTTAGCTCTAAAAATATTGCTTGGTTCGTTGGAAGTGATACATTTTGGTTTGGCCGCCTGTTTAACTGCACCCAAGTTTCCACATCCCGCTCACAAAACGTCTCTTCCATGAGCTTTCTCGGGCATTTGGATGCTTCCACAAAGCGATATCAGTACATCCATCACATAAAGTACAACTATGAACGGCTTAAAATCCACTATGTTCACAATAAGTACAGCACCAGCAGAAATCCCCGGGTAGTTCAAGGACGTATCCCGAACGAAAGGTTAATATCGTTGAGAACTTATCCCCACGATGAATATCTCTTGAAACCGGGAGAATACTTTGATTTTGCAAGCGCCTACGTCAATAAAGGGAATCAGGCTGCGCAGCTCCCCATCACGCTTTCCCATGTTTGCTCGGAAGGAGATTTGTTGGAGAACGAAGGGTACGAGCCCCTCATTCGCGTCAACTCGGCACCACCTACAATTTTGGTTCATTCTCCCGAAGACCCTGCAAAGCGCATGGCCACCATCGTTCCGAATGGAAGTTCCTGTAAATGCAGTTGCCACCTCCACGAACACCTTCCGGAGCCCGAAACCATGGAGGAGCTCCTCACGATGCATGGCAACCTTGGAGAAAGTAAAAGTGGAGCTGGTGGTGATAGCCCACTCTCTTACATTGAAGACGAAAATATCTACCTGCCACGGAAAAAACACCGGTTTTGGGGGTTGGGAAGGAAGAGAATGTCTAATGGAGCTAACGTTCCTTCACCAATATTGGAGTGCAACTCTGCTTCCCCGGGCTTGCGAGAGGATAAGCCGAGGCTTTCTCATAGTGAAGGAAAACTAAGTCCGGTGGTGATCAAAAACAGTTATGGCCATCCCAGGCCTCGGCATTCGGAAGTCAAAAGCGAGAAAACGCCAATCATGAGCCGCCTTTCCTCGATGAAACGGTTAGGATCGTTGGAGACGAGAATCAGCCGGCTCAGTACCGAGGCTGAGTCCCACCTCACCGAGGGATGTCAGTGCTACAGGTGTGAGCGCCTGCGGTTGGGAAGCGGAGAAGCAGTTTGGAAGAGAGTCATGAATGACGTTTCGCTAAGCGCGGCCAGAATTAGTATCGGTGCGAAGCCCAAACCACTCAACGCGTACATCAATCTTTCTGCTGATTTCACAAGTGCTAAATGTTCGCCGGTTACTAATACGAAAACCTCTTCTCCGCTTACTCCTATCGATGATATCTCCTATTATGTCCCACCAGTGTTATCTGAGGTATCAGGTAGCTGCTGTACCCAGAGCATAAACGACTTGTCGCACCGGGAAATAAACAATGTGCAAAGGGAAAGACCGAGTACCTCACACACGGAGGTTTTACCAGCAGAGTACCCCAACCAAGCCTCACCATACAGTGCGCTATTCTCGGGCTATTACAGTGAAGCTGAAACTCCTTGGAAGTCTAGACGATCGACCATGGTTCCCCCGCGCTCCCAGGCTAACTCCGAGAGCAGAAGCATCCGTGAGAGGCAGCGCCTGGGTGATGAGAATGGTAACCTTACGAATACGGTTGCCTATTTTGATCAGCAACACCCGGGGGGAGAGATGCTCCAGTCATTAAATATTGGTGGGATTAAGAGACTGGTTGACTCGAGTGGAAGGAGTATGTTTGGCAGTGACAAGAGCTTGTCCCGGGGCGGCGTGTATGTAGACTAAGGATTCCAACGAGTATCGGGTTGAAACAGTCTGGAATATATTTTTTGTTCCATTGTTAGGTCAATAGAGTATTATATATGTTCTATCTGTCCTTGCGTGCATTCTACGTAATATACTACGTTTAATACATTTTAGAGTCTTTACACTCTACTGGCCTGTCTATAAATCTATGATAGGAACATCAACCGTGGTTGGTATATTTTGTCGCATTTTTTCCGTTAGGCTTTAAATTATTCCCAAATTTTATACTCACAACTGAGTGACCATAAGTTATGTAGCCGTGCCACAACAATATACACCTGAAGATCGGCTGTATGCAGGTTAATGTCGTTTACTTCTGGATGCATCGAGGTTGCGGACAATTTCCCCAGTCGATTGACCCTTTTTGGTCTGGAGAACGATTAGAAGCCTAAGTATCTAAAACTTATTTTCCGTACACAATCTTTTTAGTTCATCGAGTTATTAGATTCTATTAAACTTCCCCTCTGTCACGTCTCCATAACGATGTAGAAGGGCTCTTTGACTATCCGTACTTTGTGAGTGGCGTAAGTCTCTGATAAGCTGCGCCGCGTTACAAATTTCTTTTTCCCCCAGCGCCACCAACTTAACCACGCCTTTACCGATCTTTGGTGCAACACACCAGTTCTATATTTCTCCTTCGTATATACTCGTTCCTTACTAGTCCTAATTTATTACTTCCCTGCTACTTGTTATGTGCTGCTGTCTCACCGATTGCCTCCTCGTGATCATTGCGATCTTTTTCCCACCGTTCCCCGTGTGGATCAAACGTGGTATCTGCTCTGCCGATTCCTTGATATCAATTTTATTGTGTTGCCTTGGTTACTTTCCTGGTTTGATCCACAGTTGGTATATCATTTCGCGATACCCTTCGGGGGTCCGGTACCTCCTTGTGGACGAAGAGCAGATATTGTATGTTTCTGGAGGTGAAATCCGCGCTCACCAGAATAATCACAGCCACAACCACACCCACGTAAACTGCCAGCCACCACGCCAGACTCCGATCGTCGGTTTTGTTGAAACGGGACCTAGCGGCATCCAGTATGGGGCGACAGACGAGTCTATTCCGCCGCCTGAGTACACCCCTGTGCCCGCAGTTAAGAAAACATGAGATGGCCCCTCGATTATTGCCTAAACACTGTCCGTTATTAGCCTGAGCCGGTGGCCCCGATCCATACCGAAGCTGTACTTGGAGCCAGACGTCTCACAGACCATCACTCAGGTTCAAACTGATCCTTTGACTAGGGATTTGCACTAGTCGTCGATTTGTTAATGTGCATGAATAAAGGAGTTATGTGGGGGGGGGTGTTCCATCCTGTAGCCCTTTGTCTCTATTCATCTACTTATATTCGGTTTTACTTTTTAAAATTCCAAAATAAAAGTTATTTAACGGTTTTCTTGCATTGTAATATGATTAGCTATCCAGGCCCAGTTGTCCGGTAAAGATTCTTCGAGATGCAGGGGTCCAACTTCGTGCCGTATCGGGGGGG